TACATAATTATTGTTTTTTAGATGTTCAAATAAACATAAAAATAATAAATCTACTTTAACTTTAAGTATTCTATCTTGCATTTATATTGTTTGAAAAGCAAAGAGAAGATTAATAAAATTGATTAAATATATAAAATCATAATCAGTTTTTATAAATAAATTAATAGATCCGTTAAAATTTTTGATGCGTTTTTGATGGATCTAAAAAGAGTATACAAAAAAAATAGATTAATTGTTTATGATCATATATTATAGTAAACTTTAGTATGATTTGATAATATAATATGTTCTTAAGAGTATAAGATAACTAATTAAATAATAAAAATGAAGGCTAAAGCAATAATTGAATTTGTCGTTTTTATGGATTCTCTTAAAACTATTGGAATCTTTTTATTGGATGAGGGAATGTATCAAATAAGGATTAACTTATATATATAGAGTGTAAGTGATTTTGAGTATTGCAGTCCTAAAATTTGAAGATTCCTCTTACACCGAAAGAAACCTTGTTATTCAAGAGAAATGAATAACAATACTTGCCATAACACATAATAGATAATTTTTATATGAGTGATGCATTTTTATTGAGATAATGGACAGAGGAAGTATTAAATTATTTAAAATGGAAAGGAAAAATTTGAGATAAAAAATGGATGTAGGTTTAGTGGTGCAATTCCACATAATTTGAAAGAGCAACCATGTTATATGGAGATTGAATTGATGTATTATGATTTAGCATAGAAAATTGTTTCATTTTAAAGTATATCGATGGCAAAGTTTAAAATTGAAAACTCATCTAATGGAATATATGAATATGTTCCTGTAATATTAGGAGAAGATCACTTTAGTTTATTAAATCTAATTGTATAATTAATTTATATTATATATGATTAGGTTCTTTGTTCTTTGACTAGTTTTGACATTTAAATATAGTAAGTATAAAATGAAGATAAGAAGGCAGGAGATCAACATTAAAATATTAATATGAGATAATTGTATAATAAAGTGTTGGAACCACTTAAGACATGTTATCGAAATATGCAAACATTCTATTATAATATGGAATTAGAAATGGAAAGACCTAGTAGTAAGGGAGGTATGTAATACCATCTTAGATAAACTAAGAGTTTTTAGATATTACCATTATCTAGTGCAGATTAATTATTAAAAAATGAATAAAATACATAATTAATAAGTAAAGTAATGGCAAATGAATTTAAAGTATTATAAAGTACAATAAATCAATTATGGCATAAAATAATTATAGGATTAAAGTTAGGACATTAGAAAATATTAAGATAATTAAAAAAGGAATCATTAACAAATTTTTAAAGTAGATATTCTGCATTTACTTAAAAAGAAGTTATTCCTGTAGTAGATCATCAATATACAATGATACCTTAATAATAGAAATAAAGTCAAGAGTAGGCAGATTTATAAAATAAAAGATTGGAATATTAAAAATTATTACTTTAAGGTCCATCTAAAATAGTTGATTTAAAAATAATAGATGAAATTAAAGATAAATTAATGATTGTTGAAAAACATTATGTTACAAGATAAACATTCTAATTATCTAGATCTAAATTACATCTCATTGTTTTAGTTCATGGTTATTAAGGACATTCTTATGATATGAGATTATTGGAGAATTATATGTGTTTAAGGTTTCCTTAGCATATGTTATTAGTATCATTATGTAATCAATAAAACACAGAAGGAGATATATTACAAATGGGTAAATATCTTAGTGATGAAATTAAAAATTATATTGCAACATGGTCTTATACAGATAAATTAGTTATATCATTTATTGGACATTCATTAGGAGGATTAATTATAAGAGCAGCATTACCATATTTGGATTTTGAATTTCATACTTTATTAACATTAGGAACACCTCATTTAGGTAATGTTACAAATCAAAGACCATTAATTAAATTTGGAATGTGGTTTTTTTAAAAATTAAAGAAATCTCAAAGTTTATCTCAATTAAATTGTTATGATGATACATTATTAAAGTTATCTTTATTTCCTGGAATGAATAAATTTAAACATATTATTTTATTTGGTTCTTAATAGGATCATTATGTAAATAGTGAAAGTAGTTTGTTAATGAAAGTTTCTGGTATTGAAAATGAATAAAAGCATAATGAAATGGCTACCAATATTTTAAGATAATTGCATTAAAATGAAGTTTTAAGAATTAGTATAGATTATAAATTTTATGATGGGTATCTTTTTTATAATTATTATTTTTAGAGATTTTGATACATTTTTAGGAAGAAAAGCCCATATAGCAATATTAGAATCACATTTTCTAAATTAATATATAATTTATAACTTAGGAGATTATTTTAAATGATTTGATATGATATATAATAATTCATAATTTATATCTGTTCTATTAATATATGATGTTTATTAACTTAAATAATTAATTATTATTCATCTAATGTTATAAAATATAGTAAATCTATTTATTTCTTAGAATAAAATTAAAAATAATAGTATAGTATAGATTAGACATATTATCTTAAAATTTAATCCTTATACATAATTAAAATTCATAATTAAAATTTATGTTCACATAATTAAATAAGAAACTAACTTTATCATCCTCATTCAAAACTGCTCCCAATATTGGACTAATCAAATATTGGGGAAAGTGGAATGAAAGAGAAATCATTCCATTAAATACAAATATTGGAGTAACTTTAAATCCTAATGATATATTTACAACAACAACCTTAACATTGAATCCAGAATCAAATAATAATTAATTACTTATCAATGGCAAAGATTTTCCTATTAGTAATAGAATTGAGAGACTCTTTGGTATATTCCGAGAATAAATACTATAATCTAAATCATTTTCATCAAACAAATACAAAAATTCTCCATCAGATAAATCATTGGGTTAACTTATTCCTGATATAGAAAAATATGGAATTAAAGTTGAATCAAATAATTCATTTCCAACTGGCAGTGGATTAGCATCATCATCATCTGGATTATCAGCATTAGCATTATGTTTATAGGATATTCTGAAGACAGATATAGATGTACGATATTTGAGTAGAATTGGATCAGGAAGTGCATGCAGATGTTTGTATGGAAATTTTGTATTATTTCCAGGTGTTCAATTACAAAATTTAGATAAATCAGATTAGTAAACAATCAATTTGGAAAGCAAAAGATGTTTGCCATATGAAATTGAAAGTAGTAGATGGTTAAAAGAAAAAGTATCAATTGTGATATTAACTGATACACATTAAGGATAAAAAGATGTACTTTCAAAAGATGGAATGAAATTGACATGGGAAACTAGTAAGCTAATTTAGGGAAGAGTTAGAGAATATGTTGAATAACATATCAAAGAATTATAATCAGCTTTAGAAAAACAAGATTTTAATAAGGTGATGGAAATAATAATTAGAGATAGTAATCAATTTCATGCTACTTGTATGGATACATATCCACCCTTATTATATTTGAATGATTTTTCAAGACAAATTATTAAGATGGTTCATATTTATAATAAGAATGCAAAAAATATTGTTGGATATACATTTGATGCAGGTGCTCATGCAGTATTGTTAATTCATAATGATGAATTAGTATCTTTTAAGAAATTCTTATCAGAAGCATGTAAATGAACATAATAATATATTAGAAAACCTATTTACAAAATCGAAGTACATCATACCAAGTTAAGAATTTTGGACATCTATTGGGGATGGTCCAATCAATTTGAATTGAATAAGTTCATTGTGTATTTTATATTATTGTATTAATCATCATCTTAAAATACTTCTTTCACTAGTGCATAATAAATGATGTTATAAGAAATAACATGGAAACACTATGTCACCATCAAAGTACATTTAAGATAATAAATATATGTTTCCATTCTTAGCTAAATGTCTTCTAAATTCCACCAATTATATATTCATCAATATAAATGAATATAAAACAAACAATACTAAAATCCTAATATATGTAATATTTTTATTATACCAAATAATTGCTGATGGAGCATCCTATATATTCAAATATAAACCCACAAATAAGATTTCAAACAAAAGTACAAATGATATTCTAATTAATAATTTAAATACTAATTAAGTACCTCCATGGTTAATCAGATACAAGGAAGCAATTTTTAATACCTTCTGATTTATCTAAATGGAAACAAAGTAAAATTATAATTAAGTTGATAAGTATTAAACCAATAACAACTTCCAAATTCAATTATGGATATAAGACTACTGCATATACAAACCAAAATAATCTCACTATAGTATTAACTCCCTATTTTTTTTAATTTATTAAATTTTACAAATAAAAATACGTTTTTAGGTTACTTTTGAGTTGATGTTTCACTAAATTATGCTAATGCTATTGATAATATATAAAGCATCAAAAGCACAACCCAAATAATAAATGGTATTTGCTATATCTATTCTTTAAAATTGAAATGTGTTAATAATCCAATCATCAATAATGCAACACCAAAATGAATCATTAATACCAATATATATTTGAATTAATTCTCCTATATCTAAGTTTGCTATTCCTCAATACTAGGTCCTCTGTTGATTATTGGTTCTGTGATTGATATTACCTACTACATTGTATTTGTTATAGCAGATTTTCTAACAAACATGTCCAATAGTCCATCCATTAAAGGCTTCTTGTCCTAATTTATATTTATTGTTTTTTCTTACTTCAACTTAATCTCGTTATTACATTTATCCAATTTAATAAAACTTAATAATTAAATACTAATAAATAATATAATTTTAATGAATCAATTACTAATCTTATTCATCTTATATAAATATTGTATTAAATTACTATAATATATCTCATTACGACACTTCTTTACTATTAATAAAAGGAAATTTTAATTTAATAATTCTTAAAATTAATGTATTTATTAGATTAAAGTAAAAATAGATAATTTTAGATAACTTTTGTTCCTTTTAAATTAACATTAAATATAATTTCTAAATGAATATGTATTGTATGATATTCTACATTTTAATTTATTCTATTAAATAATATTATATTACTGTTTCCTTATAGATTGATTTTTAACTAGTTTTATTAAATTCTTTTTTAGATTTACTTTTTATTTATAATTATTATAAACAATTGTTTTATTTTAATGATTTATAGAATAAAATTAGAAAAATATAATATATTGAATGGAAAGTTGGATAATACTATAAATTATCTAAAAAATCAAGTAAAGTATTATCCTGTGTCTTCAATGATACTAAATATTGATCCTTGTTATTTATTCACTTATTATTTAAATTATATGTATTCATTATAATTTGAGATGTAAAATGCCAATGCAATAGTACCATTTAATTATTTAAGTGGTTGACATTTGAGATTGCATTCCATTTCAACTTTATTACTTTCCTATATTTGATAAGTTAATTTTTACTTATACATAATGAGGGTCCATAAATATTGCATTGTTTTTTTAAAATCCTATGAGATAGAATGCTTTATTATGTTTACCAATAATTGCTCCTGCAAATTGTGATATCAACATATGTGATTATAAATAATGAATTTCCAATTATCCTAATGATTTATCTCCAATAATAGCATGAATAATTAATAAATGAGGCTTCTTAAAAGATAAATCAATCTAAGATTCTAAAATACATTATTCTAGAAAATTAACTATATGTATTTGTTTAAAATTTTTATTATTTTTGTTTAGATCTTCAATAACACTCATAATTTTTGGTCCTGTATACCAATCTCCAATTTTCATATTTAGGTTTATGGATGCTCTTTTGATTATTTATTAAATAGAAAATGGAGCTATAGTTGAATATTCTTAATTGTCATCAAATAAATGAATAATGATTGTTTTGGTTTTATTAATGTTTAAAATTTTGGATTCTCTCATTAATGCATTCTATTATATTTCATAGAATAATACTGCTAACATCATCTGACCAACTCTTACTAAACATCCCCATCCTTAATCTGATATTGCCTTCCCTTCAAATTAAATATTGGCTCTATAACAAAACCAAATAAGAGTTTCTTTCTTTTAAAGAAAAGCTTCTGTATTTTGTATTTCCTAACCAAATATATACATCAATTCATCAATCTTAATTTCTTCACTTAACATTTTATCTAATTAGAATGCTGTGTTAGTCCTAATTTATGATCAACTTACATCATTTGCATTAGACTTTATCCAAAACCTTGCTTTTATTTCATTTGAATAAATTATATATATTAGTATACATAATATTGTTAATTAAAATTAAGTAGAATATAACCATTAGTAAATCATATGAATAATTAAATTATGTATATATGGAATGATTTCAATTTATTAAACTGCTTTTTCCAAAAGAAGCTAATTTTGATTAACTCATTGATGGATTTGATTGGAGATTAGTATTGTTGTATTATATTTATCGAAGTATGTAAGGATTTTAAATTTGATTAGGATTTGGATTTGTTAATGGATTATAAATATTGGATTATGAAACTTCAGTATTTAGGATTCCATTACTCTAAGATTAACTCTAGAAATAATAATTATATAAAAATACTAAAGTAGATAATTGTGAATGATATTATTATTGAATTTCTCTTTTTCTTAATCTTTCTAATCTTTGTTATTCTTCATATTATAGAGAAGCTTATAAAATTTCTTATTTTCTTTGTTCTTTTATATTATCTTCTAATTTCTTTTTTTCATTTTTCTCTTACATTTAATTGGCCAATCCATTTTAATATATTTATTTCTACTTTTATTATAGTTATCTCTAAGTTAAATATTCATTTTCTTCTTTATCTTATCTTTCTTTCACTTGCTTATTAATTATATAATCAAGCTACAATTTTGGATTATCAACCTTTTCTCTATAAATATCTTATAAAACATTTTATCTTTCTGACAATTTCTGGTAATACTAATTAATATTATAGAATTAAGTTACATTTCTGTATGAGTCTTCTTATTTTTAAATTCTTTATGATTCATTTTATGTTTATTCTTTGTATATTAATTATTCAAATTCTTTATCTTTTTTTTCTTTTTCTTTTTTTTATTGTAATTCTTTCATTTATTATTCAACAATTTATTTTTACATTTCTCTCTTCTATCTTCTCATTTATTCTTCTAATGATAATCCATATATTGCATTATTGATTATATCATTCTCTATTTTTAATGTTTCTTGTTTCTAAAAAAATACAATAATATATTACTTTCTCATCAATTATTATTTTCTGATGATTCAAAATGAGATAGTTCTGTTATTATAAATTTTATTTAATAGTTTCTCTATTCTATATTTATTGAAACTTTTCTTCTCCTTATTTTTTACGTATCAATTGAATTTATTCATCATCTTCCCTTTACTTTTATAGCTATAACTCCTTTTTTCTTTATTCTTACAATTATTGCTACTCAATCAATTACTATTTCATGATCTCCTATTTCATCACTCTCACCTACTTCTCTTCTTCTCTCAACTTTCTATTCATATCAAATTCCTTATATCCATCATAATTGTTTTGTTATAAAATCATAAATTAATAAATAATAATCAAATTAATTGACTGAAATATCTATATAAACTTTAATTATCTCAATTACTTTAATAAGATACCTTATATTATATTATAATATATACATATATATATACTAATATCATTATTTTAATATTTAGATTTAAATTACTACATTCTTTGTTTACATTATTTAATGAATAATAAGAAAACTACATTTCCTTTTACATTAAGTTACTGTTTTATCATAAATTAATTAGTTGAAACATACAAGAGAATCTTCAATATTATTCTAATTTTTATAAATTATATGGATTGTCATCAACTTAATTGAATGTTAATAAAATTAAATAATATATAAATTAATTCAAAAACTCATATAAAATGATTCATTTGAAAAATTTACCTTGTTTTTTTAATTTAAACTCAGTAATTGTATTATTTTGGGATATTATCACTAATTATTATAAATATGAATAAATATTAGCTTAGTTTCAAAGATAAAGAGATAGAGCAAATGTATTAGACTAAGTAGCATAATGAATTAAGAATATTAACTCTTAATATTATTTCAATAGGTCTCTTTGTTAATTATTTTGTCATCTCCTTGAATTCTGTGATAATGAATAGATTTGACTTTCTATTGTGGAAATTAATAATGATGGCTTACATGTTGGTCCAATACTATACAGTGAATAAATATCCTAAACTATTAAGATTGGCATTTATTCTTACAAATCATCTGAATAGTGTTTTATATATATTTGCATCAGATGATCAATATACCCATGAATTTGATATCATAAAAGGTGCAAATTAAATGGGAATGGAAATTATAATAGTATTATCAGGTGAATTTATAGATGCAGTTTTCTCAATTTTAAGTTTAAATCTCATAAGAGTCATCTATGGTATTGTACATAGTGATATATAATTTTATGTACCTCATGTCACTACTGTAATACTCATTATTTATTTTGTATATTTCTTCTACAAATTTCATTATGCTAGGAGATCCTAATTTTTATTAACTCTAATAGACTCATAATGGGATAATATTTTAGCCAACTTAATATAGAAACAGTCTTATGTAATTTTTACATTTGAAGAAGACTAATTACACTACTCAATTAAATAAATCAATAATTGTGGTCAATTCTTCTTTTAAAATTAAGACGTTTTTTCATTTTTAAGGGAATCTAATTACAAAGGAAAAACAGTAGAGTCAATTATTTTGTAGGATATTAAATTATTTCAAATCAATCATTAAAAAAGAATGAATATTGATCTCATATGTTAATTTCATAAAGAAATATTTCATATCTAATATTCAATATATTCAGGATAGAATCCAACAATTTTAATTATTTTCAAATAACATAGTATGTAAAAAAGAAAGAATAAATTAATCAATTTTGACTAAACATACAATCATTTTGTAACATTATTTCTTAAGGTCTTAAATAATGTCACTCCAATCTAACCAAAGTATTAGGAGTATGTACAAATTAAAAGATAATTATTTGTCTTTAAATTATTAAATTTTATTCAAGAAAGATAATTCAATTAAAAATTAGTCAATTTAAGTTAAAATTTGGCAAGTATGGCATCATTATTTCCTGAAAAGAAAATATTTTATGAAAATATTGAAAGTTCTCATTAAATTAAAACAATATCAAATATTTTATTTTTTTTCTAAATGATAGTTTTGGAAAATTCTATTGGTAGAGGAGTCAAAATCCAATATAAACTTTAAGAGTAAATTTATACTCTTATTTTTTTGGGTAATTTCAATTTTAATAGACTTAAATTTGTTGTCTCAAAATTATAATACCCTTTAAAAATGATATTTTATAAATTCAATATTACAGCTTAAAGTAAGTATTATTATTAATTTAGAAATTACTGCAGAATTTCATTAAGAACCATTAATACCATTTACAAGATTACATGTTAATAAATATCATTGTAATTGAAATGTACTTAAATTAAATGTATAAAATTACAATTTATATTAAATTTATTTATTAAATATAGATTATAAATAATATAGATAATCTATTTATCAATAGAAAGAAGTTATTAGATAAATTAAATATTTAAATCAATTTAATATATTTGTATAAATAACCTTAGTATATCTAACTAAGAAGAATATTAATTATTTTTTATTAAGTTTTTTGAATTATTATCATAAATCCTTACCTAATTGAATTATTTGATTAATTTAATATAATAATACTGATTAAATCAGATCAAATTTTTAAGATTTTCTACAGATTCCAAAATATTTTCTTCAAGAGAATAAAATTCTTATTTGATGCTATATTATTATTCAATATTTTCATGATCTTTTCTCTTACCTATGTAATTTCCAATTAAATCTATTTTCAACTTGTTTTTTTTTTCATTTATAATTAATTAAAAGAGATTTTAAGGTACAATTAATTTCTGTTAATGAGATTTATTGATAAAAGATAAGTAATATTATTGAATTGAATGAGTGTCAAAGTAGATTAGAAAGATGGAATGATGAAAATAGTGTATATGAATATGTGGATTGGATAAGAATTTAAAAATAAATTAAAGATTTTAATTATTATTTGAAATGACCAAAAAGACTAAGAAGGTTGGAATTACAGGAAAATATGGTACAAGATATGGTGCATCTTTGAGAAAGATTATTAAGAAGTTCGAAATTTCATAGCACTAAAGATATTTCAATACATTTACTGGAGCCGTACAAATTTCATCTAGCAATTTAGCATTCACTTAAGAGATAAGCTATTGGTATTTGGAGATGCACATAAACTGGTTTATAAATTGCTGGTGGTGCTTGGGAAGTCAAGTAACATTAATTATAATTGTAGTACTCCTGCTGGATTATCTGCAAAATAAGGTATGTTGAGAATCAAGAAATTAAAGGAAGATGCTGAAGTTGAAGTCAAAGATGAGAAGAAGGAATAAAAGAAATAATAACCTAAGGAATAATAGAAGGAATAACCTAAGGAGAAGGAGACTAAGAAACCATAAGCAAAAAAATAATAAGCTAAGAAACAATGAGTATATTAATACAATAAATAATAATTAAAAATAATATGAATAGGTTAGTATCTATATTTGCTAAGACTATGTAAACTAGAGTCCCTATTTATTCTTATCATTTCCCTAATGGATCTGTCTATAATAATGTATATAATTACCATTAAATATAGCCAGCTGTGACAGCCAAGAGAATAATTAAAGTAGTAGGAGAAAGATTAAGAAAAATTGATCCTGAAAGAGTATATAATGAAATGATTAATCTTTTTAGTGGGAATCAACCCCAATTACATTTAATACCAATTGGAATGATGCTGCAGGATATGTAGATGTAGCTACATGTATTCATATTCATGATGCTCTTGAAAAAGAATTTGGAATTGAAATCAAGGACAGAGCCTTTTTGGTTTCAAGTATCGAAACAGCATTCTATATCGTAAACATTCATCACGATAGTCATTGACACAATATCAAATAAAATAAATTAAAAACATAATTATATTTATGTCATAATAACTATTTAAGGCTTATTTCCTATCCATTAATCATACTTTCAAGGATCTCCCCAAAGGTAATTTCTATTGGCGATTTTTCAAAAGAGATTTGGGTAGAATTATCAATATGCCATGTCCTGTTGACAGTCCTAATTAAGAAGCAGATATCTTAATTTTTAAGGAATTGAGAGCATAAATTGGAATCTAAGAGGAAAATGTTTGTTCAAATTGTCCTTTTAATGCAAAATGTGTAAAAGCATTTTAATAGTTTGATACTGGTAATATGCAAAATTTGCTTCTTCCTAATCTCTCTAGATTTTTAGAATCAATCAGTCTTTATAATTTGAATATGTATCAATTACTAATTAAATAAGTCAAAATTTGGATGATTCGAAAAGTTTTTGGTTGGCAAGTAATAGAATTCTAGATACTTTTCATGCTATTCTTATTGACTTTCAAAAAAATTAAAATTAGATTAATCAACTATTTCTTAAGGATTAATAAAATGATTCAGATGTTGACAATAATAATTAAACTAAATAAACCCAAAAATCAGAAAAATATTATAGGACAGCTGATTTTTTGAATGAAAATGAAAAAATAGAAAAAAATGAAAAATTATAAACATCTTAAGAATATGAAAAAATAAATGCAAAAAATGAAAATGTAAAAGTTAAGAAATATTAAAATGATAATCAAAAAATAAATAAAAAGAATAATACAATTTAATATAGAAATAATTATGAAGGAAAGAGATCAAAAAGTGAAAGATAAAATAGGGAACAAGATAAACATTCAAAGCATATAAATTAAGTAAGATCAGAAAACTAAAAGGAAAATCCTATTGATAAAGGAACATAAAAGAAATAAAAAGCAATTTAAATAAAAAATGAAAAATAGATTAAAAAAAATATGAAATTTCGTATTGCTTAATGAGGTTGATTCAAATATTACATTCATTCATTATTTTAATTTACCAATCTAACAAACCATCCATTCTTTTACATAAGTTCTTCATATGATCCTAATTCAACTATTTCTCCTTTTTCCAAAACTACAATTCTATCATACTATTAAATATTTTCTAATCTATGTGTAATAACTAGTAATGTTCTATTATCATTTTAAACGTAATCAAATAATGTCTTATGTAATTCTTCATCTGTTTTTGGATCCATATTTGAAGTGGCTTCATCTAAACAAACAATATCCTTATTTTATAAGATAACCCTCATAAAATTGATAACTTATTTTTCACCATTTGATAAATTTCCTCCAGATTTAGCTATCATAAAATTAATATTAGTTTAGGATTACTAATTTTCCTCTTAACTTGAATTATTAGTCTTTGTTGAATCTTCCATGATCCCTCTAATTCTAAATTGTGTATTGTTGAATGCTTGTTCAATTTATTGATCTGTTAATCTCCCTTGAGGATCAATATTATCTCTAAGAGTTGCATTGTACAAGAATCCAAATTGAGGCACTATTGATAATAATTATCTGACATCTCTTAATTACATATTTTAAATCTAAAATTTAATAAGATTAATAATTTACATCATGACCATTAATATATATTTGTCCTTATTGGAAATCATATAATCGGAATAAAATATTTAAAATTGATGTTTTACCTGATCCAGTTCTACCAACAAAGGCAACTTTCTCTCCTTTTTTAATAAATAGAGAAAAATTCTTTAAGGCATACTTAACATTTTGGCTTTGTAATACATCATCATAAGTAATTGTGACATCATTAAAAACTATTGAATATTAATTTGGATCAACATTTTATGGTTTAGGTGGTACTTATTATCTAATAATTTATTAAACTTATGGATTAATTTTCACTACACTATTATATTATTCTTAAGGATTATTAAAGTATTATCTAATTCTTTCAACTGAAACCATTTTAGCTTCACTTTAAGTAAACCAATTCATTGTATCATTGAATTCATTAGCTATAAGTACAGCATATGTTAATGTCATAGCAGAAGTTGCATAATCAATTTCAATATCAAATATCATCATGAGAATGATTGTTATTGAAACAGATAAGAAAATTAAATTACTTAATAAATGTAATCTTACAGATAACCAGTAACTAACTCTTCTACTATTTACAAAAGAGCATATAGATTCAGTTAATTTAACTATGTATTCCTTAATAAAATATTATTGTTTTTCAAATGCTCTTATAGTTCTTAAACCTCCAGTTGTTTCAGTGAGATGTGAAATAACTTTACCTTCATTTGTTGATTGAATTCTTTTAAGGTCTCTATTACTTTTTCTAAAGTATTTTTATAACCATCTAAATGCAAAGAGTTCAATAATAATAATCACAATTAACCATGGAAAGAGAATTATGATACCAATTGGATAGCCTATACATGCAAGTAATGACATAATAAGTACTTCAACATACCAAGGTAATTCATCATCCACAACTAAAGTATCATTAGATATCCTATTAATAATTCTACCTTAAGCATTATTATCAAAGAATATCATTTTTGAATTCATAATACTTTGATTTAAACGTTTAAATGTTCTCCAACCACTTAATAAAATACAGATTTTCATAATGGTACCACTTACAAATGTAATCATCACAATTATGGAAATCAACCAAGAAAATTTACTATTGAAAGATGTTCCAAACCAATCATCAAAAAAGTCAAATGTGTGATTATCAATACTAATCTATGATCTAATCCAAAAATCAATTAAATTTCTACTCAACATTAAAACAATTGACAACAAGATAGCTAATATAACTAAAGCATATCCCATTTAAGATAAATAATATAAAACAGTATCTCCTGCAATTTCACCAGATTCTCTTTCTTCTTCCTCTACTTCATTTTTCTTTGCACCTTCTATTAAATTATCTTCTGGATTATCTAAATCAATTTCTTATGATTATTTCACTTTAACTTTTTCATGTATCAATTTTTTTTCTTCTTTTTCTTCTTTCTCTAATTATTCTTATTCTAATTTTAATTATTTCTCCTTCTCTTAAGACATAAACTCATTTAATAGTTATTCATCTAAACAAACTGAACCATCAATCATATAAATAATGTTACATTTATTATACATCTCAATAAATCTGAATTAAGAAGTGATCATTAAAATAGTTTTACCTTAATCTAATAACATTTATTTAATTCCTTTATTAAATACATTATCAGCCACATGCATATCTAATGAAGAGAATATATCATCCATTAAATAGATATCACAATTTTAATACAAAGCTCTGCATAATGAAATTCTTTGTTTTTATCCTCCACTAATATTCTTAGCATCTGGTCCTAATATGTATTAATCTCTTTTAGGAAATGTAAGTAAATCTGGCATCAAATCACAAGCTGCTATACATTACTTATACAATTATTTATCATAAGTCTTACCAAATAAAATATTATCCCTTATTGACATATTTTATAACCAATGATTTTAACTAACATAAGCTACACTTCCTTTCACTTTTAAGCTACTTTAACTCTATTATTTTATTTCCATCTCATTTAAAATTGCATTCAATAAAGCTGTCTTACCACATCCTATTCTACCAATTATCATATTTAAAGTATTCTTCTTTATTTTTAATTCTGCCAAATTTAATTAGAATGTCTCATTCTCATCAGAATTATTCTCCTTTGATGGCCATTTGAATTAAATCTAAGGAATTTCTATTACATATTCTTCTCCTATACAATTTTTATATCTAATTATTTCTTCATCATTAATTTCCTTAAGATCTAAGTATGTTTTAATACGCTTATAGGATACAGTTGTATTAATTAATTAATTAACTGAATAAGGAATCACTCCCAAAGGAAATGTTAATAAATTAAATAAGGCTATTATTGTGAAAACATTTGTAGATTTCAATGCATCCTCTCCATTTTTATCAACATAACTGGACAAAAAGAAGTACAGCAATATATAACTGATACTACTCCATTATACATTATTTATAATATCTATTGTTTTCTACCATCTTATATATCCAAATTCTTTTTTTCTAATCGCCAATATTTTATCATTAAATGTTTATTCCCATGATAAATATTTTATTTGTTTCATCCCTTCAATTACATCTGAAGACAATGCTAATCTACTATCCTTTTAAACTAAAGCCTTTCTGTAAAACATCTATAAAAATATTCAATAATTATATTTACAATTGTTAAAGTAGTTGTAAAAGAATTAAAGATAACAACACAACCAAGTACTATTAATCCAGTCCAAACTGCATTCCCTAATTTTAAGTACAACATATACAATGCTATTATAATAGTCACCAAAGATGAAGATACTAATTATTATATTTATTTTAATTACATCCAAAAACACCCCAATATATACCAGAAAGTTCTTCAATATCAACTGTTAATAAATTATTGACATTAGCTACATACTCTTCATCTCCATCCTTTTTATCTTTCTTTTCTTTTTAAACAGTTTCTTAAAGATACTTTGTTCTTAAAGCCTTTTAATAGATCAGGTATTGACCAACTATTTTTAATAATGTTGTAAATTAGTTTTAATAATTGTTGGAAATTGACTCTAAGTATGTACCAAATGTATAGACAATTGTCATTGTCAATAATAATAAAATGGGTTTTAAAATATAACGATCTTAATCAGGTATGTTATAGTCTTTGATTGCATCAGTCACTAGATCTAATAAATAAACCGATCCAATCTATATTGCTTTATCCATAAAATTTAGCAATCCTATAAATATGAATTTACTAAGAAATAAGGACTTAAATATATAAAATGTAGGAGTTTAATATTCCCTCTCTAAACTAATATTATTTCTTTTTCTTCTCTCCAACTCATTCAATTATATTCTATAATTCGATTATTTTATACCTCTCAACTAGATCTATTGCCATTTAAGGTTTTAAATTAGGCTCTAAGAAATATTGTAAATCTGTATTCTCAAGTTGATCCGATTTCCTATTTATTAGTTCAATCAATGGAGTAATATTAGTGAATAAAAAATTGCATTCTTTGAATTTCTCTTTATTTATCAATGGCTCTTCAAAGTCATTTGTATCTTATATCCCAACTCTCTTCATTTTGGTTAAATTTTAAATCAATAATAAAATTAAATTAATCAATCTGAAAAATATTAGAAATCATGTTATTTATGCAAAAACTTACAATGTAACAATACATATTAATTATGCAATTAATTTTTTATGTTTCAAACAAAAATTCTCTGATAAAACTTAAAATAATTCATAGATTGATTTGAGCAATAAAAATGTGTGTTTAAATATAATTATGAGTATATATTTTGATTAAAAGTTAAAAGATATTTTTTAAAGAAATTCAATATTATTGATAAAATCAATTTAAAAATATGATACCATTAATAAATAACATATATGAAGCAAAAGGATAATTCTACCATATCTTAATATTATTTTGATAAAAATCAAATTCTGATGATTATTTTAATTTATTGGATTCTTGATATATTAATTATTCTTCTATGATTAAAAAGAAAAACCTGATTTGAAAATTGAAAGAAAAAAGTTAATCTATTGAAAAAAGGGAAAAATGTAGAGAAATCAAATTCTCTACAAATATTTTCAGAATTTTACTGGATATAATCTCAAATACATTTTAATTACATTATAAAAACTTCAAATATTATTTGAAAACCTATTAAATTTTACAGAAAATTTTGTAAGATTATATTCCTTTTCATCAAAGTTTATATCCTTATTATAACCTTAAATTGATTCTAATTAGATGATGATAAATCCATTGACAGATTAACAAGTGATCCTTTTAAAATTAAAACTTATATTAAGAATATTTAAGCTAAGCATTATATATATAAAATATTACTAATTATAATTTAACATTTTTTAATTATGAATATGAATTAAATAATAGAATGGAAAAGAAATGATGAATTTGATTTTATATTGTTATATATTCATAATACAGAATTAAAAATATTATAATGCAATAATTTAAGGATATTACTTTGAATACATTCTATTTATATAAAGAAACTCTAGCTGAGGGGGAAAGATAATATCAATAGGGTCAAATTGATTAATTAAATAGCTTGATATCAGCATTGGTTCAACAATAAAAGGAGGGCTATAAATTTGCTTAAGTTTTTAAGATGCTTAAAGAGTAAAATGTTAACAATGAGTTTACTGCACGAATTTTAGAGAACAACTTTGATATTAATAAAAAAACCAGTTGGTGAATGTTCTATAGATAATTATTTAGCTATTAATAATTGTTTATTAATATTATATAATATCAGATTAAAATGAATACAAAGTCATCCATCCCTACTTTTATTCTTAAAACTTATTAAATGTTGGAAGTATAATATGTATTTAATTATTTAAGGATCAAAAGAACACTAATATAATTAGTTGGACCTCTTAAGGCACTGCATTTATAGTTTACAATTAAATTTTATTGGAGAAAGAAGTTTTGTAGAATTTCTTTAAGCATAGTAATTATTCAAGCTTTGTAAGGTATATAAATAAGATATATGATTATAGATAATTGAATTTATATAATTTTAAAAAGGTGAAATCAAATGAAGGTTAAATATTCAAGCATAAGTGCTTTCGTAAAGGCATGAAGTAAAGTAATGTTTAATAATTTAGATCTATGTTATCTTTTATCAAAAGAAAAAATTAAGATGATTCAGTAGGAGGGTCTAATAATCTAGTTTAAGAAGAGCCAAGTATTTCTATTATATATATTGTGTAGCCATACATATCAAGGAAGAATAGAATTTATTTAAGGAATGTGCAATTGACATTAAAGAAACAAACAATAAATTAAAAGAGGACATGAAATTATTATAAGAAACATCTTCATATTTAATTGATTAAATGCAAAATCTTAATCATGTATTTATTAAATAAGACACAATAGTTTGTTTATAACTAAAGTGTAGATATAGAGGTTAAGTTTAAATAAGTTGGATAAATGTTGCATGCAATCAATGAAGAATTGAGACAAGAGAGTAAGAATTCAATTTAAATTCTAGATAAAAGTGAAACCATAACCAATAAATTTTTAGATAAAAAGGAAGAATCATTTTAAGAATCAAAAGTTGGTTCTCCAAATCCATATGTGGATTACAATAGTACAGCCCTAAATCCATTAGATTATGAGTATTTTATAGACTCATTTCTATGAGAAGATTATTAAATTAATTTATTAACTAAAAAACTAAACAAATTCGATCTTTTCATGAATAAACATCATTAATTTAAGGTTGAAATAATATCCATTATTTTAATCAGTTATACTAGTTCAAAATATAATTAAATATATAATTAACTAACAACTTTCTTGATATTATTTATTAATTAATGAAAATATATTCGTGGACTCACATTTATTTCCTGATACTTACATACTCTAAAAAATATTATAAATAACAAGTACTATATCTATCTTTAATCATTAAATATAATCTTTATCATCTATATTCAAATTAAAACTGACAGTCTTTAAACTTGTTATTTTTGTTTTCAAATATAAGATTTCTCTATCCAATTTTATTATTAAGCTAATGATCCTTCGTTACCATTAGTTTTATATAACTATTTATGATCATTTTCAATTTAATTTTTGTATTTCCAAAATTGAAAAATTGCTATCAATTAAGAATCTGTCTATGAGTATATTTTATATAAATGCAAGTTGGTTTATAATTTATATGAATAGAAAGAAAATATCTAATATTTATGAGGCAAATTAAAATATCTTGATTAACTCTAATTTTTTTAATAATTTATATGTAAAAACAAAATAAGTCATTTTTTGAGTAAGAAACTTGTTTGGCTGAAATTGAATTACCAACAGAATGGAGACCTTAATTTATTAAATGGACAAAAAAGTTAGAAAAATAAGATAAATATTAAGAGAAGTTAAAGGCTAGTTTGGAAATAAAAAACAATGAATATTATTTAACAATAGAAGATGAAAAAGATGAAAAATAATCAATTAGAATGAATATCAGCGAATTAAAATAACCTATGAATAAATGTAATTTATTGATACCATCACCTCCTTATAATGAACCAAGGGATATTTAAAATATTCATTGTTTGCCATACAAAGCAAAAGCAAAAATTGAAAATAATTAAAAAGATGTTGAAGATTTGCAAAATAAATTTCGTAGCCTTCATTATAGTGATAAATAGAAATAGAAATATATAAATTAGTCTAGCAGTTCAGGTATTGAACAAAGTGCAAGTGAAGATGAATTTTCTGGATTTTAAATTCCTGTTTTCTTCCAACTCTCTCATATAGGTATTATTATATTTCAATTCAGAAATTAGGGATTCCTAATAGGGAAAGGATAAGCCATAAGTAGAAGGTTATGATAAACAAAATTTAAAGGCTAATTTAATTGATTTTTTGAGAATTAAAGGAGATAGTGGAGCAAACATTTAAGACATAAAACAATTCTATAAATTTTAAAGCGTTCCAGAAGTATGAGTAGTTGTCAATAATAGAAACATTTAAAAGATATGCTAAAATCGTTTGCAAAAACTACAATGAAAGCTAACAAATTAATTTATATTTTGCCTTCTACCTTATTGAATTCAAATACCTAATAGAATTCAAATACCTTATAGAATTGAAATATTCATGTTTAAGAAAAGTCATATGCATACATATCACAAATATTTTTATTTTTTAATATATTTATTTCTGTTAATAAAGAATTTTATAATATAAATTTGTTATGATATATATTTATCTTAATAATATATATAAACAAGAATATTGATTATCTGAAAGAAACATTAAATTAATTTGAATAGTCAATAATAAAGATACTTTAAGAAAATCAAATGAATATGAACTTATTATATGTTTTTAAAAACAATCCTTGAAATTTTGTTATAAATAGAAAAATTATATCTAAAAGTGCTTAAAATGAATGAGGTTATTAATAAATAATCAAGTATTGGTTGTTAGATGTTCATAATAGCTATAGGAATTTATGAGCATATTATTTTCCCTAACTTCTATTTTTAGATTATTTGTTTAAGGTATTGTTTTAGAAACCTTATATCCTGTTGTTTTTTTTGTATTAAGTAGATCAAGAATAACAACTGGAATAGAGCGTTTATTGTTTTTGTAATAATGAATTAGAGATTTAGCACTAGAATAATTGAGATCCAAAGCTTTCGCAACCTAAAGCTTACAAAGATATAAATTACCTCTTTTATCTATTTTCCTTCTTAAAATACCTATTTAAATAACTATTTCTATTGTTCAATAGGTATTTTGTGAACTTTTCTTGTGTTCAACTTGGAAACTATTCTTTTTGGGATATAATCTTCTCCGTCAGAGCTCTACGTACTAGAGTTAAAATCTTGGTATTATTAATGAGATATTGGTTGGCTCATATGAAAATAAAGGTTTAAGATATTAATATTATAATTAACAGTGATTATGAATTATTTCATTATCACTTTTAATTATCACAAAATTATATCTTCTGATGTAATAATAATTAATAATACATTTTATATTACAAAATAAATTTGATCAGTTCTAAGAAATGGATTAGATTCATATTTTTAAGATATAGATTAAAAATAATAATTATAAATTTATCTTGATTTGATTTATATTTCTAATTCATCAAACTGCAGCAATAGGAGGTTTTCTCATTTCTTTGATAAAACGTTCATAGATATCATCTTCTCTTTATTTAAGTTCATTTTCAGTTTTTGGAGCATAATAATTTGGATAATCCAATCCTGATGAGATTTATATATAAATTACCATATTTTGTAATTTTGAGTAATTGCTTTTCAACATAATTCACAACTTTAGAAGCATCAGCCCAATTTCTATTTGCATTTGATCTATGTCCAAGAATAAAAGGTGGTCTTAGATGAAAATATTGATTTTAATAGTTCTAAACATTAAAATAAATATTACAAACATTTTATCAAGTCTTGCACTAACAGGATAAAGATTAGTAACTCTACCTGATTCATGATTTAGGAATACTCTCATATGATTTAAAAATGATTCGCCTTTTGATAAATTTTTGAAATACCAACTCTTAATCTCTTGGCAAATGCTTCATATTCATATTCAGTCAAATCAGGTCTTAATGTACTAAAGGATGATTTATAATATTTAAAATGCTATTCTGTTGTCATCTATCTTGCATTTATGGCAATTCCTCTTTCTGGATCAATGTATACTTCATCTGTTTCTGTTCCTCTTTGATTTCGCAATTAATTCATTATTATATAAATAAATAATAAATTTACTTTTAATTTTAATTCTAATTATTCAAACAAAGAACACCATATAGTATTACGATTATCAGTACTAATTATTGTATAAGCAAGTAATTATCTTTTATTAACTATTGAAATCAAATATGATAAATATTTTTACAAAAATAAAATAAAAATAGAAATTAGAAGTAATTATTACTAAAAATATAATGAATTTGATATTAAAAGTAAGAATAAAATTAAATAACTAGTAATTATATAGAAAAATTTAGAATATAAATGAAAAAAGTCTAAATAAATTTAGGATATGATATATAATCATCATGCTTTTTATAATTTAATAAAAAAATCGATTTCTAAAATTACAAATAATAATTACCCATACTACATTGAGGACAGACACTTAAGTCTAGAGCATGTTATTTATTTACCTATAATTAATGTTGATTATTTATTTCAATAATTTAATTTGCACAATTTTGACATAAATTCATATGTCTACAAGGCATGATAATAGTATCAGAACTAATGCTTTTACAACTTATGCATTTTCCATTTACCTATTCATTTTTCTATGATTCAATTAGATTAGTATCATTTATTCCAATGATTTCTTAAATTTCAAAGACAACTTACTGATGTAATTATAATTTTTATCTGATTAATTTTAGTTGATCATCTTCATAATCATAATAATAAATCATCATCATTTTCTAGTTTTAAATTAAAATAATAATTTTCCAATAAATTAAATCAGGATTAGAATTTTTCTGAATTATGCAACTTTTAGGAAATTTTAATTTGCTAATAAGTTTGACATTTTTTGTTTAAGGTTCAATTAATTGAATCTCTTCTTAGAATTCTTTAGCCTAAATAGATTGAAGAACATCCCCAAAAGTGTCACAAATTTCTTGACCTTATACAAATAACTAATTAATTTTTCTAATATACTTAAATTTTGCAAGGGGTTTAAGCAAAAATTATAAATTCAATTTAAAGATCTTAATTTCCAATTAATTTTGCATTTTCGATACAAAAATCATTTTGTAGAATTTGTATAAATTATTATTTGTTTGTCTATATAATAATAAATTTATAATTTACATTGAATTTTGAAGTCTCAGATGATTGATTATCTTTTTATTTTAATGAATGATTGGAGTTAGATTTTTTAAAAAAAGAAACTTTGATTTGTTCATTAGGTTATTATATTTCCATTTAATTTTATTGATACTCATATTTATATAAATTTCTAGACTTCGCTGGTTAGGAACCCATTATTATATTATATTTATTAATATTAATTTAATTTATCAAATTTGACTTATTGAAATCTTTTTATTCTTTATAATAATATTTAATTATCTAAGAAGTTTGTATTTTTATTTTATTGATTAATACATATTTTATATAGATAAATAATTTTATCTACAGAATATGAACAGAGAATATATGAAAATTGATATTAGCACTTTTTAAAATTAAATAAAATCTTTTTTTATTTAAGCAAGCATAATTAATGGGAATTTCAAGAGATAGCAGACACAAAAGAAGACTTACAGGAGGTCGTATGCCAATCCATAAGAAGAAAAGAGCTTTCGAGAAAGGAAGATAAGCTGCAATGACTAAATTAGTATCAGGTGAAAAGAGAGTAAGAAGATTAAGAGTGAGAGGAGGAAATTTCAAATTCAGAGCACTCCGTTTATCAGAAGGCAATTTCTCTTGGGGAAGCCAAGGTGTTGCTAAAAAAGCTAAAATTGTTGAGGTGGTTTATCATCCATCCAATAATGAATTGGTCAGAACCAAAACTTTAACAAGAGGTGTCATTGTCTAAGTTGATGCTACTCCATTCAAATAATGGTATGCTAAGAAATACAATGTTGAATTGGGATCAAAGAAGAAGAAGGTAATTAATAATTATTATAATAATAGGAAACAACAGGAGATTAACCTAAGAAATTAAGTTCAAAGTAAGAGAAAAGAATTAAGGAAAATGTTATTGATTAATTTGTCTAAGAATAATTTGCCAATCAAAGATTATTAGTCAGAATTACATCAAGACCAGGATAATCAGGAAGAGCTGATGGTTATATCTTGGAAGGAAAAGAATTAGAATTTTACATTAAGAAAATCGAATAGAAGAAGAAATGATTTCCATCATCAATACATTAAATTGCATAATAATAGTACATCCTAGAAAATATTGTTTTTTTTATAAACACAATTTAAATTAAGATATTTAAATTGATATCATTTTTTTCTCTTTTCTGATCCAAATAACTTCTAATATTTATTTAATTTGTTAACAGTACTATGAGTAGTTGTTTTAGGAGATGGTAAATTGCAAAATTATTCTGTTTTAAATCTTTCAATTTAATTCTTTTGATTTTAATCAGGGATTGTTGTTAATCTGTCTGAACTTAATAATTGTTTTGATTGATCAAATAGAAGTTTCAGTTTCTTAAAATATATAGATTTAAGTTACTTTAAATTCTTAAATAGAAATTTGAGAATTTTATTATGTTTTCGAATAACCATGGCTTGTTTTTAGAGAATCTTACATTATTTAAGAAGGCTTAGTCAAAAGATTATGCTTCTTAAAATAATCATGAGTTTCACTTTTTATATTTGTTTTTAAAGACTTTTTACTTTCTTAAGGAGAATGCTAAAATATAAAGTATTCTATAATACCTTAGTTTTATTTATTATTTATTTTGGAGGAGATATAGGCTCTTTTTATAAAAATTGGGTTTACAATTTATTGACATTTACTATGTAATTTCTATTATTATATTCCTCCTATTAATCTCTTTAATAGTAAAAGTTTGATAATTGATATTTTGCTGTATCAACATTCTTTCAAAAATTAATTATAATAATATTACTTGAAATTCATTTAACATATTGATGGCAAACTATTTCCTAAATTCTGCATCACCTTTGTTAAACTCTTCTTCATCAAAATTATATTTTAAAGATTCTGGTTTATAAGGAGTTGGTAATTATCTATTAATAATTTTTTCAAAATCAACATCATTAAACCAAGGATGAGTTAAAATTTCAATAACACCTTCTTTTTATCCTAATCTTTCTGTAGGATCCTTTTCAAGAAGGGAAAGTATCAAATCTTTTAATTAATTTGAGATTTAAACATAATCAGGAAATTAAATGGTTTCTGTTAAGATTGAATTATAAATTTCTTAAGTATTATGAGAATAATAAGGAGGTAGACCTGAAACTAATTCATATAGTAATGCTCCTAAACAATAACAATCAACTAAATAATTGTGACCTGTTTTCATGAGCATTTCAGGAGCCATATATTCAGGAGAACCGCAAAATGAATAAGCAAAATCTTCAGCTGCCATACCAGGTTTAGAGAGTCCAAAATCACTTAACATTAAATGGCCTTATAAATCTAATAAGATATTTTCTGGTTTGATGTCTCTATATACAATATTTTAAGAATGTAGATAAGCCATTCCTATACAAATTTCAACAAAGTAATATTTAGCATCTTATTCATTTAACTTTTTCAATTTTCTTAAATGATAAAATAACTCACCTCCTGCACAATATTCTAAAACAAATGCAATATAAAACTTTGATTCAAATGCATAATGCAAGGGTATTATATATTGATTCTTCATTTTAACCATTATATCCCTTTCATTTTATACAATAATTTCTTTTTTATTGTCAATAATAAATTTTTTATCAATCAATTTTAATGCATAGAATATACCATTATCTTTCTTTCTAACTAAATAAACTCTTGAAAAACCTCCAACACCTATACATTTTATTAATTAAAAATCTTTTAAGCCAACTTTTTTTGTAGTTTAAGGTTATGAATACATAGGTTATAACGAAAGCGTATTTCCTTAAAATACTAACAAACTCATATCAGGGAGAGATAAGTAATAATCAAAAGGAACTTTTTTTTGTATTGTGCAAAATTAGCAAATTTTTTTGATCTCTAAAATAAAATTCAAATAATACCAGCTTATATTTAATCATCATCCGTAGAACCTGTACCTCCATCTTATTGTACATAGTTTTTTTCAATGCTAGCTATTTATTAGATCAAATAATTAAAGAGATCGCATGTAGATTAATTAGCATATTCAAAAAGGTAATAATATCTATTAAAATTAATATAATTTATTACTTTTAATTTTTGTAATATAAAATTATCTAAAGTTTTTATTTAGGATCATATTCTAATATATCTTCATTCTTTGTTTTGGTTTTTTGTTTGGGTTAAGGAGTTTGTTCTGTTTTTGAGTTTCCTTAATTTAAAGATTTTTATTCATTATCTGTTTTTCTGATTATTTTAGACTGTATTATTTATGAAGTACCTTTTGTGACTTTTTAATTGATTAAAATATCATCTATTGATTATCTCTGATTAGTGGATGCATCTGAAATAATAGATTATTTATTTAATTTTTAATTAAAGTACTTTTAATATTAGTTTTAAATCATTTAAGCATTTTTCAACTTTAATATATTAATTATTTTACCATATCGAATAAGTATTAGTCTTTTTATTGTTATTTTTTTTTTTATGGTTTATTTAGATTTGTAGGAGTCTAATTATATGAAGTTTTAGTTGTTAAAGGATGCTTAGCCAATTCTTTTTTCTAAATAATAATCTTTTTTTTAATTACTTCTAATGATACTGCAGCTAATGATAGATTCTTGTTTTTAAGAGTTCCCTTTTTGGAATTACAACTCTCTTCTGTTTAAACACGCATTTCAGCTATCTATTCAAATTTAATAATCTTCAAATTACATTAGGTTATGAAGTTTTGACTCTATCACTTTTTAATGTTTGCAGATATACATTATCACTACTTTTACTACCTTATAATTTAGATCTTATTTTATTAGTTTCTTAGGCCAAAGAATTTCTTTCCCTCTTAAAATAATCAAGTAATTTTGCTTTTGCTTTTTCTATAGGTCTCTCTGTTTTTACTGTTCCAGTAATGGCTTTAATATTTTTCTTTTCTAATTTTTATGGGGAGTCTTAAAAACTATTTCGGGCAACAATCTTTTACATCTAATTACTAAGCTTCTTCATTAACGATGTTAAATAATTTATATAATAAATTAATATTATACTAAATCATAATTTTTAATATTTTTATATATGTTATTAAAATATAGATGGCTTCACTTATTGTTTCATCTTTATATCTATTTTGTATATTTACAACATTTTTAAAACTCCCAACCAGATCTTATAATTGTTATTTAAGATAACTAAATTTTATTTTAATAAAGGAAATATCAAAAATTGAAGAACAATTGAAAGACAACAAGAATTTATAAAGCTACTCGAAAATTATTTTCACTTATTTCATCAATTATATATATAACAAAAATACAATTTCATTATCATAAGTAATAAATCAAAATAACTTTTTACAATATAAATGATTATATATTATCTTTAAGAATATGAATTTGATATCTATAAATACAAATATTTTTCATTTATATATGGAAAAGTAATTGAAAAAACTAGGATTTAATTATTATGTATTTGACGAAGATTTTCATTAAATTAATGAGGATGCCACATTATTTTAATAAATTCATTAGAAATTATGAATAATATTACTTTTAGTATTACAAAAAATGCTTCTCATAGAATTTTGTTGAATGACTAAAATTACATTTATTAGAAGGATATATAATAAAAGTGCCGAAAATATGAGTTTAATTATTTTAGTTGTATTAATATAAATCTTTAATATTTTTTCCAAAATAAGAGATTAAACTAAATTATGGAAAAATTAGAAACATAAGTATTAGATCATAAAATTACAGAATTACAATATTTTAAAGATTTAAGAATAAAGATTAAATTTTTATGAAATGAATATCATAAACTAATAATTATATTATTCATGACTAAGACTTGTAAAATTATATAAAAATCTAATCAAAAAACATCTGATATATATAATATTAAAATAGATATCAGATATGTTTCTATTATTTAAAAAAACATTTATCGATACACTTCTAAAAAGAAATAAATAATTCGATCATTCTGTTTATGAACAAAACAATAAGCTAATTTAATATTAGAATAGTATATACAAATAAATGATTTCCAAAGAATTTAATTTTGATCTAGTAATTGATAATTTTATTAAATAATTGAATTAATATATATTAATAATTGGTGAGACAATTAAATATTATTTTTCAATATGAAGAAGTTCTCAAATTTTACTGTTAAAAGTTAATCGAAAGCAATTAAAGTAACAATCAAGAACATAGATCCTTTAAAAAAGTATAGTTAATCTTAATAAAAAAATATAAATAGAATAGAAATATTGATTATTTGAACAATTATTAATTCATTTTCTCATGGATGAAAATATCAGGTTATTTTTATTAAGATCAATTCTTAAATAAATTATGTATTTTCATATGTGATCACAATATATTTATATTTAATTTAAACTATAAATATTAATCATCTTAAAAATGGATAAATTATTTTAAAATATAAAAATTAATATACCATGAAATTAATCTTATTATATTACTTTATTACATAGGTTTCTAAAAAGAAATTAAATAATATTAAGTTTACATAAATTAGTTCAAAATTTATAATTTAATATTGAGATACTTCAAATGATATTATTGATATAACAATGGAATCATTGAAAATTTGCTCAGCTCTAAATATAGGTTTCTAAATTAATATTTCATTTGATCAAAAATCATAAAAAACTAATGAATAATCATAAATTTCAATTATTTGATAAAATTTTATAGATAAAAATATACACTCTTTATGGAAAATACACATTTGGTTGAAGAATCTTAATAAATCAACTAATAATATTAAAACCCGTTAACATCAGAAAATAGATTTCAAAGTTTACAATCTTAAGATGAAGATGATGAAAATTAATAAATCAATAATTCTCATTTTAAGAATTTAAGCTCATCATCTATCTAGAATGTTCTTTCTTAATAAAATAATGAATTAGAATAAGAGAACCAAGATGAAGACTTTAATTTCATTATTCAAGAATAAAACTAAAAAAATAACATTGAAAATTAGTAGAATGAATAATAAATTTAACATTAAGAGATTGATTAAAAAGAATAGAAAATAATTTAATATGAAACAAAGATTGATGTAATTTAAGCTATACAGAATTAAGAACCGAATAAGGATTAAATAGAAGATAAAAATTATTCTCAAATTAACAATAATTCAGAAGATAAAGATATAAAATAAGTATCAGTTAATATCTTGATTAAATAAATTCCAACAGAAACTTCAGATATAAAATTTGAATAACAAAGGGGAAATGAATTAGAATAAAATATTTAAAAAATTTAGAAAGGTTCTTAATAAGGTGAAAAGCTTAAATCAATCATTAAATCTCCAAAATCTGGAACTTCAAATATTTAATCAGGAGATCCTTCTATAGATAAAAGTATTTTGCCAGAATAATTATTAAAATAAAAAAGGAATGAGAAATTATATAATTAGATAATGGAGACTAATTTAAATGAAATCTTTATATTTTATACTAAATAATTCTAAACTCCAATCAAATTGCATACAAATACAAAGGAATAAATATTTGATAAAAAATAGTGTTTAAATTTACACTAATTTATGCATTTTTGCAGAGATTTTTAATTAATAGATTTGTTGGTAACTAATGAATTTATAGAAAAATATGCCGGTCCCAAAAGCTAAAAGCCTTTATACAAAATAAAATATAAAAATAGAGTAAAAGATTCATTCATTATTACAAAATAAATTCTAGAGGAAATATTTATAAAATGCTCTGGAATCTAATAGTTAAGCTTTTCAGAATTTTTATACTCTTTAATAAAAATAGCAGATACTGTTTTTCCAGTTTCTAATTCTATAAATGCACTTTATTTATATTTAGGTATACATGATCCAGAAATCTACAATAAAAAGCTCACTAAAATTTAAGATATGAATCAATCACGTAAGTAAGGTCAAGAAACTATAATTACTAAATAGGAAGTTAAAAAAATACTCCCTTCAATAGTAAATAAACCAATAATTGAAAGTCAAAGAATTTAGGATTCTTCTCAAATTTCTAAATTGAATTAAATTTAAGATTTTCAAAAGCGAACTAAAGTCTAATAAAATATTAATTAGAGCTATTCTATTAGATGGGAGGATTTGGGAAGTAGTGATAATGATTTTGACCCTAGAAGATTACTGTTGGATGAAGATCTAACAGATCAAGATGATGCAGTTTATTTAAAAGAGTATATGATAAGTGAATAAGGAATAAAGAAGAAATAAGAATTTATAAATTAATATTAAGAAGGATAAAGGATAAAGTATTCCTAATATCCTTACTAAAAATATAGAACCAAATAAGGTTAAACTGAACATATATCTATAATACAAAATCCATTGAATTAATAGGGAAAATTAATTTTTTAAAAGGATACATTATCTTTATAGAAAAAATAGGAATTTTATGAAGTTTCATTGATTAATCCTGCTTTACCTACAAATTAACCATCTCAAATAATATAAAAAGAAAAAAATAAATAATTAATTCATCCTAACTCTTTTGAGTAAAGAAAAAATTATAATGTTATAAAATAACTTCCATCTCTTAATAAATCTTATGCAATTTAAAATATAAGTTCATCAATTGAGAGAGGACAATAAAATACATCATAAATTGATCATGAAAGTAAATAAAATATACTTAAAATGGATATAAATTAAAAAAAAAGGGAATAGTAAATTCTGGCAGGAATGATGAAAAATTAAGATCATACTATAAGAAAAGTATAAAAGAAATGACCTTATGTATGTTATTTATAACTTAAAATCTCATTAATTTTTATTATATTTTTTACAGAAAGATATTAGAGAATAAAATTACAAAGATTAATGTAAAACATTAAGAATTCATAATTATAATTAAAAAATAAGTAATTAAATTGAATATTAATCTAAAAGAAGTAACGAATAGTATGGAGATGAGTAGATTTATTGAAGCTAAATTAGAAATAATAATGAAATTCAAAGAGCAATGTGAATAAATATAAAAAAAATATACGTTTTTGATTATTAATATATAATGAAATTCATTGCCTTAGCTATGTTGGTGATGCTAGCAACATCACAAGAATTTATAGAATTTTACTCTGCATTTTAAAATTCAGATGTAGCTTAATTAGATGGATGGACAATATAAGGGTCATTGTCAAAAGCATAGGCTGATAATTTCTTTACTTGTTCAGATGCCTCTGTTTTTGGAGGACCTAAAGCATTTGGTAAAGGGGCAATAGTTACCAAATAATTTTAATTGCCTCCTCATTTTTAGATTAAAATATCTGTTGAGGTCTGGAAGTATAACAATTTTATAAATCTAGATTTGATGCATGGGACACTTAAAGATAATTTTTTTATTTGGATAATTACCTTTGGGAAACAATGTGGACTGGTAGTGATGGAACAAAAAGATGTGCAACTCCAGCAGGTGGTAATGTAAATTCATTCTAAGTTGATTAAACAATAACTCATAATCATGCAGCATTATTTATTGCATTTGCATCTTCAGCTGATAAAGCAGCTGATAAAGTATAATCTTTTTAATAATCTTTAGATGTCTTGGGGTTTTAGAAACTTGAAATTATCTTATTTGGCATGTCCAGCTGAATGTGGTACATGTCTTGGACCAGATGCAATTGTATGTTAAATGTGGGTACCAGTATCATCAAGCTGGATTAAGACTATAGAAGCTGATGGATGGAGTGCAAAAGGATCTTCAAGTGTTATTAAAACAAGTACTTGTGCAGGAATTCCAATTATTGGTGGTCCTGGTAATTTTGGTAATAATGTTTCAATTTAAAAAATATTTGATAAACTTGTTCCACATTATAGAATTAAAGTGATAGCATAATTTTGGAAGATTGATAATTGGGATAATGATAATGCAGTTTTGTATATTGATAATTAAGAAAAATGGAAATAAAATGTAGCTTAAGTAGAAGATAAAGAATTCTTCATTTGTGATAAGATTACTCCAGGAGGTGTTGATGCAACAGAAAAGATTATTAATGTAAACTTTGAATCTCCTCATAATTATGGTGCTGCACTTGTAAAATGGACAGCCACAACCAAAAAATCATCAAAATAAGCATCTTGGGGTATAAGATAATTTCAACTTTATGTTGCATAATGTTCAAGTAATTGTGCAACATGTACTGGACCTAGTGCTGAAGATTGTACAGCTTGTGTTTCTCCTTATATATTATTGGATCCAGAAGATGGAAATGGATCAGGTTGTGTATTAAAAGGAGATTGGGTTGAATTCACATCAGAATTTTAAGGTTCTAGTTGGACAGCTAATGAGGATTGGAAAGTAAGTGATGGTAAAAATGGACCAGATTTTACTTCAACATGTGGAGAATTCAAATTCTTTGGTGGTTATGAAAAAACAGGAAAAGATGCTAAAATTTCAAGAAAATTCAATTTACCTGCTCATAAAAGAATTAGAATTGCATTTGAAGCATGGAAAATTGATAATTGGAATGGAGAAGATTATATTGTGAAAGTAGATGGATTAAGTGTTTGGTAAAGAACATTTGGATTTGGAGATCCTGGACTTGCTGATATTTGTGGTGGAGATGGATTTGAAAATTATGCTATTGTTGATTTTGTTATGGGACATGAAGCATCTACATTAGATTTAGTAATATCAACAACTATTGGAAAAAATAATGATAATGCTTCATTTGCACTTAAAGGATTTAAACTCTTTTATGAAAAACCAGATGCTTGTGCTACTCTTTATACAGAATGTAATTATACAGGTAATTTTAATATTTATATGAAATTATATAGGAAAATCATTTAATATGTGTGAAGACTTACCTAACTTCCAATTAGCTAAATATCCAAGCAAAATTAAATCAATTTAAGTACCAGCTGGAACTAAAGTGATTCTTTTTGATGAAATGGATTATAATGGTATTAAAATATATATATTTGAATAGGAAAAACAATTGAATACTCTGAAAACCAAAAGTGCATAGAAGAATATCAATACAAATTCCTTTAAAAAAACTAATAAAGTTATGTCTTAACAGCTAACAGTTGATATAATAAATAAAATATAATCATAAAAATCCTGCTTTTTTTTTAGTGTTTTTACTACGATCTTATTTTTATTCATTTTTATCATTTTCTAATATTTATTATCCTTTTCCTTCAAACATATCTGATAATGTATTTTCATAACTCTACCAAAGTTGTTCCTCTAAATAATTTAAATATTTAATATACTTTTATGTAAATTTTAAGTAGGATTATCATTTTTATTTTATTGTTATGGTTGCCTTTTTTTCAATTGTTATAATGTTTTATTCACTTTATTAATGGCGTAATATTAAATGAAATAATTTGCAATAGGAGTAAAGTTTATTTAACATATTTTCTCTTAATCAATTTGATCATCTAAAATGTATACACTTAAATCATCATCTTTATCCCTAACTTTATATTAGGCTCTTTCCTTTTCATTCAATCTTTTTACATAATCCTACTCTAATTATGAAAATGCTGATTTATAATTATTGCATCTATTTTCTAAAGAATGGATAGTTAACAATAATGGATTTACAATATCATTTATCAGAATTTTGTTATGAAATTGGTCATCCACAACTTTACAATCGAACACCCATGTTAGAGTGTATATCTTGATTACATTACTATAACCATAATACAAAGAGGACTCATTTAATTTAAAGGAGTATTCTGCTTAAGGATCAAATTTTAAAGCTAAATCTAATAGATCCAAAACTCCTTAGAAATTTGTAGTTTAAATTGATTTGTTGTATAATTCTTTATCTTTTTAGATACGGTCTTTGTTTAGTTTACAAATCCAAGATTACCTTAGATTTGTGATAACTTTATCTTAAATACAAAAATACAAATCAAACATTTATCAATATTGATTCCTGCACGTATTAAATAGGGTGTGTTTCTACATCCAGTCCATAGAGGTTAAGCTGATAGAAATTTGGAAATAAAATACCTTTAAGAAAATTTAGATCTTCTTCTTCAACATTCATTTTTATCAATATTAATTAATTTGTGAATTTCCCATTAATATTAAAGTAATTGATTTTTATAATTAGAATAACATATCTATCATAATTTTAAATTCTCATTAAAATATTCATTTCTCATAGCTAATGATTGATTTATCATGTTTAAAGATAATGTTGATAATTAAAACTATAGGGGGCTAGTTATTTTTATTTTCAAATGATAATATTTATTCTCCGATTTATAATGCACTACATAATATCTTTCTTAAGATTTTTCTAATAATTTAATAATGAACAACCACATAATAAATATTTTATCAAATGGGCTGCACCTTAAGAAAATAGAAACAATTCTCAACTATCAATATTAATGAATAAAATACCTTTTATTTTGTGATAATAAATGCAGACCAAGGACTTAAAAATTTAAAAAAAAGAAACAGATTGTCAAATTCAGTACCAATTTTAGGGTCGATAAGTAATATTTATCATTCAGTAAAATCTAGATCATAGTACTATAATTTCAAGAAGAATTAAATTATTTCCATCTTAATTTGGTTAAATGGTGTTGAAAATACATAATTTAAAGACTTCAATCCAGGAACAACATAATGGATGAGTAAATATTTATATATCTAAATGATCATAAAGATAATAATTTATTTTTATGTCTAACTTTTAAGATATCATATTGATCTTTAATGATAATAATTGAAGAATGATAATGTAACATTACATTCATAGTCATCAAGATATTATAATATATTCTTAAATGCTCCATTTTAGAGGTTAAAAAAAATAGTTATTAATTTAATATCAATTTAAAAATAATTAAATTATTTTATATTTTCTAATAATGGAGGAAAGAATTGTCTAATTTGCACCATTTTTAGCAAGCAGAGCTAATGAAATAGCTTAATTGTAAAATGCCCTTAAAAGCAAATTTCTAAATTCTACTGCTTAGCCATTTTAAGTGATCCATAAACACATGAGAAGAAGAGCCATGTCACATAATCGATATCGTATACCTAGTTCAGTAGATCATTATTTTTATTATTAGTTAAGAAAAAAGATGTATGCTCCAGGTTTAGAAGAGAGAGACATGAAGTAAAAAATACCAAAATGTAGAAAACATTTGAGAAAACGAAGAGATTTAATTTTTATGAATAGATCAAATAAAATTTTATGGATGGAAACTCACTTATATTAGGTCAAGAGAATGAAAATGATTAATTACTGTGGATTTAAAGTACCAGAAAAAGCAAATGAAAAAAATTTCAGAGCAGTTCATAGATATTTTGATCATGGTAGTATGATTTTTGATGCTTCATATTATTAAATTGTTGAGGGTAGCCTAGAAAATGAATTAATTGTTGATGATCACACTATTATACATCCTTAAGAATTACCAGATACCGATTTTGTTGTTCATAATAATAAATACAATATTTTTTAAATAATTGGAAGAGAATCCTTATCAATTGTTAATTCTTTATTAAACATTTTTAATTGTTCAATAGATGGACAAACACATAAATATTTCAGTTTTAATTATTAATATGAGAAGATTTAAAGTGTTACTACAAAGAAGGGTAGAAAAATAAAGACACTTGATGATTATGATGAAGAGATGAAAGACATGTATGAAACATTTGAAAATAAAGGAGATGAAGACATAAATAGATCAGTTTGGTAAATAGATTAAAATTAATTTATGAAGAGATTTAAAATAGATACAAGAAATAGATATACACATTAGAGAAGCAAAAAATAAATATTCAAAAGATAAAAATAATAATCATAATAATAAGTTGTACCATAAGTCCAAATTGATATTATGAAAAAAAAAAAAGCAATGAGATGGTTATTAAATTAAATGGATAAAAATGAGAATGACATAAGTGTTGAATTATATGATTAAAATGAAGCAGAATAGAAACCTAATCAAGAAATTTAAATAGAATAACCTGATATTTAATAATAAAATCCATTAATTTAAGAAGATATTTAAAAGAATTAATAAAATACTACATTAAAACCTAAAGATGTTCAAATAAAGATTTTAATTATACCACCATCAAATTAGTAAAAGAAATAAATTGATATTGGATACAAATTGATTATTAATTTGGGAGGAGGATTAATAGTATGGAGATTGTTCAATTAATTAAAATTAAAACCTGTTGGTTTACGTGATATTCGTTAAATATGTTTGGAAAATAATTTATTATTTAATGAATACGAGAATGAGGATCTTATAGAAAAATATCTTAAGAGCACTAATAAAATTAATTATTTAGCTTTACAGTTTCCATATCCATTTCAATTTGATTTTTCATTATATCCATCTTGGTGTTCTTGTCATTTAATTGCATATAAAAATGTACCTAAAAAACAAGCATTAATCCTATAACCAACAGAATAAGATTTTGAACTCTTAAAAAATAAAATATATAAAATCCATATAAAAAGAACAGAGGATGAAAAACCAAAAATAAGTAATAGAGTTGAAATATTATAATATGAAAAAAGACTATCAGAAATATAATAGAAACGAAAAATATTGGGTGTAATAACTTTTGGAAATATATCATTATAACATGGGAAGGGGATAGGATAAGGAAAAATAGATGGAAAATTAGCTGGTAAAGACATTATTGTTCTCTTTCGTAATCATGATTCTGAATATTGTTTCTTTGCAGATTGTAAAGTAAATATTATTTGATTTAATACATAATTTGATATATTAAAATATACAATTTAAATTTAACAAATCAAACTAATTCTATTGATTCTGGTTTTCGAACATAGATCTAAAAATCATAAAATCTCTCAATTGCCAAATCGAATAAAAATAGCATACAAGTTAAAGCTAGAGCTAAATATAGTTATGGTCTAAAATATATAATTAAATATATACGAAATAAGATATCTGTAAAAATTAAATGAGGGAGATAACTCATAATCATTCACTATAATCAAGATTAGCCAATAAGCAAGAATTGATAGTACAATGAAAAATATGGTGAAGTTATAATTAGTATATGTAAAAGTTAGTACCTTAAGATTAACAAGAAGAATGACTATTCCATATATAAATACTCCATCTTCAAAAAATTCCATTGTCTTACCATTGTCCATGTTTTAGTTCTCAGTTGAAAATGTACAGACTAGAAATATGATCAAACCTTGAACCATTCCATTAAAAACCCAAAGCCAAAATTTAATAATTGTAAAAATTGGTTATTATCTAAACTAAACATATACATCAGGTTTCTCTTCAAGTATATTATGTGTTGTTTTACTCCATTAGAAATGTTCAGAAGAAGGATGCATTTCATCAAACAGAGCATATAGTACCTAAGGTAGAGATGCAAAAATAGTATTAAATAATTAAGACAACCATTGATCATATAAGTATTATCCACTAAAGCCATTAAGGAATCCAAACCAAAAATAAGGAGTGATAAACACCTAGTTTTTAAAAAATATATATAGAATTGTAAGTGCATTTTTTCTTGAACACTCAACTCCATAATAGAACATTAATCGTTTAAGATGTTTGAATTCTTATATTGCAAAATCTGCTGCTCTAGCTGCTTATGTACCTTCAACTCCTTAAATTCCAACTCCAACATGAGCCTTTAATTAAATGATTGAATTTACTTCATTAATCATAGAAACATCATTAGCTCCATCACCAATAGCCAAAGTATATGCCTTTGGGAGATTCTCTTTAACTAAAGCTACAACTTATTGCTTTTGTTTTGGAGATACTCTGGCGACAATGACCACTTTGGCATAGAAAGCTCTTTTTAAAAGCATTGATTTAAGTTATGGATTATCTAACATTACTGATAATGCTTATCCGCTAATCACCAATGCAATATTAGCTGACTCATTACAATAATGCAAAAATACTTCCTCAATACTTCCAACTGTTGTTTCAGTAACTACTTAAAGCATATCCTTGCTGTCAATTAAATTACAAGAATATCCTATTGCTATTGCAGTTTCAACTTTATCACCTGTAAGAACCCAAACTTTGATACCTGCAGACTTTAAATCTTAAATAGTTTATCCAACATCATCAGCTAACAAATCTTCAACAGCAGTAATTCCTAAAAATTCTAAATTAGACTCTAATGTTTTTTATAATTTGTTCATCATTTCATCATCTTTATCCTCTTATGCTTTTTTATAACTATAATTTTAATAAATTGTAATACTCTGCTAAATAGATATCAATTTCATTTTAATTAAAGGTTTTTCTACCTAACATTAAGGTTCTATATCCTTTGACTGCATATTGATGGATGATTTACTAATTTTTACATTCTCCTATTAATTCAAGTAATACTTCATCAGCTCCTTTACAAAATAAAATATATTCATTTCCTGTTTTGACAACAATGGTCATTCTCTTTTTTTCACTGCTAAAATCAAAATTCATTACTCTATGAAATTGAGTTTTATTTATAGTAAGATTATTATTATTATCGATGCCTTAAAATAAATAACCTTTTTATTCACAATAATCTAATATTGCTAATTCATCAGGAGAAGATCCTATCAATTTATTTTTTGATTTTACAACAGAATGACATAAACTCAAACATAATAAAGCTTCTTTTTCATTTTATGCAAATAGTTCTCTAAATTACATAGAATTTTTAGTTAATGTACCTGTTTTATCAGTGAAAACAATATTTATTTCTCCTAATTATTCAATTAAATTAGATTAATGTGATTTTGAATTTGGCATAACTTTATCTGATTCTAACATTTTAGCTTAACCAAATTTTACTAATTCTACATTTACAACTAAAGATATTGGTATAAAATATGAAAGCAATGAAAACCATAAACCTAGATCTACAAATACATTATCTTTAGATAATCCCAAATATGAATAATTAAGATGATTATTAGTCCATAAGAATTCATAAATAGATGCCATTATACAAAATAATGCCAAACTTATTGATATAGACATTATACAAATTCTCATATATTATTCTAATCTACTTCTTTTTGTTCTTTCTTATGAGGAATTCAACATGATTTTACAGTCCATACCACTGTAAATACATAAACCTATTATCCATTCTGTATTTTTTAGGATACAATCTCTTTCAATAAAGTTACCATAGTTTAATGAATCCACATCAGAATTACTAATTTGATAAGTCCCTGATAGTTTATATAATATTGGATTCTTTTAATCGTATACAAATTTAACACTGTTATCTTTTTACTTCAGTTTAATTACTATATAAATACAAAGTTTATTGCATTATCAATGTGATATTTTTGTTATAAATCATAGATTGAATATTTTTGCTTTAAATTAGTTTCACCATCTATTTGTTTAGTCTCCACATATGCTATACCTCCTTAATAACTAGATGACAATATTAAGATGTCACAAGGAATACTTTCATTTTCCATCACTAAGATAATGTCTGCTTAATATATATCCTTCCAACAACACTCTATAAATTAATTTTCAAAGTATTTATGTGATTTACGTTTATTCTCTTCTTAATCAGATTTATATCTATTTTAATAAGAGTATTTACCTTGAATATTCTTCGAAGGCATCTTTAATTATACTAATACTAATCATCATTGACAAAGGTCCATAAATAGTGGGTACACCATTAGTATAAGAAGTAACAGGAATTATTTGTAATATACCAATAACAATGAAATAAATATTAGCAGGTTAAGTAATTTACTTAATAAAAGCATATGGAAGAAAAGTGAGCCATGTTGTTTTCATAGTTGTAATGGTATTAGGTCTATTTCTCATTGGAGTATCATCTGGTAAGATAATCTTTTCTGTTTATGAAACCTATTCATTAATTTGGAAGTAACTCTTCATTGAATGAAATAATTTTCTGTAATTTTATATTTTAAATGTTTATATTGTTAAATTCATTCAATCCAATACTCAAGAAAAAACAATTTTTTTTTTGATATAAATAATTTATTAAAATTTAATCATCAATCTTAAGTGGTTGTGTTTTTATTATCATCATCAATAACTCCATCTACTATACCTGAATCCTTTTAAAGAATTTCCTCTCGTATTGATTCATCTATTTTTATATTTACACTTGAAGGATCAAATAATTATTCTTATTCATCCTATTAATTTATTGTTTCATTATCAATTTTATTCTTATCTTCAATATCATCATTTTTATTTTATTATTCTTTTGTTATTTCCACATTTTTTATATTATCATCTTAATTAGTATTTAATTGAGTAGTACTATTTACCATTTGGATATTTTCTATAATTTTCTTAATTCCAGAAAATTATTTTGGATTATACATATGAATCTTATGTTTAAGTGTTTCTGATAGTTTTGCTCTCTTTTATTGTTGTATTTAATCCATATCTAAAGTGAATGAATTAAGGTTTTTTAAATCTTCTACAAGTTCAGTTGGTATCACAGTAAGACTTTTTAATTCTAAAATATGAAAGTTATATTCAGATCCTAAAAATAAAAATTTTGCTTCAAAATGAATTGGTTTACCCTTTTCTAATTTTTAAAATGTTTAAATTGAATATTAATATTCATTTACACCTATAATAATATCAGGTAAATCTTCAGTTGATTCTGTTGGATCCATCTTTAAATAAACCCAATAATTGTAATGAAAATTTTGATCATAATTAGGTTTAGTTTGTATATAATCACTAAAATTAATTTTTTATAAAATACCCTTTCCATGATACTATTTTATTCTTAAAATAGGTTTCAAATTAATGCCTTGCTTTCAAACCATTATCAACAAATTAAAATTTACCACAAAATTATAAGAAATCAACCCATGATTTATTTGAATAGACATTTGCTTCAATTTAAGGATGCTCTTACTCTGTAAAATATTCAAAATAAAAAAATAAAGAGATAATAATTGTCAATAAAATTAAAGCATATTTTCTAGATACTACTACAAAACAATTGCCAAATCTAAATTATAATACTTAATCATTGATATTTGGTAATTAAAAATATTTTCTTTTTTCTAATTCCTAATTACAATAATAGCATCTCTTTATTATCATCTTAAACATTTATTAATTTTATATACTTTTGTTGATTAAAATACTAATGGGATGATAAATATGCACCAAATTCCAAAATAAAATAAAGAAACAAAGGAAATTATAAATGAAGCTGGAGATGGCACTTATTATAATATACTTTCCCTTGCAGCACCACAATTAGGACATACAGGTTATGTTGAATTAACTGTTGTCTCACCTTACTCTTCATTTTCGGTCTTAGAAATTAACATAATTAAATAATATTAATGACAAAATTCCATCAATTCTTTAATTTTAACTTATAATAACCTTCCACGCATTCATTATTATATTAATAGTTATAATATTTTATATGACATTCTTAAAAATAAATCATAAAAAAGGTTGCTTAAGATCTTAACCTGGAGCTTAAGCTTTTGATAATTTCTATCTAAATTTTTAAACATATTCTTGACCTTCTTCGGTATGTTCATCTGCAAATCCAATTTCAAATTAAAATCTTTAAAATCCTAAAGCTCCTAATAATTTATCATATATGTCAAATATATTACAAATTATCAAAATTACTAATAAAATTGGAAATGCTAATTTGAATTCGGCTATTTATTAATATCAATTTATTACTTAAATATTGATCAAAATTGAAATTTCCAACAACATTTGCAATATCTGCATCAGATTCATTAAACATCCAAAAAAAATTAAAAGCTAAAGGAAAAGCAATTCTTGAAATAAAAGTGGCTGAAAAGATTAAAGATGGTCCATCAGTAAACCCATAATCATAAAATCCATATCTATTTAATCTTATACTTAAAAGACCATATTATACACAATATAATACAAAAAGCAAAGGAATTAATACTAATATTTAAACTGCATAAAAATCTTCTTCATCATTTATAAAATATATGAAAACATTAAATTTAAGATTACCAAATATTGCTATTTCTGATAATGTAATTAAACCACCTAGACAAATAAAAATTATAGCAGCACTGTACATAATAATTTTCCAAAATTTAGCATACCAATAATATTATAGTTTATCAATAAAATTTCCAAAACAACCAATTCTTTATGGTCTTATTGCTGATGTTATTTTCTTTTCTCTATTATCACAATTAATGATATCTTCTATAAATAGAGCTTATGTAGTTAATATTTCCAATTTCTTAGAATTTCTTACACAATCATATGATAATTCCTTTGCTCGTTTATGAATCTCAGCAAATTTATCAAGATTCATATCTTCTAAACCTTAATCATTTTTACTCCTTTAACGACTTAGTTTTGCTGAATCTATCTAATCTTTTGTAAATAATTCAAGTATTTTTTAAACATAAGGTTGATATTCTTCATTATATTTGTATTTTGATTCATAAGATAAAATTTCAATTAACAAATCATCAAGATCTAACAATTCTCTTTCAAGTAATTCTTTAGTCTTATTTATTTAATGATATTTTAAGTTTAGTTATATTTGATGGTTGCTTTCTCTAAAATATTATTTTGGAATAGCAACTATTGCATATCCTAATAGAAAAGTAACAATCAACAATCCTCTAAAGATTAATTAATTTTATACAATGCATTACTCAATACTACTGTAAATGCTAACAAAGCCTGAAATGTAAATGATTTCTCAACTAGCAAATATATTGTAAATCCGAATCCTAAAACACCAAATATTGCATATGTTATCAAATTTATTTTAATTGCTTTAATAAGTTTTTATTTAAAAGTGAATTCTCCTGCAGCTTCATAGTCTAAAGTGATTGGAAGAAAAAACCTATAATATAGAATACAATTATAATTACCATGTTAATAAAAATGTTACCCAATATAAAACAACCCAAATAATTTCTATTTTAGTATCCTCCAAATTTTATTCATTCTAATTATCATTCAACATTTACTTTGTAGATGTCCAATGGTAAGATTATTACCAAACTAAATGAAATCAACCAAGAGATTAATGTTAAGGTTTTAACATAGAAATTTACTTGTTTTGAAGCATGACTATGTATTACATACCATAAATATGCAACAAGGAATATTGATTCGATTATCAATAAAATTAACATTTAATTAACAAACATAGAATTGAATAAATATGTATATGAATAATATAATAGTTAAATTTTTTTGATTTTTATCCATATTATACTTGTTTATAATATCTATTAATTTTATAATTCATAATTATACAATCTATAAAACAATTATTTACATAATAATAATAGTCTATATATATAATTAATTAATATATTTCATATAATGTTTGATGAATTTTTAATAAGATTATATAAACATAATATTTAAATTAAATATAAATGCTGAATTTTTTCAGTTTTCATTAAAATTAGTTATACTTATTAAGATTATAGATATAAAAATTTTATTAAAATAGAATTATCAATTTTTTTATTTAATCATAAAATTGTGTTCCATTAAAAATATTAGATAATTAGAATTTTTTTTTTCCAATTAAAAATTTGATATTTCCCTTGTTTCAAATATGATTGATTAATTTTGAAAATTACAATTCTAGTATTTATTTTTTAAATAATTAATTTCTATATAGCCTTATTATTTGAATAGAAATTGAATATCCAATTAAATTGATGAATTAGTGTATATTTGTAAAATATCTTTAATTAATGATTATTAATTTTTAATAATTATTATCATTCGAAGTATCAACTCTTTTTAATTATAATAAGCTGCATTACTTTAAGTTTTAAATAATTAATATTATTATTGCTGTTATTTTTAATTTCAATGGGAAATTGTGCTACTTGTGATGATCCATCAATTTATGAGAATGTAAAACCGGTTAAAAATAAAATAAATTTAGAAAACTAAGAGAATATTTAATAACTCACTCCTAAGAGTAAATTATCTTAGAGTATAGTTAAATCAGAAAATCCTAGTTTGATTGTTTAATAACATATTAGGTAAAATAATAGTTAATTATTTATAGATAAGATCTAAAGATATTAGAATCAATGCCAGATTTTACTAATTAAAATACAAAAGCCTTACTAGAAAGATTATAATAATTTAATTACGATCAAAATGAACTATTTGAATTTAAATAACTTCCTTTTTATGGACCAGTCGAAATGGAACCTAATGTATTTTATTATGGCCAATGGAAAAATGGACTCAGACATGGAAGAGGTAAGTAAGTTTGGGTTGATGGTTCTATATATGAAGGATATTGGTTTTAAGATAAAGCTTGTGGAAATGGAAGATTGATTCATGCAGATGGAGATCTTTATGAAGGAAAATGGTTAAATGATAAAGCTCATGGTTATGGAATTTATCATCATAAGGATGGAGCATTTTATAAAGGAGAATGGTATGAAGATTAATAACATGGATATGGTCTAGAAAAATGGTCTGATGGTTCTATGTTTGAAGGAACATATAATAATGGTATGAAAGATGGTAATGGTAAATTTAATTGGCCAGATGGTAGTTGTTATATTGGAGAATTTATAAATAATAATATCCATGGAAAGGGACACTATTCTTGGGCTGATGGAAGAGTGTATGAGGGTGATTGGAAAGAAAATTAGATGGAAGGAAAAGGGGTATTCACTTGGTCTGATGGAAGGTACTAATACATATTAATAACATAGAAAATATATAGGAGAATATGTTGATGATAAGAAAGATGGATATGGAGAATTTTATTGGCCTGATGGAAGAGTCTATAAAGGTCAATGGAAGGATGGTAAATAACATGGAAAGGGAAAATATAAAGGAATAAATAATGTCTTGAGGGAAGGAGAATGGATAGAAGGAAAATTATAAAAATGGATATAATGAATTCATATTTATTTACTTATCAATAGAACTGGACTTATTATATGAATGGCCAATTTTTTCCTGTGATCCAAAAAGTCTAAGTTTTTTAATTGAATGCAATTCCATTTAAACATCCATCAGGCCTATTTGCTTCCTTAACAAGATCTGGGAAATTATATTTTGCCAATACTTTGCCTTTTTCAAGATCTATAGCAAAGATATGTGTTTTTCTATATTCATTTGCATATAATATTCCATTTGCATATTCTAATTCATTTAAATAATTAACTGGGATGATTCCATAAAAAATTTAAATTGATTTCAACAATTAAAAATCTTCATTTAATATATGTATTTTTCCTGATCCATCTGATATTAGAATCTATGTTTCTCCATTGAATACACGATGAGTTAACCCCCAACCTTCCTTTATTGAAGGATGTAAATTTATTTATCCTATATATTATAGATCTTCCTTTTCATATACAAATCTAAGGTTTTTATTAATGAATACATTTTTCTTTCTAACCAAGTTAATTAATAGACTTTATTATTGATAATATCACATCCTTCACCAAAGAACTAATCATCTAAATTTTAGTTATGCTAAAATGTATTAACATCATTTAATTTTATATAGTGGATTCCACTCTTTTTATAAAGTCCTACTGACTCTAAAATGGTATCATCGTTCAAAAAAGTAAATCCCTAATAATGATATAAGATGATTACTTATGTATATTAGGGATTTCTCTTATTATCTCTAAGTACTCGATTTAAGTATTTAAATTTGCCTGTTAGTTAAGTTTGTAGAAATTATTATTCAAATCCAAAATAGGAATGTGCTAATGTAATAATAATAACTAAGGCTATCATATTTTTGAACAATGTAAAAAAATAATTTTAAGAAAAATTCTAAGAAATCAATAATCCTTATCCCAATTAGGATCACGTGCCTTTTCAGGTTTGTAAACATTCTAAGCAGTCGCAAGATCATTCTAATCTACTAATTAAAAATTACTTTAATTTCTTCAGTGATCAATTTACCAACTTGAATAGCCTTTTAAATATCTTTATCACTATGTAATTTGTTTTTAGGTGGTAAATAAGGAGGTTTCAATTCTCTATTAATTAAAAGATCCTAGCACATTCAAATTTATAAATACATAATCAAATCTTTCAAAAAAAGTGTTATTTTTTAAACTAGCATAAGATGATCCTAGTCTAAGTTCTGGAGTTTTACTAAGCAATTACTCAATTAATTTCTTTGCTTTTCTATCTTTCAATACTGATGGAAATGTTAACTATTTCTTTTAAATTTCTTCATAAATTTCATAACTAATATATCATTTATAAATAAAATTTACGGATCATCTGCATCTTCTGCATAAGGTACATTTCCACACATAAATTCGTACAGACAGACTCCTATAGACCATAAATCAACTGAATATGTGTATCCCTTGCCAGTTAAGATTTCTGGGGCCATATAATGTGGAGTTCCAATAATTGTATATGTTCGACCATTTTTACTCTTTAAATTTTTAGCTGTTCCTAAATCTATCAATTTCATAAATCCCTATTATTTATAAATTTTGATAATACTTTTTCATCAATCATTATATTTTCTGGTTTAATATCCCTATAAATTATATTATTTAAGTGTAAATATTCCATACATAAAATCAAAGATCCTATATAGAATTGAGAATCATATGTATTAAGCAATCCAATATCTCTGATTACATCAAAAAGTTCCATTCCTCTAATATATTCTTCTAAGAAATAAATATAAGTATTATCCTTGAAACTTCGGGTGAAATGCATTATTAATGGAAAATTAACAGTTTCCAAAGCTATTTTTTCTTAGGCCAAATGCTTTTCAAGATTTTATTCAATAATTTAAGCCTTTGAAATACATTTTAAAGCATATATCTTTTTATCTATTTTATTATGAACCAAATAAACATTTCCAAATTATCCTTAACCTAATTTCTTCACATAAATTAATTGATCCAACTAAAAATGTTTAAAAACATCTTATTTTTGACCTTCCTCCTTCTTTATAAATCTATCATGCGCTTTTTCATTTTTAGCAAAGATTTATTCTAAAGAACCTCCAATAATCTCAAAAAATTATTTAAATGTTATTATTGCAATCATTCCTTCATCTTTCATTACAACTGGCTCTCCTAGCTTAACATTTTCTCCTTAATCTAAAAATTTATCTCCAAACATTTATCCTTTTTCTAAGACTTCCTTTCCATATTTTATTGACCCTTAAAGTACAATTATAATCTCTCTACAAGGTTATCCTTTCTCTATTATAACTTCTTCACTTTTCTTTTGTGTCTGTTACATATTACTCACAATTCTTTCAACTTACAATTTAGTCAATTTATTAAGAACAGCATGTCTTTCAAATGCCCATCTTTAAAGATTACTGTACATAATCAATTATATTTTATCTCCCAATATTCTAGTTAAATCATCTCTTGCTAAAGCTAAAACAGTCACATCTTCTTTAATTGCTTTTGCAGTAGCACCTCTAACTGAATTCTATTATAATGCTTATTCCCCCAAAGAATCCCCTGCCTTCATTATTCTTAATTCTTTTCCACCTCTAGATATCTAAATTTCTCCTTTTTTTATAATAAAGAATGAATCAGCCTAATCTCCTTCATTGACTATAATCTCTCCAGCTTTAAAATTTAAATTTATTAATGCTGATGGTATTGCAGCTTTTTAATCATCAGTCAATGATTCTATGTGTAAAATGTTAATTTACCAAAAAACTGCACCTTATTTATAAATTCCTTATTCTAATCATAATCTTTTTATGAAATTGATTCTATTGCTTTTCTTACTGTATTTCTATCTATTGCCCAAAATGCACAATCTAAAAATGTATTTATTTTTACCTCCTATTGCCTTAACAGATGCTGATCTTGGTGCATTATATAATAAGGCTAGTTCTCCAAAAGCTTCACCACTTTTTAACGTTTTTTTTACTTCATTATTTATTATAATCTAGCATTATCCACGTTCAATTAAGAAGTATGAACTTGCCTTATCTCCTTGTTTAAAAACCAATTCGCCATCGTGAACTGTGCAATAAAACATTTTGTCAACCACTTTCACTCTTATCTACTAAAAATAGAATTTATACTTGTCTTCTGGTTGTAATTACCCAAAAATAAAGCTATTTCCAAAAGCATTCAAAAGCAATTAGTAATCAAATGGACTTTTTACCTTTTCTTATTTTTGAACATTCTCATATATGACTTCTTGATCAATAACTGCAGCTATTTTTGCCATCTTCTTTTGCTCTTTTCTTTTGGGCTATGAAATATTGAATCAGCAAATATACTTCGTTCTCTTATTTTGCTTAATCAATTGATTGAGCAGGCTCCTCTTATTTTTCAACTGCTTAGGTTTTAACTTCCTCTGGTTTAGAAGGTGGCATCTATTAAATAGGAGGAGGTTAGGATGAAGTAACCTCTAAATCGTTTTTATCATTAATTGGATTTTACCGACAAATGTTTCCCATTAATGATAATGTTTATATATTAATAAAATAAAGGAAAATAAATTTTATATTTAATTCAATATCAGAAAATCAAATATTTAAGATAAAAGTAATATACATTTCTAAGATTTTAAGAAGAAATTTTTATATTTATTTACCAAATACATTTTAACTCATTCGAATTATATAATATATTGAACCGATTATTAATCATTTATAATGATTTAATGTCTTATCAAGCTTAGCTAACTCACATTTAATTATATAAATTGATTAAGTAATATTCTGGTTATGAATATTGTTCATTATTCACTATTAAATTGTATCATCTGTAAAATTCCATTGTTTTAAATCGTTCCAATTTTCGCTCTGTTTTCTTTTAACATTTGAAGTCTTCTTTATGACAGCTCTAGCTGATTATGGAAATTCAGCTAATGTAACAAATCTTCTCACTTTATTTTTTAGTTAACACTATCCATTTTAAATAGGGTATAAGGTTCGGTTTACATTAGTTTTAGCTCTATAGGTTTAATTATGAGTTTTATTTAAATCTTTTATTTCCATTTTGGCCAATCTAATTTTCATATATTTTTAAAAAAGGTTTTCTCTAGGTTTGTTTTTATCTGTTTAGCTCTATGGTATAGTTGAGGGTTAAAAATGCAATTATTAGAATTAGAAAGAGTTTTTAGGTAAACATAATGAGAACATTGTCAAAAAGCTTAGAATAAATTGAAAAAATTAAGAAATTTATTATCTTAAAAACTTGTAATAAGTTAATAAGAAAATATTATTAATAGTATTAATGAAAATTAAATATGATTTTATTGATAAAGAGTAGATATTTATTGAATTCACTTACATTTATTTTAATATTATTTAATAATTAAAATGTTGCCATAGTTAAAACTTATTTCTTTGGTTGTTAGAGTATTTGCAAGACCAATAATTACAAGCAAAAAAGAAATATCTATCCAAAAGGTCTAAATGAGTAAATAAAGATTTATTACACAATAAATACTTAATTTAGGAAATGCTTATTATTTCTGGGATGTATAGAGATTATGAAAGATAGTAAAAAATTGATAGAATCTATTTGAACTAAAATTTGAAAGTTGAATATGATTAATTAAATGAAGATGAGGCCTTAAAATTAGTTATATTAATTATTATTGTTTGATAGGGAACAGAATTTTTCTTAGAAATATTAATATATACCATTTTGATACTAGTCTCTTCATTCGAAATATGGAAAAATTATTTTGAGTAATAAGATAGATAAAAAAATATGAATAATACAATAAGAGTAATTTTAATGTTAAAATAGAATTTATAATATTAAATTAAAATTATTAAAGAACAGAAATTGAAAGACCTGAATGACATTTAGTAGGTTTATGAAATCTATGAAACAAATCTTAAATCATTTTAAAATAAAAAAGATAAAGCAATGAAATAAGTCTCTATAGTCAAATAAGTAAGAATTATTTTANTTATATAAATTGATTAAGTAATATTCTGGTTATGAATATTGTTCATTATTCACTATTAAATTGTATCATCTGTAAAATTCCATTGTTTTAAATCGTTCCAATTTTCGCTCTGTTTTCTTTTAACATTTGAAGTCTTCTTTATGACAGCTCTAGCTGATTATGGAAATTCAGCTAATGTAACAAATCTTCTCACTTTATTTTTTAGTTAACACTATCCATTTTAAATAGGGTATAAGGTTCGGTTTACATTAGTTTTAGCTCTATAGGTTTAATTATGAGTTTTATTTAAATCTTTTATTTCCATTTTGGCCAATCTAATTTTCATATATTTTTAAAAAAGGTTTTCTCTAGGTTTGTTTTTATCTGTTTAGCTCTATGGTATAGTTGAGGGTTAAAAATGCAATTATTAGAATTAGAAAGAGTTTTTAGGTAAACATAATGAGAACATTGTCAAAAAGCTTAGAATAAATTGAAAAAATTAAGAAATTTATTATCTTAAAAACTTGTAATAAGTTAATAAGAAAATATTATTAATAGTATTAATGAAAATTAAATATGATTTTATTGATAAAGAGTAGATATTTATTGAATTCACTTACATTTATTTTAATATTATTTAATAATTAAAATGTTGCCATAGTTAAAACTTATTTCTTTGGTTGTTAGAGTATTTGCAAGACCAATAATTACAAGCAAAAAAGAAATATCTATCCAAAAGGTCTAAATGAGTAAATAAAGATTTATTACACAATAAATACTTAATTTAGGAAATGCTTATTATTTCTGGGATGTATAGAGATTATGAAAGATAGTAAAAAATTGATAGAATCTATTTGAACTAAAATTTGAAAGTTGAATATGATTAATTAAATGAAGATGAGGCCTTAAAATTAGTTATATTAATTATTATTGTTTGATAGGGAACAGAATTTTTCTTAGAAATATTAATATATACCATTTTGATACTAGTCTCTTCATTCGAAATATGGAAAAATTATTTTGAGTAATAAGATAGATAAAAAAATATGAATAATACAATAAGAGTAATTTTAATGTTAAAATAGAATTTATAATATTAAATTAAAATTATTAAAGAACAGAAATTGAAAGACCTGAATGACATTTAGTAGGTTTATGAAATCTATGAAACAAATCTTAAATCATTTTAAAATAAAAAAGATAAAGCAATGAAATAAGTCTCTATAGTCAAATAAGTAAGAATTATTTTAATAAAATATAGCTTCATATTTAAGATACCAAAAAGAACAACTAAGATTGTTGAATATAATTAAATATTTTAAATTTGATATCATAAACAAAACAATTATTTTCAAAATTGAATAGATGAATTCATCATCCTTTTTTCTGTATGGAATCTGAATCTTCTATTTTTTTGCAAATTAAATGAAAATCTCTGAGTTTGTTATCATAATAATGATTATATGATCTATTATTTTTAGGACTTGCAGTATTTCTCTGCTTTAATTCTTTGATTGTTTAATTTTCCTATTATATCACTTTAATTTATTTAATATATTTACATTTGATAAAATCTCTTAATTTATAAAAATAGTTCTTTCTATGTTCAGCATTAGTATCAATACCTGAATGTCCAATGTTTTCTACTTCCCAATATTCATATAGTCTTTAACAATTATTTGCTAATAATTTTGCCTATGTAAAATCTATTATTTCATCTTCCAATCCATGCATAATGAAAACTGGACATGTAACATTTTTAATTCTGTCAACATTTGGAAAAATATCATAAAATGGAGTTGATTTCAATTTATTATTCAGAACTCTCAATCCAGAACTTAAACCAGAATGAACAACTAAGCCACCAACTGGAAATTCATTATCAGAAACTAGCATAACACTTGGTCCAGATCCTATACTATAACCATAAACAATTATTTTAGTAGGATCAAATTTTAATTAAGAGACCAAAAAATCATAAGCCACCTAAATATTATTGATAATATTGAGATCTGTGCATTTTCCTTATGATAATCCATAACCTGAATATTCATAAGCAAAGACATTAATTCTTAGGTTAGTACATAAATCTAGTATTTAATAATTACAAGTTACCAATTAATGTATCAATCATATAACCCAAATCACTTGCATTTCCATGACTAAACAATATCACCATATCACTTATAGGAAAAGCACTTTTAACATAAAGGGATGCTATCCTATGTCCTTTTCTGCCCTTTAAAAAATATCCAGTTAATTCTAAATTATCTTGCTTTGGAATGATTATCTCTTTTCCATGTTCATCAATTAAATAAAAATCATGAGACGGATATATAGGACTTATTAAATTAAATTTGACTATTACTCTTCGCGTGTTGGACTAGTACCTCCACTAGAAAATTGCATAAGCTCATCTGCTAAATCTAATAACCCTAATGAGTTTATATTTTCATCATCATAGGATTTAGATTTCTATCTAATGTCTGATTCATATTCAATTTATTAAAGTGAGCAAGAATTTTTATTTGTGCTTTAAGTTGTATTATCTTCCATTCTTTATTTTAAAGCATAACTCACCTTTGGTGGTTAAAAGGCAATGTTTTTTAATATTTTTTATCTTAAACCACAAAAGCTTAGTGATTAAAATATCCCTACTGTTATTGAAGACTTTAGATTAGACATAGCAAATTTTTCTAAATATAAATTTTGATTAATCTTTCGAAACAATTCCTTATAATATCATTAAGAAAAACTTAAATATAATCAGCATAGATGAAACAATTTTAGCGATGTAGATTTTAACAACATTTAATAATTTTTCTAATTCCTTTTAACACTGGAATATCAAATCAATAGAAGAATAAATAAAAGTAGTATTTTAGTAAATTAATCACATATATTCGAAAATTAATAGAAGACTATTATTTTTAGATTTATTCATTAATTTTATCAATTATAAAGGTAACAATCTTTACTATTACTACAATTATAAGTTTAGGACAAATAATATTCAAGTTAATCAAGCCAAATTTCATAAGTCAAAATAGGCAAATTTCAACATTTATCCCAAAGCCTAATGTATATGAATAGATATTTAATATGAAAATTGAAAATTTTAATCATTTTAATGCTCCAATAAATTTATAAGAATATAAATTGTTGAAGTGCTTAATAATCAAAAAATAATTAAAATTATTTAAAGTATATTAAAATTATCAAATTCTCTAATCAAGTTGAAAAATCACAAATAACAAACTAAATGTCAAATAAGGTTTTTGATTATTCTTCAAATTACTAAATACTCTAATTTTATTAATTAAAAAAATTTTTTTGAGCTCCTTTTTTATATTATTTATATTTTTAAAAAACTAATTAAATTAGGTTTAAATTAAAGATCTTAGTTATTTATTATCTTTTTGCTTTATTTAATTAATAAAAATATTATTAAGATTTAAAGATACAAAAGTAATGATATTATCAAATTCATTTTATTAGCATGATTTAAATTTTTTTCTTAATTCTTCAGATTATCTACTTATTTATTCTATTTTATTGTTAAACATTTCTTTATATTCTCAGAAAGATTTATTGTTTTCTTATTTTGAAATCTCAAAATATTTCTTAAAGTATCCTGTGAAGAAATAAAAAAATATCTTCTACTTTAGATTATAATATTCAATTTATTTGATGTTTTTAGATTATTTTATAACTTTATTACATTTATACATAAGGATGATCTTAAAATCAATAAATTTATTAAACAAGTTGAATTCTTAATAGTTATTTAAATGAATAACTAAAAATCATGATTTAAAAAATGTAAACCGTACAAGAATTATTTATAAGAACTATTTTATTATAAATAATTTAGAAATATAAATAATTTTTCAGATTCATAATATAATTTATATATATATTGAAATGATAAATTTTTTATTGTGATTGTTCTTATAAAAATCACATTCAGTTGAAGTTTTTTATTATAATTATTAATTATAAAGAATATTTATTATTATTTTGATTAATAAATATCACATATATACAATTAGATTATCCTTGGTAATATCATCTTTATTTTAAACCATATTTATTCCTTTTATTGAGATAAAATTTACATCAATGAAATTAAACTCTCTTTAAGTTCTTAAGAATTCATCGGTATGAACTCATCCTATCTGAGTGATATTTTATGTTATTGTCCTACACGAGGTGTTTTTAACCTTTAAATCAAATTTTATAGATAGTTTAATTCAGTTGTTTAAATAGTTTAGACTATAGTTTCAGTTTTGTTAATCGATGGAGAATGACAACATTATTTATCAGATTTCTCAGACTTAATTCGGTTTGTTCGATTACCTCTTATCTTTGGAGAAGCTTTATGTCTGTCAACTGACTTAAAGTTTAAGTCATATTGTAATGACGGCAAAATTAATTTGGAAGGTCTTTTTCTATCTTAAGAAGACCCAAAAACAACAGAATTTTTATTTGCAGTTGCCTTTATTGTGTTATTAATTTTGCATGCCAGAGAAAAATGGTTTTGATGTAAATTGTTTAATTTGAACCTTTAAAAATTGGGAGATGCATCAAATCTATCGTTTTCAATAGTTTTATTCACCTATAAGGATTCTATAATGGGTACATATATCATTATTAAAATTTTATAATATATTTTAAGTTGATGATATCACTTTCTTGTATTTTATTTTTGAAATGTAGAATAATTATAAATTGATTATCAAATAAATATATTTATCATTAACAAGTTTTTAAAAGTCTCATGTGTTCTTCCTTAATTTTCATAAACTTATCATTAAAAGAATTAAGCATATTAGTTAAATACTTTATTTATTCATTTTATTATGCAATATGTTAAGCAGATTAATTATCATTTATTAATATAGTCTTAGACTCTAATTATTTAATTTTATCTTCAGATCTTTCATTAAGTTATTTCCAAGCTTTTATCTATTAATCTTAATTTTTTATTTTTTCTTTTAAAATATCTATTTCTTTTTTATAATTTTCTTCCTAAATTAACATACTCATATGTAATGCATAATATTAATCATTAGTTTAATTTAAATCTTAAGCAAGATTTATTTGATCATTTGTATTCATTCTAGAATCTGGTCTTAAATCAGTAGCCTCAAAAGAATTCAATCTAGACTCTCTTCTTGAAGCTTCTCTAATTTTTTCATTTAAACAAACTTCTTTCTAATGAAATTCATGATTAAGTTCAGTAATTTTTGATTAAAGTGATTAGATTTCAGCTTCTAATTATAATGTTCTTTTTTTTTCATTTTAAAATGAATTAAAGATTTCCTAAAACGATGTTTATAATTTATTTAATTATCTATCTTTATCTTCTATAAGTTTAGTATAATATAATTTTTATTATGTTAATTTTTCTTTAGTTTATTCATATTTTTATTCTTATTTTATGTATTACATAATTTTAAGTTTCAATTATTCATTTTCTAATCGAGTATTATCTTTTAATAAATTTGCTTCTTTTATTTAATTTTATTAAGATTAAACTTTAATTTCTAATTCTCTCGTTTTAGATTAACTAGACCATAATTATTTATTTAATTCTTCTAATTCTTTAATTTTTTCTTCATTAAAAGAAGATTTTCTCTCTAAAATTACTAATAAATACATAACTGTTACCATGGGATTCAAGCATAACAATATGTTCAGTCTTATCTTTATTTTCCTATTCTAACTTTTTTATTGACATCTTTTATTCAATAATTTCATTCATTAAAACTTAGTGTTAATGAATTAATTTTTAATTTTCTGTCTCTAACTCATCTATTTTATCTAATAAACTTTTATCTTCAGATTATGTAAATGGTTCAACTAGAGTTTATAAATATTAAGAAATTAATTCCTGTTTTTTTTCTGGTAATTATAAGACTGGTACAAAAAAATCATCTTAGAAATCACTCTATAAAATTAGCTAGAGATATAAATTAATTATAAACTTAGCATATTACTCCAAATAGTTTTAATATTTAAGTTTCATTTCTATCTTTTGCTATTTCCATAACATTAATCTCTAATTATTTATGTGTATAATCTGTTAATTTATCAACTATTAATTTCAATCTAGACATATTAAGAGCCCAATTATCTGTATAAGCTTAATTTTCTAAAACCTAAGTAATTTTTATTTAAATTTTACATGAAAGGTAGATCCAAAATGATCTGTGTTAATATGATTTAAAATTTATATAAATAGTGTGCCATCAATATATTCTTTAAAATTTGTATGATATTTTAAAAAGCTTATCTTGTTCATCCAATCTACTATAGCTGACTAAAGTTCTTAGTTTTACATAATTTTTAATTAAAATAAATTAAATTTAATATGCGGGGATTCTTTACGTTTGCCAAATAGTTTATTAGCTTCTCTTCTATTAAAACTCAACAAATGAAAGTATCAATCAGATTGTAAGCATAAATTTAATTTGAATTTAGAGTCAATTAATCAATTAATGGATAATTTAGATTATGTTCCACTTTAACAGCACTTAGAATGTCTAATTTGTATGGAATATGCTAAACATCTTCAATTGAAGAAGTTGATAATGGTAATATTGTCTGAATACTTAGAATCTGAATTAGATATTCACATTTCTCAGCTTTTGTCATTGTCTCTAAAAGCAGAACAACAAACGATACATACAAGCATTTGATTATATTATACATTAATAATAAAGTAATCAATATTTAGATTATTATATATAATTTTGGTTTAATAGGATAAAAGTTAGTAATAAAGTTTTGAATCAAATTAATAAATGAATTAAAGTTATTCTTTAAATATAATTCATGACTCAATATCATAAATTAGGATAATAACAAGATGATTATATGTATGGATTGAATATAAGAATGCTGCTAAGAATATTAAATATGTATAGGATTAAAGTTAATAATAAATATAATAATGAAGCAATTTATTTGGGAAATAATATAATTTGAAAAGAAGTTAGAATATTGTCGTTAAGATTTAGCATTGGATTAAGGATTTTCAATTGAATTTTTTCCAGAAACTATAACATATTTAGGATTAAAGTAGTTATTTCATAGAGAAATGAAAGGATTTTTCAATAGGTATGATTCTGATAGAGATGGGAAATTATCATTTAATGATATCTAATAGTTTGTTTAGCCAAAATAATTAGAATATTAGTGCTTTATTAAGAAAGGAGGAAATTACAATCGATTAATTGAGTTGATAGAAATAGCTGAAGAATATGAGAATTATTTAATTGAAAATATTGAAGCATTAGAATTTTAAGAGAATTATTAGATTTCAATAAAATAGTATTTGAGTTCTAAATTTAAACAACCAACTGAAAAAGACATATGGTTTTTAAATCAAAGATTTGAATGTTACACAATAGAAGACTTTTTAGGTTATTTTGAATAGTATAAAAAATCTAATTGACTTAAATTTTATATATATATATATAATAAATATTTATCTATGAATACTTAAGATGAAATACTTTTGCTTAAGAAGTGCATATGTGAATTTTTAAATAAATTACTTCCTACAATTAAGGATCCGTTAATTTTAACTAGATAAAGACTTAGCTAATTTAAAACTGTACTTTTAGATGAATTAAAAACTATTTAAGATGTGTATTACTATGTTCAAACACTGTAATTTTAAGACGGATTAGCTCTCAGAACTGATACAAAGATTGAACATTAAAGGAATCCATCAGGGACTAATTAAGACTATATGAATTTAAATTAAAACCCTACAATACCAGAAAGAAGAACTAATCCAACATCTATTGGATTAAATAGAGGATAAGATCCTTAATAAACAAATGCTGTAAATACAATAAACGTGAAAATTAATAATACAACAGCACTTAATTAATAAAATCAGATTGTTGAAGATCAATAAGAAATACCTAAGTTGGGCAAAGATATCTTTTTTAAAAGACCATCAACAAGAAAACTATCTATTAAAACAAAAGATGCCAAAGTTTAAGAAAATAATTATAAACCTATTGATGAAATTTAAAAAGTGAATGTTTATGGATAAAAAGCAGATACTTTTAGTGTTTTTAATAATTATAGCAAGAAAACCCCATTTTTCGATAAAGACACATTATTAGCTGAAATAAGGGAGAGTGAAAAGATTATTCGTAAAAATACAACTACTTTAAATGCAGTATATAGCAGAAGCTTTGAAATTTTAACTGGTGAAAAAGAATAAAATACAGAATAACTAAACAGTATTCAATAAGGAATACGTGCATAATAAGATTTAAGAGAATTATAAAATGCTTAAAGAAATGCTACATTAAAAGGGTATTCAATTTATGCTAAGAAGGATAAGGATATTGCTAAATAGAGAATGGATGAAATTGCATAAATTAACGATAAAAAGAAACTATATTTTTGATGAATATATTTAAATATATAGATTAATGAATAAATTATATCCAACAGATAAAATACATCATCAATATGTTGAATATCCTTAACGTTGGCTACAATTAGTCTTATTTTTGTGTGCTTTGCTTTCAAACATAATGTTCGGATTTTCGCTTTCGCCAATTGTAAAGGAAATGTCATTAGTTTACTAAGTTGATAGTAGGTAAAAAGAATATTAAATGATGAAGATATCTGCAATTTTTGACTATAAGTTTTACTGTCTTCTCAGTGATAATGATAGTCCCAGGAAACATTATTAATGAAAAATATGGAATTAGAATGAGTATTATGATAGGTAATGAATTATTGCAATATAAAAGGTTGTGCATTGACTTTTGTAGGTTCAATATTTGCAATTTTCATCAATGTTTCTTTTTGGTTTTTCTTTATTGGATAATTGATTTCTTTAATAGGATTCCCATTTCGATTGATAAGCGCATCAAAGTTTGTTGCAAATTGGTTTTTCCCTGAAAATAGAATACTTATTATGGTTATTATAGCATTAGTTTTTAATGCAAGTTCAGGAATATCTATTAGAATTCCACTAATAGTATTAGGAGACTTTTAGATTCATGATCATCCAACAGAAGAATAAATTGAATTAGGACGAGCTTTAATTGAAAGTTTAATGTTTTTACTATTTGGGTTGATGATTTTATTATGTGTGCCACCTATTCTTTTTTTCTTAAGTAAACCAGTCACTCCTCCTAGTTTTAGTGCTTCAGATGTATAGATACATTATTTTATTAGGAATGTGTTAGAGAAGATTATAATAAAGCCAGTGTTGTAGTGGCTAGCAATCCTGATTTCATATTGCTAACTATTAGTTTTGCTTTTATCTTAGGAACGATAACATTATTTACATTATAGATGGAATATTTTATATCACCCTTCAATTATTCTCTTAAAGATTAAAGTAATTTGGTATTAGTTGGAGTGATAGCAGGTTTAATTGGAGATATTTGTGTTGGTACTGCTATAAAGAAGACTTAATCCTATAAAAAAGTGTTGAGAATTTGTAATATATTAGTGACTGTACTATTTGGTATACTCATACTAGCACTTCATGTAAATAAAGTGTTCTTCTTTATTATTTATTTTTTTTTGTGTGGAAGTTCTGCTATTATGGCTTTGACTTTTGAGTTCTCTTGTGAATTATGTTTTCCATTAAGTGAGAACACTACAATTGCTATGTTAGGGTTCTTTGGTAACCTTCTTAATTTTTTGCAAGGGATTCCTGAAATCTTAATTCTGAAGGTATATATTACTTTATAATTCATTTAGGGAGATAATTAACTTTGTTCTACTTTGGCTATGATATTTATGTTGATCTTGATTGGTAGCTCAAATGTATTGACTATGAAAATTAACGAAAACCTTAAGAGATCAGAATAAGATATTCAATTGGATGATAGAATTGAAAAGAAAAATACTGAAGTCAGCTTATTAGAATAATCAAAATTTAATAACAACAATGAAGATTATTGATTATATATATATAAAAATTAATATAATTTATGTTAAAGGTAATTGGCTTTTTATTATTAATTCATTCTGCCATCTCATTAATTAGATATAGAAAACATTTAATCTATAAGGACATGGCAGATTAATATCATATACCTCTAGATGTATTACTATTTATAAATTTGATAGATCTTAATGGAAATAATTGTTGGATTTGCTTTGAACATGTTTTTCGGAGTTATTTTGGATAAGAAATTTGCTAACATTCATCAATTTCCTCATAAGAAAACGTAAACTTTAAATTTACTATCATAGATATGATTAAGCATTCTAAAGACCTAATTTTAGATAACCTAGTGGTCGAGGAGGAGTGTTATAATCTGTAGTAAGAGATAAAATTGGTAATTTTGATATAAAAAAATGATAAATTTGTGTACATTATGAAATCTGTGTGTTTTATATATATATTGAATTCATCTAAAATAATATAATGCTCTTGCTGTAAGTCCTTAAACCTTTGATTCATCTTCAGTCTAATTAAGCCAATATTCTTCAAATAATGCTCTGTCTTCTGGTTTAGTAGCATCAAGTTTAGTTAATTATAAATATTCAAATGTTGGATGATCTTTCTATATAATATTAAAATAATCTTTTACTAAATATTATGGAATTTCAGTTCCTCTCCAAATCCAAGCTCCACTAATTTAAAGATCTGGGACATCTCCATAGACACCATGAATAGCAAATGCCCATTTTTTAAAATGAGGATCAGCTCTTTATAAAAATCCATTGCAATTATTTCTAAATGAAATCAATACTTTTCCTTCTTATTCAGCTTTAATGTATTTAATAATCCAAATTGACCATCCTTAAGAATCAAAAATGTTCCAAAAGTTTTTGAATTCAGCAGCAAAATCTTTTGATGCTAAAAATTATCTCTTCCAATCATCAATATTGAAAGTAGATTAAGGTAATAAATCAAATTCACATTATTATTTTTTTGGTTTCTCTTCTTCTTCTTCATCTTTTGGAGCAGGCTTTTATTATTAGGCATTTTATGGTTATTATTTTTATTATTTTTATTATTATTATTATTGTTATTATTATTATTATTATTATTATTATTATTATTATTATTATTGTTATTATTATTATTATTGTTATTACTATTAATATTAAAATGGGAAAGCCTTTACACAATATTTGGTTTTTCCATAATACTAGATTTATATATTATTAATTTTACATTCACAAATGCAGGTAATTCAGATATATATTTGTACCATCTTGTTATATTTGGTATTGTTGCTCTATATTGTTTATCAAATGCAAATGTAAATAATCCTTAGAAATATGATGCCAAATTTAAATCAGCAATTGTCAATAATTCACCAACTAAGAAATTATTTGCTTTAAAATGATTTTCTAATATTTTTAATTTCCAATTTAATTCTTTCTTAACTTCTTCTTATTTTTAGGGTGTTGTCTATTCATAACCAAGTATTGGTAATAGTAAACCAAGTAGAGTAGGTTCCAATTCAAGTGATGTAAAATCTAACCATTGTCTAACTTTGGCTTATTGGTAATCTGTTACTCCTACCAAAGGTGTTCCTCTGGCAACATATTATAATATAGCATTGCTTTCAGTTAGATATCCTTCAGGTGTCTCTAACAAAGGAATCTTACCAACTGGATTTTTAGCCAAAAAGGCAGGTGTCTAGTATGAATAAAGAATTTTTACTTCTAAAGATTTATATTCTACAAAATCGTTAATGATTTAGACATTGGCTAATTGAGCAGCCACTACAATTTTACCAGCTCTTGGATTACCAAGTGTATATGTTAGTTTAAGTGACATAAAAATATCTTAATATTTAAATTTTAATTTCTCATTCCTCAATGAACTGCAATTATTAAATGTAATAAAAGTGATTTGATACATACTAATTCTTTCATAATTTATTAGAATCATTTATTTATAGTGATTTATAATAAGAAGTAGAATTGATATAAGAGAACAATAAATAATAAAAAAAAAAAAGGATAGATTGAGTATTATTATCAAGTATTGATTTTATTTATTAAAATGTCTCTTAGTCAATTGTATGGGAAATAAACAATCAATTATGCAAGTACAATATAAAATTAATCATTTTAAGAGAGCTCAGACAAATGAGATCTCCAAATGATTCATAATCATTTGGATTGCGTCAAGATTTTCATGATTTTACATAGTTACATCGCTAACCTGTTGAGACAAATAAACATTAAAGAGCAAAGTCAACAATGTAGAATAATTATAGATAAGGAACTCCTATAACAGATTTAGAGGAGATAGAAGGAGAGAAATTGTTTGATTAATTTTTTAAGTTTAACAACTCAAAAAGTGAGAGCGATTTTATAAGAGATTCTGTATAGAGAGATTTAAAATAGCCAGAATCAGAATTTTTAAGGTTTGTAGAGAATGCGATTGAATATCATAAACAATCTGAAATGCATTTTCGACCTACTATAAAAAAAAATTAGCATTTATAATAGAAAACAAAAGAACTTACAATTTCCAATAGATTATTGGCAAGTGAAATTAATAGATATAAATAGAGAGAGATTGAATTAAAAAATAAGATTAAAATATTACAAAAAGAATATTAATTAGAATTGGGTCAATTAATATAGAAGAATGAATGGTTAGAAGAGTTGTTAGTAAAACAAAAAATAGATAATGAGAATTCTTTATTGGCTGTTAAAAAATCTTTGGAAATGATGTAAGGAAGATGTATGTGTCAAAAGGGAATGGCTGATAAGATAATGAAAGAAGTTAAATAATAATCTAGACCATAATATGATCTTCAGGCAACACATTCATCATCTGAATTAAGTAGTAACACTGGAGATGAGGACTTTGAATTTGATTATATGAGAAGAAGAAAATCTTTATCAAAGGTACTAAAATAAAATATACACAGACATCAGAAGAACATCAATTTTAACTTGTTAAAAGTAAGAACTTAAGAGAATTTGCTAGAGATCAATTTATCAGAAAGAAACCTATGCAAGATCCTTATTATACATGAATATTAAATTATTATATAATGGTCTTCATCAAGAGATTAGTACCTCTTTCAATTTTGTATTGTTTCGAAGGAAGCATACTAGGACTGATTTTATACAGTGTTCCATCTAATTTGATAAATAAAGGTGTTGAGATAAATAGATACAAGTTTTCATTATATTGTGCTATTACCTTATTTGTTCAGATACATGAATGCACTTTTGATTGATAGCATAAGTTGGGACAAGATGGGTAGAAGAAGAAGCTAGTTGACATTAATGTATTTTGGATTAGGGTATAGTTTTGTTGAAAATTCTAAGAGTTCTCTTATATTTTTTAAATTTCTAATCACTAGATCCTAGTACATGGTTATGGAACATATTCTGGATTGTATGTTTATTAGCTTGCATTGACATCATAATAGCAGCATGGTTAGTTGAAAGTTTAGAGAAGTAAGACAGAGGTTATGGAGCTTTTGGCTCAATTTCTAGGAATTTTGATAGGTGGATTTATTGGAGCATATATTTTTAAGATGTTCAATTCACTTGAATTTTGCAATAAATATATTTATGCCATTTCTCAAGAGATACCATATTTTACTCTTTAAAGTTTAATTAAATATTTTTAGTTGCATTCAAGGATTATTCTTATATATCAATAGGACTTGGAGTTGCATGTACTATTATAATACATAATGAAATAACAATTGATTAAGATGTATGAATATCATTATACTAGATAATTGAAGCTTATAAATTAGCATTGGGAGTCTTTTCAAATCGTCATTTGATAGTCCTCTTTTTGTTTTTTTAGAATAGAATAAACGCCAATTGATTTGGCTCATATTCATATGAAGAGAGGTTAATTTACAGAGGGATAAATTCAATTTCTAGAGATATTAACCTTTCCTATAGCATGTATTTTACCATTTTATATGGCTAAAATGATTAAGATTAGAGTTTGAGAAATCAAATAATAGTATTTTCAATTAATGAAATTGGTATATTCCTTATTAATTACGATTAGTCATTTCAGGAGTATTTATTATAACATTGTTTTCTTCTTAAGAGATTTTCCAATTCCCATATAGAGATACCTTAATGAAAATATCTTTAATAAGTGTTTGGTTATTAAATTTAATTAATATCACTCTAGCTTAATCATTCATTTACAAAAGTACTTAAAATTCTGTGGCAACAACCTTCATAGCTTTGTTAAGTATAGATATTTGATAATATTTTAAGCCACTGGATTAATTTTTAGTTTATTTTTGAAGGATTAGTAGAATATTTATTAGCCAATTATAATTATTATTTGATTTGGTTATGTGGAGTAGGAATATATGCACTATTTTTTCCATCTAGTTTTTAGAGTGACTATGATTGATTAATTGAATTGCTAAGAGTTTAGTTTAGATATTGATATAAAGAAAGAGAAACTTCTAATAAATACAGAATTAGTAACTTTGTCTTGATAATAAATTATAATTTTTGTATGTGATCATAGTTTTATAGATTATTGAGTTAGTTTAGATTATTATAATATTTTACAATAATAATTTGTATTTATGATTATTTATTTTAATTATTTTATATTTTATCACCATGGATGATCGTTTGATTGAATTGTATAAAGTAAAAGCATGGTAATCTAGATGTCTGGCAGATAAGATTCATTTTAATTGAACAATTCCAATTCTTCTTAGGATGATGATTTTATGCCTTAATTCTCTGCGAAAATAAAAAAGGCACAATAGTGTTTAGAAAGAATCAAAGAAAATAATCTAAGAATGTAGGAAATGTCAGAGAAATATTCTAGAGCTACTACATCTTATGTTGAAAAAGGTATATATAAATAATTGAAATCTTTTAGAGTTATCAAGAGAATTAGAATAAATTATGGTGTAAAATTAACAATTTAGTAACTAATTAAAAGAAGCAATGAAAGATATTAAAGAAGATGTTGAAAGAAGTGAAAGAGATGAGAAAGTAACCTATTTTGTATTATAAGAGGATCAACCTGAAACCTAAATGAAAATTAATCAGAGAAATGCATTAACTAGTAAAGTTTAAGAAGTTTTACATGCTTCTTCTTAAATTTCAATAAAATATAAGACTTGTGTGAGAGAGAAAATCAGAAGGTAAACTAAGATTTTAGATGAAAATGCAACAGAAGAGTTTTTAGATGAAATATGCAATGATCCATAAGTATGTATATTTTATCGAAAATAATATTAGAAAGCAACATAATTATTATAAGGAAAACTATATGGAGAAGCTCCTTCTATTGGTCTCACTAATGCAGTTTCAGATATATAAGAAAAATATAAAGATATTCAATAATTGGAAAAAGTAAATTCTTTAAACATATATTAGTCAGTTGAATTAGTATATTAATTATTTGTTGATTTAGCAATCTTAGTTCATGCTTAAGGTTAATAAATCGATAATATAGAAATAAGTCTAGGATCAGCCAAAACTTATGTTGGTAAGGCAGAAAAAAGTCTTGTAGAAGCAAAGGATGATCATTAATCAGCTAGAAAGGTATTAATGTATGCCATTCTTATTAGAAAATATGTTGTATTATCTTAATAGGTGTAGTAATCTTGGCTGTTATTATTGGACCTATAGTTGCGACGTCATGATTTATATTAAAAATTTATTTTATATATTATATTGTTAATTGTAATCTTTTTGTTTAAAGTGTTTTATTATTGTAATAATAATTTTCTTTTTTAGTATCTATAATTTTGGATTTTCTTATTAAAAATAAATGTAAAATTTAAATAATAGAAGATCTCTTCAATAGAAATAAGTGAATTATATTATTACAATGATATTTTCGAAAAATTTGATCTAATACTTAAATATCAATCATGATAAAAATGGCTTGATCGTTATTAATTAACTGCCTTTTATTTAGTTGATTGATTTGAATTCAAAGGTACATCAAAAGATTGATTATTTTGATTACTAATATTTACTCTTTCTTTTTTGTGATTTTATGATCTACCTCCACTTTGAAGCATTCTATTAAATTATTATTATTCTCTATTTGAATTACGATAAGGATTCATAATATCTAATTCTCTTTTATTCCTTGAACTTACTTTTCTGAAATCTTCCTTATTATGATAATCAATAGATGTCACATTATTATTCTTAAATTTAACTCCATATTTTTGACATAACATATTTGAATAAGGAGCATTCTTATTTTTGATAACTGGTGATTATTCAAAATAGTTTTCATCTTTTTATCTTGCTTATACACTTTAAGCCTATCCATTATTTCCTACTCTATTAACACTTAAATCATTATCTGCCAATATTTTATTTTGATTAGTTGTTTTAATAATTCTACCTCTATCTTTATCAGTTGAATATGATCGTTATTTAATTATTTCATCTTTCATTTATTGTCTAATGACTTCATTATTAACTAATGAACTAATTGGAGCTATTAAATATAAAAATAAAGAATACCTTTTTAAGGTCTTTGTTTAGGTTCTAAAAGTGTGATATCAAAAGATTCAGAATTAAGATCTGCTGTAGATCTACCTCCATTTGTTAAATGCCTTTTTAGAAGTAAATGATAAAATGTTGTAATATCATTATGTTTATTGGCATCTAAACATTTTTATGCATGATCTATATCTATGCCATATTATTTTAATTATTTAAGGATTTCTTAATCTATAGGAATTCTATTATAACCAACCACTATCCCAGGAGGAATGTCATAACTTCTTTTATAGATCTTAAACCATGGATGATTTCTAATATCATTTATAGTAAAACGTTTATCTGGTTTGACTGTCAAAATTCCTTAGATCATTGATTATGCTTCTTTAGATAGATGAGATGGTAATTAATATGATCCACTTAAAATCTTTTTATAAAGAGCAGAAGTGTTTTAATCTTCAAATGGCAAATAACCACATAAACATGCAAACAATATAACTCCAGAACTCCACAAATCGACTTTTACTCCTTAATATTTTTGTCCTTCTATCATCTATGTAATTAGATTAGATTTTCTGTACTTCAGGAGCTGCATAACAAGGACTTCCACATGCAGTTTTCAATAATTCTTCTGATTTATAAGTATTGGATAATCCAAAGTCAACTATTTTTAGATTCTTATTATGATCAAGCAATAAGTTCTCTGGTTTCAAATCTCTATGGACTACTCTTAATTTATGTAGATATTCAATTCCAGCTATAAGTTCTTAAAATAACTTACAGGCCTCCACTTCTTCCAATCTTATTAATTCAACAATATTACTTTGTATTTTAAACAATATAATCAAATAATTCACCCCCACTAATCATTTCCATTACTAAAAATATATGTTTTGGTGTTTCAATAATCTAAATATAATATTTTAATACCTCATATAATTAAATAATATGGGGATGTCTGACTAACTTTAGAATATGAATCTCTCTTTATACTCTCTCTACATCTGCTGTTTCTATTATTCTATCCTTCTCTAATATTTTTATTGCCACTTTCTCTTGTGATTGTTCATGAATGCCCATTTTCACCTTCCCAAAAGTTCCAAATCCTAATGTTTTTCCTATCTATACACTGAAGCTAAATTACCTATTACATAATTTCCAATCATTCTTGTTCTATTGCCTGGATTGTTCAGTTATTATTCTGTCATTTTTATTGTTAATTTACAAAAATAGTTAATTATATTATTATATAAATATATATAGATATTAACATGGACACTTTAGATCATAAAGAGAACAATTAAAATGTGCTTCTCGATGATGTGAGCTCTAATATGGAAATATTTCAATTTTTAAGAAAATAGAAAGTAATTAGCAATTTAATTCTCAATAGAATTATAGATAGAAAAAAATAAAAGATGTATAACAAATTTTTGAGAATGGACCTAGATTAGCAATTATAAAACCATGTTTGAATAATGAATAATAAAACTCTAAATAGAGTGAAGAGAAAACATCATCTTCTTTAAATTCAAACAATTAGAATAGAAATCTGGTTTAGAAAATTTTAGATGCTTTGTCATCATTATCTGATAATCAATCAAAAAATAAAGTGATAAAGTAATTCCTTTCTGTCTCTACTACTTATGCTAAATATGAAAGGATGAAATTGATTGAAAAATATATTTCAGATAATCTTATTTAATACCTAAAAGATAATTATTGTGTTGATATATTTAAATAATTGAATGAATTATATAAAATGGTAAATATAATAATTTTAGCTAGTAATTAGAATAATAAATTTAGAATGTATTATTCTTTGAAGCAGCAATGACAGAATTTTAAAAATAAATTATTTACAACTCAGCCTTTTTAGCTTCTTGTTTGATGAATATATACTCTTCTAAATTATAATGTATAATTATATACTATAAATAGAAAACATAATCAAATAGAGATTAATATTCTTGAATTTAACTGGTTTAAATAATAAAGATGACTAACTTCACAAAGAAAAATACTAAGATGATTGCCTTTATATTTCATTATAGAGAGTTCATAATATATAAGAAATAGATAGAAGAGGATTATTGAATTTAAATTAATCTAATTTTAAGACAATATATTTTGAAGAAATTGAAGAGAAATTGACATGGAAATAATTTAGAATTATTTACAAATTCTAAATCAAAAAATTAATAAAAAATTTCAAATCAAATTTATTCATTTTATCAATAGCAAAACAACTCAATAATGTAATATTTATTTTATCTTAGGAAAATCACATCAATTTTACAGAGGATTGCATAAAAAATATGATTAAAAAATTCTCATTTTTAGCTAAAGATAGATTGATAATACATTCTTATATTAGTAGTTGTAATGGTGAGAAAATAAAAGATGAATTAATAACTTATATCAATTGTTTGCAATAAGGAATATTGTCTTAAGAAATTTTACTTTCATAAGAAAAAACTATGGAGAATAAATAAATATAATTTGATTATTGGATTTAAAGTTTAATTAAAAAAAATAAAAATGGGATGAATATTGAATAATAAGAATTAATTCAAAGAGAAATAAGAAATTAAATACTTAATTCTGAATTATTATTAGTGAAAGAATCATCCAACTTTAAACTTGGAATTTATTTTATGATGGATTAGATGTAAAACAATTAAAAAAATTATCGAAAAATCTATTTGTTTTATAATAACATAAATCTAAAGTTTCTGAATAATACCATATTATATGTAGACTATATAGGTATGTAAATAGCCCTGTTGCAATATGATAAGCAAAATTATTTTGTGTATTATACAAAAGATAAAATTTTAGATCCATATAAAAGATAATAAAAAGCCAAATTAGATGGTCCTCTTTCTGATGATTAAGATATATATTGGTATATTTGATTTTAAATTAGTGAGAGGATTAATTTATCAGAAGAACTATAAAAATAAAAGATAGTTTTAGATGAACCAATAATACCCAACTCTTCATTAATAGTAAAAAATTAGAAAATTTATATTATTTATGTTAATAAAACTTCAGAAATTTTGATGATTGATTTAGAAAATAATTCTATTAATGTTTTGCAAAGAAAAAAATTGAAGATTAATGAAAATACAGTTGAGGATAATAAACTTAAAAAAATTTATAATTAAAATTAAGAAAATGTTTAGAATTAAATTAAAGATAGAAGAAAACCTACTATTGTTTACAATCCATGTATTGATGATTTTGATTTTATAATTTTTGGAGGAGAATTTAAAACGTATATAAATATAATTAATCCATTTAGTTCCAATTAATTTTGTAATTTAATTGAATTACTTAAAGTAGAAAGTCAAGGTTTTTCTTCAGTGATTATTCCTAAAGAAATTCTATATTAGAAATGTAATTATTACATACCTTGGCCAAACATGATAGTTTTAGTAAATGATCAACTTCCATAACAATATATTCTATTACCTGGGGATTATAATAATAAAATCTTTTATTACAATTAAGTTATCAATAAAGAACATCAAGAAAAAGCAATATTAATTACATATCATCCAAATATAACTCAATTTCAATTTGACTATTTGAAAATTGTTTATGATAATGATAAAAATATCTAACCTCTTCCTATTTAATATTTTTCAGGAAATTAAAGAAATTTTAAGAATCCTAAAGGAATTTAATAATAATGGTATCTTGCTATAACCTTATTGGAAAGCATATCTTCCAAAATTAGGTAATTATTTATATAGGCTGAGATTGAGATCAAAGATAAATAATTGATCATTAAATAATCAATTACCTATGATGAATGCAACATGATTTTAGATAAATAGATAACATATTGTGAAGAATATATTAATATTTCTAACAAATAAGTTGAGACTAATTTCCAAGTTTAGAATCTACAAGCAAAAAACTATCAAAAAGAGAAGAAATTCATTTCTAAAATGAGCCGAGAATTAGAATTTAATTGATTAATAAAAACATATTAAGAACTATTATTTCTGTCTTTTTCAAATAGTCATACATTAAATTGAATTAATTTTATTCTAATCATTTAAGAGATTATATATAATTTACAAATGATAATTATATTTTAAAAGAGATATTAATAATTATTAGCTCATTAATAAAATTGCAAGTAAATGATGAAATCAAATAATAATAAATTATTTATAAATTAAATGAGTTGATAAGATATTTGAATAATAATATTTATAAATGGATAACAGTTCGTAAGAAGAAGAGGATAAGAATTAGAAAACATTAGATGAATATTCTAATTAATTATTATTTCCATCTTTAGGATTATCCTGTCATTCAACCTTCTTAACTACCTATTCTATCGATACTTGCTTCACTCTCTCTAAAGAAGTTCAACCTACTATATTTTAATTAGAATCACAAACGATTCCATAAAAGAATACTAGAAAAAATATTCTAAAGAATTCAAAAAGCATTAGAAGAAAAACTAAGTAAAATTAGAAAACTAAAAATATTGTCAATAAAGTTCTTAATGAAATATAGGATCTAATATAATAAATTAATTCACATCATCCTTTTTATCATACCTAATATGTATAAAAGTTGAAATCATTGATTGAAAATCTAGAAAATCTGTTAGGAAATATGAAACATCAACTACTAGTTTAAATTAAAGAATAAGACTTCCAAATCGATAAATAATGAAATATATACAATAATTTAACTTATGATTAGTTTTTATTTTCTTTTTGTACTCATGATATTTTTTTTTTATGAATTCATAATAATTATGAATATATTTAAGATTATTATAACAGCATTACTTGCCTTAATTATTTAAAAAATGCAATGAACATAATTTTTATTTAATACATACATTACCATTAATCTTTTTAAGTTTAAGTGTTTTAATAACTATTTATTTAAATAGAAATATTAGAATTCATTAAATAAAAATATTAAAATTCATTAAATAGAAATATAAGAAATAATTAATTGATAGCATTGTTTAATTAACTTTAGATTGTCAGATTATCAATAAGAAGATTATAAAATGGAGACAACTTTATATTTACTTTATTTTTATTTTAACTATTAAAATACTTGTTTTTTAAATAATTGATTATTTATCTAAACATTTATATGATTCAAGTTTCAATTAAGAATTCTCAAATTTATTATATAATGTAATAAAATTAATGCGTATAGACCTCCTCATTTGAATTGGCTTTTTAATTATAAGATTTAATCTATAGAGAAACAAAGACAAAATCTCCATCTCATTTATACAATTTTTCAACATCAACAAAAGCTATTTCAAACTCAAAGTAAATAAAATAAATAAATTCACATCGAAGTGTTGGTGAAATAAATATAAATATTTCATCTCCTGCTCCTAAAAATTAATTAAGTAAACCAGTTGAAGGAAGAACATTATTGACTAATTTGATGTTTCCTAGTCAAGTCAAAATGAAAGTGTCAATTATAGAATATAACAAAGAAAAAAATGATTTAGGAATGTCAAAAAATATTCATATGGCAAGAAGACTTAGTTAATATAATAAAAATGAATCTAAATCAAGTAAATAGTTTTAATGGATCAATAAATTTAATTTACAATTACAAAAGTGCAATTATTATGTTAACAATGTAAAATCAGTAAAAATAAAAACATAAAGAAAAAGACAGTTATCTGTATTAGATGATGTTTAGCCTATTAGTTCTCGAAATTTTTTTGTAAATGGAACTTAGAGTCAATTTTCAAGTCGAGACAAGACACCAAATAAAAAATGATTAAATTAAATATGAATACTAAAATAACTTTGCGTAATTCAAAACAAAATAGCTTTCTTAGTTCATTCAAAACTACGCATAGACATACATTATCTTAGGGTATAGAATTAAAAATGGAATCACCTACAAATAGAGAAACTTCTGGATTCACTTCTTTTTAATCCTTCAAATCTTCATCCATGCATTTGAAAAAATTAGTGAAATCTCCAAATTTATCACTAAAATCTGCTAGATTATATGATTTAAATGATAATTTCTTAAATAAAAGGACTTCAATAGTATAAATGATGCAAACATTTTCAAATAATTATGATATTATATAGTAATCAGAACCATTAGAAAATATTGATTTATAAAAACTCTTTCCAGTAGAAGAATAAAAGAAACTGTAAAATAATGAAATAGTTTCTGATATATCAAAGTTAAGAATATTTGAATTAAAATAAGAAAACAATGATTGGATCTAAATTAATAGATTTAGATTTCATTACTTTTCAATTAAAATATAAGGTTAAGAATCACCAATATAGGTTTATGTAAAATGCGATTAATTAAGATTGCTTAATTATAGAATGTATATATCTACAACTGCTTCATTTCCAACAAAATTCAATTGTGAAGCTATAATCTAATCAAAATATTTTAAATATTAAGATAAAAAGCATAATGATAAATTCTTAGATAAATTTTTATATATAGCAATATATTCTGAAGAAGACTGTGAAATTTCAATATCATTTCTTTATGGAAATAAATTTATAAAGAAATAAAAGCCTAAAAGAGAAAAACCAAACTATGATAAATATAAATATTGGTGGAAATAATCCAAATTTGATATGAGTTATGAAACAGATAAAATAAATAGTAATCTTGATACTAGATAATATTCTAGAGAAGCAAGAAAAGAAAAATTAATTTAATCATAAGATTAATTAGATTTAAGATTAAAAAATGCAATTACTAAAAAAAAAGAATTATGTGAAGATAAAAAAATGGATTTATTATCTAAATATTAAGCAAATGAAGCTTTAAAAGAGATTAGAAACTAATAAAAACTTAAATAAAGAATTAGATAAGCCCTAATCAAATTTCAAATTAGTTGGTTTGATGTCTTTCTACTTATACATTTAGCTGAAAATATGAAAGCTATGTTAGATGTATTTTAGTTGATATCCTTTATTAGGAAGCAAAAAAGAGAAGTAAATATCTAGCCAAAGGTAGACTAATTGTATGGAAATATAGAACTACAACTATGATAAAAATAAAAGAGAGTGGATAAACTGTTGATTAGAGAAATCTATTTAAATTATGTATGGCAATGTGTATGTACACATTTCATAACAAAAAGAGAATAAAGACTGAAGTGGCTAAAGTATTAAGGTATTTTTTTACTTTAACTCATTAATATTGTCATTTTATTTAAAAACATCAAGAATTAACAAATAAAGGTATTTAATCATTCATTTTTAGTAAATTATGTTAAAAGAGTATTTAGAAATTTAAAATAAAAAGAAAAAGCTTATAAGGATAGATTATGGAGAATTCTTAATAAATATGCTTAAGAAATTCTTCATTCTTTGGGAGCACATTTTAGTAATCCAAAAAAAAGAACATATATAATTGATAGGTAATTAAATAAAATATCAAGAGTTCAGCATTAATGAAAGCAACAGAAGATTTTTTAATATCTAAAAAAAGAAAATGTTAAAAATTTATTTAAAGTTATGTCAGAGAAAAAGATGAAAAATAAGTAAACTATATTTTTTGTATAAAATAAGAAAGTTATTGACCTTGCTTTAAATATGATGCAACCAGAAATGTTTGACACTCCTTCATATGATGATTTATATGGAATTTTTCGTACTTACATTCAATACAAAAAAATCACATCTCAACACTCTTAATAACAATAAATAAAATCTTAATAATAATAATAGCAATGAAATAATGATGATATATATATATATATAAAGTATTTAAAAATGATATTTTAATATAAATTATGAAACTATATATTTATGACTAATAAGATCATATTTGATTTTACTTATAATTTCTTCTTTTCATATAGTAAATTATTACTAATTTATTGTTATTAAGTAGTGTAAAAGTTAAATTATTGCTGTTTTCAAAAAAAAAATTTAAAGACTAATAGGAGAGATAAAAATATTTTTTTAATCATCTTGGATATATTGATCAATATTTATAAGAATCTATATTTATATGATTTTATTTCTATGATTCATTATATTTTATGATGATAAAAGAGTCATATATTATTATCATAATTAAAAATCTACAATCTAATTATATCAAAATATTTCAAAAATATTATTTCATAATAGGCATTTAAGATATTATATAGAATAATAGAAGTTAAAATAAATACATTATTTTCATTAGTCGCTTTCTTAATTTGAAACACAAATAATATGAATTAGGAATAAAATGAAATATGACTTTATAAATGATTTACAAAATTTTTAACTAAACTATTTGATTACAATTTTTTATTACTTAATAGTGTTTGAATCATACTTGTTAATTATAATTATTTATAGCGTGTGTTTGGTTTAACAAGTGTTTTAATTAATATTTTAAATGAAACTTTTAGTTATGTTTGCTCTAAATATTATGCTAACATCATAACAAATGGGTGGAGGCGGTGGTGGTGGAGGAGGTGGAGGCGGTGGTGGTAGTAGTAGTTCTGATTATGGTTCTGATTATGGTTCTGGTGGTGATGGTGGAGAATGTTCAGAGAGTTGTTGGATTACAGTCTCGGTTGTATTCTCATCTATCATTGCTATTGTTGCTGCTTCCTGGTGTTACAAATCTGGTTATTTAAGGTGTGATTATTTTAAGATTAGAGATACAAAAAAAAGGTTGCTTCAAAATTTTATGTAAATGGATAACACATCTACTAGAGATGAACTACTTTATGGATTATAAACTCTGTAAAGGTCTAATTGGAATATGAGTTATTTTCAAAAGTAGTGGAGCGCTATATCATTATTTCAAAAGGAATTTGAACTACATTATAATTAGGAACTAAATAAACATTGCATTAATATAAAATTAAGATCTAATGATTCTATTGGAGAATCAACTTATCATGGTCATATTAAATAAAGCAAAAATTAATGGAAGATTTTCATGATTAAATCTTATGATGACAAGATTAAATCAAGATAATTTGGTGAATATGCTATCTTGATTTATGAAGGGATTGCTAATGAAATTCATGAAGGGTTTATTGGAAGATGGTATTTCTATGAAGCCTCTTAATCAAATGGAGACTGGAAATGGTAAGGTTAGGGAGAGGAAAGATTATGAAAGAATACATAAGACATTTAAGAATTATTAAAACAATTCCAGTCATCATTAATTTGATGTTTTGTTTTAAATTCTTATATAAATATAGAATTAGTTTTTATATCTCTTTAATATTATGTTATTTCATTCATCTAAAATGAAAAACTAAATAATTTAATTTCTCATTCATTAAATTGAGATAAATCAAATTAGGATTAGAGGTTTTTTTAAAAAGAATCTAAATACAAAAGGATTATAAATAATATTTTTTTATATGAATCGTTTTAATATGTAAGAAGACATAGATAGATTTATGATAAAATATTAGATTGAAATTAAAATTTTTATTTTATTGTAAAAATTAATAATTTGCTCTCCTTAATACAATTTAATCCATATATGGTTTTTAAGAAGGGAAGTAAACAATTTTAATACTAATAAAAATTAGATCGATTCAATACTTTAGATTATTAATTTCTTTAATCAAACTAAAGTATCCTTTTTGTATGATTGAATACTTTATAAAAGTATTTTTATATAAATGCCATAAAATTAGTATTTTTAAGAAAATTAATCTAAAAAATTATATTTATCGAATTATTAAAAAAATCAATTATCTTAAAAATTTAAACTTCATTTGTTCTAATAAAAGTTTTTTAATAAATAGTATACCTAAAATAAGTTACTTTTTATCATTTTATAGTCTAATATTAGGATCTAAATTTCTTTATAAATTTATATAGTAAATAAATTAATTTGTATATAAAAGTATTATTATCGAGATATTTAATATAAATTTTAATTAAATTGAATAAGTTAATTGTTATTATTGAGGATAGTATTTTATATAATATAATTTTATTTAATTTCACTTTTAAAGATTCTGAATAGGATTATCTTATATAAATGCTTTAAATTAGATGATATCAATTAACAATTTTTAAAAGAAAATGAAATATTAATCTTAATATCAGTGTAATAATAATTCTATTTCAAATATTAATTATAAGGAATAAAATAATAAAAAAATTTATGCAATAAATAATAGAACCTTCAGGAACTATGGGAGATTTGTTATTTTCTTTACAACGATTTTGTTTGGAAGATGAAAAGCTAATTTAGTATTTTGGAAGTAGAATAATCAATTAAAATGAAATTTACTACATTAATTACTGCACTCCATTGGAAAAGAATTTATTTTTAAATTACCTAATAAATTTATTTTACTCAAATGATGATATCCCAAAGTAAGATATATTATATATTGATTCCCAACACAATTTTAATATTCCAGAGAATATTTTTGTAGGTAATTGTTATTCAATTGAGGATTTGGTTATTCAGTTGAATTCAGCAAGATATATACTAAAGAAGAATAGAAAAATAAGGCTAATTATAATAGATTCTATTCATTAAAGATAAAAAGATAATAAAAGAAGAACTTCAAGAACAATAGGGGAAAAAATCTTACAATTTGATAGAGAAGTTGAATATGTTTTAGAAGAATTGATAAATTTATTAAGGGAATTCAATGCGATTGTGATTGTTCTATGCTTAATGTAGTATCCTTAGAATACAATAAAATTGTCTCATAATTTTTAATTTCTAATTTCAGATAAAATAATAGGATAATTGTTGGAGAATAATATATTCTTGATTCCTCCATTATTTTATGATTAAGAATTGTATAATTATATTCAAAGTAAGAATTTAAAGAACATATCATCAAGTTGTATTTCAATAATGGAAAATAAAAGCAAAATAAAGTATTATATTTTTGATAGTAATTAAATTATTTAAACAGGAGAAATAGCTCAGAATTTTTGAGTAGTAATCTTCTATGATGTATGATATAATAAAATATATAATGAATAATTAATATTTAATCAAAATTAGTAGAACTATGATGAAAATTGAGTTGTTTAAAAACAGTATAATTTACTTAAATAATATAAAATTAATTATTCGATACTAGGTTAAACCAATTATTATAAATTAATATAAAAGATGGGCTAGAGTTGTGCATCTTGTTAAAATAAAGATGAATCTACTGCTGTCTATGATTGTATCGAACAAAAAGATTAATTTGCAGAAGAAGACCTATATGACAGTTAAGAGTTTGATGCTAGTATTAAATTATTATAGTCAAGAAAGTCCTCCTTGTGCATATTAATGTAAAACAATGGAAGCAGATATTCTACAATTTTAAAGGGTAATCTCAAAAGTAAAGGAAGATGAATATATTGAAGAGTAGAAGGAATAATAAATAATATTCGATGATAAATCTCGATATGAAGGAAGTATAGTAAATGGAAAAGCGAATGGTTATGGAAAGTTATGGTTAGAAAATGGAGACTAATATTAAGGTGAATTTGTTGAGAATATGATGGAAGGAAATGGAACTCTTAATTATTTGAAAGGTCCAATTTATGAAGGCCAATTTAAATCAAATAAACCAGATGGTCTTGGGAAAGAAACTTGGCCAGATGGATCAGCTTATGAAGGAGAATTTAAGGGAGGTCGAAAACATGGTAAAGGTTGCTATAAATGGCATTAAGGCTGTGTTTATAATGGAGAATGGAAGGATAATATGATACAAGGTGTAGGAATATATGAATGGCCTGATGGAAGGGTATGGTATAGTAAATATTGCAGTCTTATTCTGGAAGTTGGGTTAAAAATTAAATGCACGGTCGAGGAAAATATATATGGAAGGATGGAAAGTGTTATGATGGAGAGTATTAGCATGATAAGAAATGTGGTTTTGGCATATTCTATTGGCCTGATGGAAAATAGTTCTAAGGTTAATGGTTGAATGGAAAGTAACATGGAAAAGGATTAATGATAGGGAAAGATGGTAAGAAAAAAATAGGATCTTGGTTGGAAGGAAAATTGATGAGTTCCATTGAGGATGACAATTTCTAAGTTATACCAGAAGGTTGGATTTAATAATAACAATGATCTTATTATATTGTTCTCAAAGTGATCTAATAGGTATTTATTTAATTGTAACTATCCATATAATTAATTTATATTGGAAACTTTTAAAAATACAAATTTTGAATTCTCTATTGTTATTTCTAAGAACTTTCTATATATTTAAATAATTTATATTTATATATAAATCTTGATAGTTGTTAAACAATTAGTTTTACTTCTTTTTATTTGAACATTTAATTGTTAATAGAAAACAAACTTAAATTTGGTTGCTTTAGATAAATATAAGTTTAGACATAATCTAACATTTTATTAATCAAAATAATTCAGTATTATTGATAAAATTAATAATACTATCATATTTTTTGTATTTCAACTTTACCTATGATAAGATATTCTTCCTTTTCTGGAAAAGTATAATAAAGAATTTTGAATTAAATTTATTGTAAAATGATTAAGTTTTTATGTTAAATTAACCTCCAAATTATTAAAAATGAAAAATAAAAGATAAGCTCAACATATTTCTGATGAATCTGGGCTTACTTACTTTGAAGCATTCTAAAAAGCCATTTCTAAATATGAAGTTGATAACCCAAAATAATATCACAAGCAAGATAATGATCGATTTACAATATATGAAGATTTGAAGTTACTCTTAGAATTATCTAAAATCAATTAAATTGAACCATAACATTTTGAAAAAATATCAGCTCTGCTTAAAAGATCTAAAACAATCCTAATGAGGAGGTAATATTACAAGTTAACTTAGATATCGAGAGTATTTGAAGAATATAAATTAAGATGACTTATAAACAATATTTTCATTTCTATAACAATATGATGCTTATGGATATCTTGTTTTTACTTTAGAGAATGGATCCTATAAATTATAAGATATAGAACCAATTAAATAATAGGAATCCCCTAAAAAGACTCCAATTTAAACACCTATAAAATAAATAATTAAATAAACTTAATAGACATCTGAAATAGATGTATAATAACTTCCATAACATTAATAATAATAAAGGATAGAGCCATAATCTTTAAAGAAAATAAAACCCAATAATAAATTTTAATTGTCTGCAAAGTAAACTTCATTTTCAGTATTTTAGTTCAAAATACGATGTTTCTCATAAAAAAACTAATCCTTTTAAATAAGAATAAGTAATATTAGATGAAGAGTAGAAACATGAATACGATGAACTTAAATTTACATTGAAAATATTATCAGAAACCTTAAAAATACCATATTAAGAATTATGTCAAAGGATGTATCAGTGTTCTGGAGATTTGAATACACTTTTAGATGTTTATTTAAATCATTAAGAAAATTTACTTTGGACAAAAGAAGCGGATGAAGCATTAAACGCTTATTTTGTCGAGGAAAATTAATTTGAAAAACAAAAATTAAGAGCCATTTTACATGGAGAAGAATAAATATAAAAGAGGAAGGAATGGCTATAGGGAAAATGAGAAATTAGTTTAAAATGAATTAATGATATTTAATAATTGAATTTAAATAATTTAATAACATTAATTATTTATAGTAGAATCCACTTTAAGAATATCAGATGACAAAATTATGTGAGTTCTAGAATAGCAGATATTTCTCTTGCATATTCTATCCTACTAACATTCAAGTAGACTAAAAGAACATTAAATTACAAGATACTTGGATTAATTAAAGCATATTTTCCTACTATTTAATAGATTTAGCTTCTCCTAAAGTTCTCTTGTATATTCAACTAAATACTTTGCTTCTTATTGAGCAACTTATTTAGCTTCAACTGCATCCAAATATTCTTTTCCAAAAATAAGTTCTATGAAGTAAATTGATTTAAGAATATTTCATAATAGATAAGGATAAAAATTAATTTTTAGTTTTAAAAAACAAGAAATCTTTAATTATTAAGTGTATGATATCTAAGTATTAATTGAATGATTATCACATTTTCCTTTTGAGAATTAAATCAAATCATTTATACTAATTATAGGAAATATTCTTAATAAAGTGATTGGAATTAAATTAGATAAGGGACTATTGTCAGAAGAATAGTTTAAAATAAATAAGATTATTAAATAGATAATAAGACGATTTTGATTAAATAAACAAATAAACAAATTTATGATATTATCATTATTTCTGGGCAATAGAGCTGTCAATTTAGGAATCACTTCATAATATCTAGATGTATATTATAATTGTAATTAAATTAGTTATAAAATAAATTCTAAGAAGAAGACCCTATTTTACATTAATTTGATCATAATAAAAGACCTAATTCATTATACTTTGGAAATGATCTAGACTTAAGTAAATCATTAAATATGATCAATATGAATTCATTAAAATAAGAAACTTAGGAAGTTCCAATTATAAATGAATAAGAAAAGGATGAACCATAGATTATAAAATTAACTTAAAAATATTTACATGAAATGAGAATAGACTAAAATCAGATATACAATTATAAAAAGAACTTTGAAAATGAAAATGATCTTTTCGCTATTAATTTTGATACTACTTAAGTGGAACTATTTTAAGACAATATTTAAACTCAATTAGAAAAAGCAGATTAGTGTGATGGTTTTGAATTAATAGTAGATTGTGAAACATGTTATGGTGAAATTGGATTGAAAGTAGTTGATTCTTTGAATGATCTTTAAGGAAATAGTAAAAGTCCAAAATTAGTAATTTCTATTGTTGATCCATGTAATAATATTAAAAATAGAATTATCAATAGGTATTCAATTTCCATATCAATAATTTAGATCATTAACTTTAACATAATATTAATAAAATTCAACATTATTGGTTCCTCTAGAACTAAAAGATATGTAAATTCATTTAAATCAAATAGAACTTAATCAACAGTATTCCTTCCTTATCAATAATATCATCTGTAGCTATAAATGCAAATAAGAGTATGTGAGTATGCATGAATTCTGTAATCGAATTACTTCAGCTCCTTAAAACAATATATTTAATATTCTTGCTTCGATTCCTTCAATTTAAGATAAACCAGATGATAGCATACTGAATTATAAATAAATTAAGAATTTGGATAAGTTTTATATTTCATAAGATATTATTAATTTGAATTCTGAGAAGGAATCATTTGGAGAATCTTATTTTTTAAGAGGTATTTCACCAATTCCAAATGAGAGAAATCTAAAGTCATATGGAGTAGATATCAGAATTTTAGATTATATCTATTAAGTGCCTATGTTATATAATTATATTGATGTGTTACCATTTCATAGTTGTATCTTTAGTAATGAAAGCTATAAGTTTACTCTACTTAAATTATACAATGAATTAAATAGTATTAAGAAAATGGGTTTTTGGTAATATGAAAAATAATCCTTAGAAGATGAATAGTAATTGAAATATGATTTATTTTAATTGATTGAGAATTATGGTGGTGTTGATGAAGAGGAATAATTATGATTGTTATTTATTTATTAATATATTTGATCATAATCAAATAAGGTCTTGAAATCCAAGTCTCTATCTAAAACTTATCACTTCTTCACTTGATAATGTACTATCATTTCTGTATTAGATTTCATCAAAATCTATAGTAAATTCAAAACTTTTATTTACTTCTTCTTCTGTATTTTCTTCTTCTATTGTTAAGGAAATGTGTGCCCAATCTTGGATAACCTAAAAAATTCATTAAAGTATATTACTTGCTAACATTAATATGGGAATTGTGAAAATACTGACATCAATGCCTAATCTAACATACCAAGGAATAGGTCTCATTTGATAATATTTAATAAATTAATGTAAAATAATAATTGTTTGTTTTGTGAAAAATAAAGATTAGATGGAGCCATCAATTATCCAGCTCTATTATAAACAGTATCAATTCAATCTATCAAAAGGCATTATATTTAAAGTACAATACTTAAGATGAAATGACAATAGATGATCTTATTAAACATTCTCATAAAAAATGGGTGATAGATTATTATGAGAAATAATAAGAAATACTAGATTAAGAATTTCTTAAGAAATATTATGGATATCATTAGATAACATCTAAATTAATTGATTTAACTGAATACTACAAATACAGATTAGATACACCTAATATGTTTATGCTTCCAATATTTAAGTTAATGAAATATTACAATAAATTACGAAAGTATCATCTTCAATATTTAGAGAGTATCATTACACATAAATCAAATATAAATTAAAAATATTGGTACCTTAAAATATTAATAATAAAGTGGATATAAAATTTACACAAATATTATAATTAACAATGACTAAATAAGAAGAAGAAGAATAGTAATCTTTGATTTCTCTCTTAAATAAATTCTAACCATAATAAACTACTATACCTAAATAAATAAAATCATATACTCAATAATCAAATTAATCTACTACTAAATTATAAAATAAACCCTTAATCAAATAAAATGAATAAGCAAGTAAAAAACTTAAATCTCTTTTAAATGGAGAAATACTATAACAACAATAATTATTGCCTCAATAATAATAATAATAAATAAAAAGAGGATAATCAAAATCTCATTCAAATATTAAATTTCATACTCTTAATAGTGTTAATATTAATAATTCAAAAAAAATGAGTATACCATCCAATAAATCAAATCTATAACCAATTAAAATATAAGGATAAAGCAAATTCGGATCTTAGGTTGACATAATTAACAATATTTATTAATAGAAAAGTAATTCTATTGTTAAAACAAGATAACAAAGAAAATTAAATTAATTATTTTATAAATGATTATATTATTTGCATTATTCTTACTCTAAGTTTAAGCCATTTATATTTTACATACAAAAGGAATTTCAATTAATCAATTAGATTATTTTGTAATTGAATTAAATCAAAGTGGTTATAAAGTGAAGTCACAAATTGCACATAATGGATCATTTACAATATCCAAACTCTATAATGATTCTGCTTTATTTGATATATTTGTTCTAGATGAAACTGGCTATACTTGCTATTTATAAGCTTATTATAATAGTTCTTGGGAAACAGAATGTTTTTTCCTATTTAATTAGAGTTAAACAAGTCTCAATAATTTTGAATATCAAAAAAACTATCCTGTAGCAGATGCATAAAGATATTTAGTTATTGATAACACTCCTTTCCCTCAAAATGGAGCTTATTTTGCTGATAGATTGTATTTACAATTAGATTATATTTAATTAATCTAACCAATACCAACCTATTATCAAGTCACAATAAAAAGTATATTATTTCATAAAAATAGTCACAATTGTATTTGTAGGGGTCTTAATTTGTTTTAGTATTTGGTGTTTGATACTAAGTTTAAAGTATAGAAAAGAAAAAAAACATAAGGAATCCATAGAGAGGAATAAATTAAATAATACCTTATCACCTATAAAGTAATATAAATGAATTATCAATTCAAAATATATTGTATTTCTCTTTATATAAATATAAATTGTTTATATTTCTTTCTATTCTAATTTATTAACATCATATATGAAATCTCTAATTTATATCAATAATATATGATGGATTATTAATTTTTTGTTTAATATAAATATTTTCAACTTTGATTATAAATATGTTTTTTTATATAATCAAAATGTATTTCACTTTATTATTGAAAAGGTAAAATAAACAATATAAGAAATATATAGATTAATATCTTTTTGATTTTCAAAGAATAAAGTTACAGTTTAATATAATGGTCATGTACAAGAGAAATTATTAATTAATTCCACAAAGATTTATTACTAAAATAATAATGTATATTGATATTTAATATATAAAATTAAAGTTATGGGTTGTTTATAACCAAAAAAACTAAATAGGATAGTGGCTATGCAAACAACCAATAAAGATCTTGTATTCACATCTACTGCTGATATTCATAAACTTTATTCCTTTGGTAAAGTATTAGGGATTGGTGCTTTTGGTAAAGTATTGGTTGCCAAAATGAGAAACAACAATTCTAAACAATATGCAATTAAAATGATAGATAAGAGGAAAGTAAGAGGAAGAGAAGCTATGTTAGCAAATGAAATTTATGTCTTATAGAAGTTAGATCATCCTAATATAATTAAATTTTATGAGGTATATCAAAATGAACTATACTTTTACATAATTATGGATTATTGTGAAGGAGGTGAATTAGTGGAACGTATACAAAAGAGTCAAAAAAATCTTAGTGAAGGTCAGGTGTAGAACATCATATTTAAAGTAAATATTGAATGTTAATTGAGATATGTTCAGCAATTATGTATATTCATGAATAAGGTATTATCCATAGAGATATAAAACCTGAGAATATATTGTTTTCAACAAAAGATCCAAATGCAGAACCAAAATTAATTGATTTTGGATTAGCTATAAAATTTGACTCTAGCAATCTTAAGTAATCAAAAACTCAATAATTTAGACAATTAAAGGCTGCTGTAGGTACTCCTTTGTATTTAGCACCTGAGGTTATTGAAGGCAAATATAATGAAAAATGTGATGTTTGGAGTTTGGGTATTTTACTTTTTCATTTATTATGTGGCTATCCACCATTTTATGGCAAGAATAGAACAGATCTATATGAAAACATTTAATATCAAAATGTATATCATATTATCTAATTGTAGTTAATATTTGATAGGAGACATTGGAATAATGTTAGTGATGAAGCTAAAGATTTAATCAAGAAGATGTTGAATAAAAATCATAATATTAGACCAAGTGCAAAGGATTGTCTTCGTCATTCTTGGTTCCGCAGAAAATTTCAAAATCCAGTTCGATTGTAAAGAGGAAAGAGTACTATAATTTCAATGAAATCACCTTAATCTGAAGATCAAAGATCAATATATTAAATGTTGAAAACATTCAGAATAGGTGCTAAATTTAAGAAAGAAGTTATGAAAGTGTTAGTTAATTAAATGAATGAAAAAGAATTGGGGAGATTAAAATAAGTATTTTAGAAAATAGATGTTGATAATTCAGGAACTATTACTGTATAAGAATTGAAAGAAGCATTAATGGAAGAAGTATAAATAATATAATAAAAATAGGGATCACATATAAGTCATGAAGAAATAGAATAATTGATATAACTTGTAGGTTTTGAAATTGTAGAAGAAGAAAAAGATGATAATGATTGTGCATCAACAACTAAATCAAGCAAACAACTTGTTATTAAATATAGTGACTTTTTGGCTGCATGTATAGATGAAAGAAGAGTATTAACTAGAGAAAAAGTAATATATATTATTATATCTTAGTTATGGTCTGTATTCAAATATTTTGATACTTAAGATGCAAATTTTATTATGAAAGAAGATATTAAAGAAGCATTAGCAAGACATGGCAGATAATTATCAGATGAAAAAATAGATGAAATGATTTATGAAATTGATCCTAATCATGATAATAAAATTAGTTTTGAAGAATTCTGTTAAATGATGGGTGTTGCTGGAGTTGAATAAACTATGGATTTTAAGGATGAAGTAAAAGAACATTTAATATTTAATCAATCTCAAGAATGATTCTTAATTGTTTATTTTAACATTATTTAAATCATGATGACTAAATAGTTGTACAAATTCTCTATTTGATTATGCTAAGACAAAAAAATTAAGAAAAATAACTAAAAATAGCTATTTCACTTAATAGATAAGTTTGAACTAACTTAATATTAAATTATAGCAAATAAATTTGTAATTTATGACATCAAATATATGTCATATTATTATGAATTATGACTTTTTAATATTTTATTAATCTTACCTTAAATCAATATATAACATGGTTTTCATTATTCTGATACTGCTACTAGGAGGAATTTAATCATAAGAATGCTAGCCTTACGGTGTTAGATTATTTTTAGGGCATTATTTTAGTTATTTGAGAAATACCTAAGATTTAATTAGAATAGTCTTCAATACAGAAGTATATCAAATATTTTGATAATTTCTAGCAAGAATGTAAAGACTAGTTTATTATTGAAGTGGTTGATAATAAATCTGGTAACAAATTAATGATTTCATAAATCACATACTACGATACTCAATTATTAAATATGACATAGATATATGAAAAGAATGAGACTACTCATTTTAACTATGAGACCTTTATTCATACATTTAAGATTGGTCTTCGTAATATAGACATTACTGCTTCAACATCCTACAATTATACTATAATTTCTAAATAAAATTAAATATTATCTGGTCCATATAAATTTGATGTTCCCTAGGCATAAAATGAATAAAAAATGATAGTTTTTGGAGATATGGATTCAAATTGGGTGAAAAATTATTCTAAAGACACTTTTGATTGGTTAGAAAATTAAGTAAAATCTGATAAACGATATGATACTATCTTATTTACAGGTGATATGGCATATGATTTGGAATCAAAAAATTGTAAATAAGGAGATAATTGGCTCAGAAATCTTTCTGTATTTACTAGTAGATATCCCTTTATGGCAGCTCCTGGAAATCATGATTGGGGAAATAATACTAATTTTGACTTTTTTAGAGCCAATTTTGGATCTTTATTCTTAAATGAATATAACACTTAACATTATCTTAATGATTTTTTTAGTTTTGATGTTGGAATGGTTCATTTTATATAATTTAATCCAATCAAGGCAGTTTATCAAAATGATCTTTACAACATTACACCTTTAATAGTTGAACAAATGAGAAATGATTTGATTCAAGCAAATTACAATAGAGAGAATGTTCCATGGATTATAGTATATACTCATTATCCAATATATTGTGCAGTTCCCAAAAATGATTAATGCATAAACAATTTTAAATATTTATCAGCATTTGAAGATTTATTTGTAGAATACAAAGTAGATTTATATTTAAGTGGTCATGTCCATACTTATCAAAGAAATAAACCATATTATAAAAATACTACTGCAAAGTATTTAAAGAATGATAATATTTATTCATAATATTAATACCCTGTGTAGATAATAGAAGGGGCAGGTGGAACTGATTATGGAGAATAAAATTCAACTTATCCAGAAAGCCCATTTATGGAGATTTAAAATCCAAATCATGGAGTTGGAGTTATCACAGTTAAAAATTCTACACATTTATATTTTGAACATATCACTGTTGCAGATAATAAAGTTATAGATTCTATATGGCTAGATCGTTCTACCATTTAGACATCAAAACGGGATGGATTTGAAGTTGCTATGTGGGTAATCTTTGCTGTTTTAATGGTTATTACTGGTGTTTCTATATATTATAAATCAAATCAAGGAAAGAAACTCAAAAATAAATTATTAGAAGAAACAATAACTATGGTTGTCTCTTGATTGCTTATCTAATGATTATTTTATTAAATAATTTAATTAGATTCTTGAAATCCATATCAGATTTAAATTCTAGAATCTTCCAAAATCATAAATAATAAAGTCTTCTCAAACTTGCCTAAGTTTTTTAGTTATATTATAAAAAATATATTATTATTATTATTATTATTATTATTATTATTATTATTATTATTATTATTATTATTATTATTATTATTATTATATAAAGAATTAAAATTAATACTTTTAAATTAAATTGATTTCTAAGATAGTTTAAATTAAAAAATGAGAATTGATATTACTTGAAGCATCTCTGTTATTATTATACATATTTATTATTACATTATAATAATAAGATTGACATGATTTATTTATAGAAAATAGAATTATTTTTCCAAAAGAACTTTCAATTTTTATTTATATTTATTTTATATTATAGTCCAATTTGATATCAAAATTTATTAATCCCCTTGCTTGTTTGTAAAAATGATAAATTTAGACCTAATCTGATAAAATTAATATCCCTTTAAAATAATCTATAACCATTATTGCTTATAATATTTTAGTATTCCTTAATGACACTTATTCACTAATACATTTTTAGATTTTGCCATTCTTTTATTAATTATATAATAGTTTTAAAGTCTAATTCTGTTATTTTAAAAGGTTAGAGGAATAAATTTAAACTACATAATATAAATTCAATGATATATGGAATATAAGAATTAATTAAATTATATACTCTATTTTTAAATTAGCATAAACTATCTAATAAAAGAAGAAATATTTTTATATGTTTAATGAAAAAAAGAAGAATGTATAACTTTTTCAATTTTCAATTTTGATTTTCATATTGATTTTTACTTTTAATTTTTAATTGTGATTACTTTTAGTTTAATTGTTTGATAATAAATATAAAAAGAATAATTACTCATCAATTTAATTTAGTTAGTAATTGAGTTTATGATTATTTATAAATGTTATATTTATTTATCATCATCATTCTATAATAATTACTAATAACTCAACAATGTTAGATATTTAATGAGTAAATATTGCTTGGAGATTATTATACAAATAATGGTTCAATTTTGGCATAAATTCAATTCAAGTCTTATGTATAATTATTTAATGAAAACAGGAATTATGTGATATACCAATGAAAATCAATTTGATCTAACTTAGATATGAGAGTAGTTTTGTTGATTAATAGTATTATTTTTATACAGCTCCCATTGAATCCAATTTTTTAATTAAGTTCAATCTTGATAACAATGTAACATTGGGAAATATGCAATTGACCCTTAGATTACCAAAAAAATATGGAAGAGAATCAATATCTATTGTAGAAATGGAAGGAAGTTATTAACTTATAAATAAGAAATCAATATTTAAAGTTCCAAATTTTGATGCTACTCAAAATATAAATGTGGAGTCAATTCATTATATATTAATAAATAGATGTGTTATTGGTAAGATTGTTAAAGATTTATAAAAAACATTTGGTAAATGGACTGTTTTAATTGGTAAATATTCTTGCATGAAGAAATTGAGTGTTTTGAAATATGATACTTATATTTAAATCGAGGAGAACTAATTTGTTACATTTCTATAGACAAATTAGAAAGTTTTAGGAGATGTTATAAAATTAGACTTCTTTATACATAATGATAATAAATTAGAATATAATTATTATTTGAATAATGAATTAGTTCATTAAGAATTTATTGTTAAGAATACTTTACAATAAACTAGTAATGAAAGTAATTGTGAACCATATGGATAAAGAATAAGCTTAGGATATTATTATACAAATTATAATAATTCAAATGAATTAATTAATATTGCTTATAATACTTTAGTAATTACAAAATTGTATTATTTTAGTCTTATTGTCCAAATGGATATATTCATATTTATGATAACAAAAATGTAGATGAATTAGTATCTCTTACTGAAATTAGAATTTTGAATATGAGTTAGATTTACGAGAATACATCTTACTAATTTACATATGTTACATATATCAATATTGTGTCTTTAAATTAATCTATATTACCAAATTTAGGTTAAATTTATAATTATCAAATTTTTGGAGACACAAATTAATAGAGTCTTAGTTATTAATTTAAAGTACCTTAAAAAGAATATGATAACTAAGTACATAAAATAATTTTCTTTGGAGACATGGATTCTAATTGGACTGGAAATAAATCAAAATAAACATTTGACTGGTTTTAATCCATTCAAAATAATTAAAGTGATTATGATGTACTAATATTTGAAGGAGACATGGCATATGATTTAGAATCCTTGGATTGTTAATAAGGTGATTGGTGGTTAAGAAATATGACTACATTTACATCTTATTATCCATTATTACCAACTCCTGGAAACCATGATTCTGGTGATAATTATGAATTCGATTTTTATAGAATCTCTTTTTTATCTCCTGAAAAACCAATTAACACATAAGATAATTATTACAATTTTTATAGTGTTGATTTAGGATTAGTTCATTATATATTTTATAATCCCACAAATATTGTATATAATGAATGCAATTAGACTGAAATTGATTATATGGTTTCTATTATGGAAAATGATTTAATAGAGGCAACCAAAAACAGAGATTAAATTCCTTGGATTATTGTAAATAGTCATTATCCTATGTATTGCAGTGATGCTACTGATCCTATGTGTTCATAAAATTTTATTGCACTTTAACCATTTGCAGAATTATTCAGTAAATATGGAGTTGCAATTTATATGTCTGCACATTAACATAATTATGAAAGGGATGCTCCATTTATATATAATTAATCATAAAATAATACAGGTCTTATAACTGATGGTCCTGAATAACATTTAATTGTGAATTCAGCAGCTCCAGTATATATTATTGAAGGATCTGCAGGTTAAGAATATTATACACCATTAGTGCCTTGTAATTATTAATTATTTATTTAATTTAGATCCAGCATAACCCTATACAGTATATTAAACTGGTTATAATGATGGAATAGGCATATTATATATTTATAATGAGACTCATTTGTATTTTGAATAAATAGATCTTGTTGAAAATAGGGTTGTGGATTATTTTTGGGTAGTGCAAACAAGAGGACTTACTAGTGAGAAGACATTCAATATATTATTATGGGTTATATTAGCATTTGCAATGGTTTTGGTTATTGGATTAGCAATATTTTATGTAATGAGAAGGTAAATGATAAAGGAGAAATTATTAAATTGATCCTTATATATTATATTTAAAAAATGTTTATCTTAAATATTCATTTTTTATTTTTAAATAAAAATTTTATAAAAAATATCAATTATAAGTATCAGTTTATACTCTTTAATTCTATTATTTCTAATTAATTTAGGAAAAGAAATAGGTAACAACTGAGTATTAAATGAAATGGAATTTGTTCTATTTTTAAAAGTCTGATATAATTATCTAAGTGTCAACATCAATATTTAATTCATTAGCTTGAAACATTCAAATCAACCTATTCTCCTGAAACATTAATCATAATTGTTTTCAATAAAAATCATAAGACATTATTTATATATCTCTTTTCATATATAAGAATGAAGTTGCTCTATAATTAAATTTTGGTTGATATTAAATTAAAAATCTATACTGAACATTCACTTCTTTAAATCTAATGATTATTGTATTTATATATTATATTTTAAGTAATACCTACTCACAACTAGATTCCTTAACTTTTAAACAATCATAAAATTTATATTTATTTACTCATTGTTAATATTAAATATTAATGGAAATCAGCAATAGAAAGGACATCGAGAAATTGATTGCCTATAGTAAAAGTATTCAAGTTGGCCTCATTGAAGATGTATTTATGTGAGCTATATGAGGATTTCAACGACCAATACACTCCCCCTGAGAAATATGTCTATGATTCAGAACCTATTCCTGAAATTAAATTAGAAGAACTTGAAACAAATCTAAATGAAGATGAGATGCTTAAATTGTTAAAACAGAATGTTCAATCTGCCTAAATGAAAGATAGTATAAGCAGTGAACCGGATAGTTTAGAGAGTTAAGATTCAATTGAAAGAAGAGCTACTCCTCCTAAAAGATAATAATAATAGGTTCAACCTCCTATCCAAGTCCCTGTTTAGAAGAGCTAAACTACTGTTGACATGACAGAGTACAATAAAGTTCCTGAAGAAGTATTATAGTTTTTGGATGGAGCTAAAGGACGTAAATCTATGTTAGGTGCAGCCATAAAAAATACTAAGGGAACTAGTATGTTGTTACCATCACAAGGAAAACCTATTAAAATATACTTTTTTAACACCCAACAATATATTCAAATAAATGTTGCAAAAAATACTACAGTTCTATAAGTTATAAGAATGAGTATAACTGAATATTAGAATAGCAAAAATTTTGATTAGAAATTGCTTAGATATCCTAATAATGTTGATGCTTATGAAATTAGATTTGTTGATGATGACTTTGAATTTAAAGCAGAAATGGCTTTTGGTGCTATTGATAAAAAGAAAGAAATCTTATCTACATAGACAAATATCTTTTCTCTTATTGAGATAAGTAATTATAAAGAATAAACAAATGATATGTAAATCTTTGAAAAAATTAATCCAAATATGGTTTTAATTGAAGTGGTGATCATTGACTAGAAACCTGAAAAGAATGTAACTACAAAAGTTCAATTAGATAAGAATTCAATTGTTGCAGATATTATCACATAAATTAGCAAGAAAAATAAATAAGTAATATATAACAAACTATTTTTAGATTAATTAAGTAAACTTTCTTATTCAATTAAATGATGATGACACTATTTTAGATCTTGATTTAAGAATGCCAGTTGTCTAATTATAAAATAAAAAGATTTAAATTAAATAAAAGACATGGGCAGATTAAGCAGAATAATAATCAATTAATACTTAAAGAAGAGACACAATCACAGAGTAAGATGATTATGTAGATGCTCCATTAAATCATATTCAAGCATTTAAATATGAGAAATTTACAGTAGTAAAAATTAATGAAAGAGGAAAAAGATAAGATAGAATATTAGGTATAGATCAATTTAGAATTTATAATATGAACAAGAAAGAAAATTTAGGTTTATGAATTAAATATAATATTAGGATTATTTGAAAGGATTTTAAATAATAAAAATACAGGCACAAAGTTTCCAGAGAGATTAATAGAAGATATTGTTGATATCCGTATTGCTAATTAATTTTTATATATTACTTTTAAATAAGAGAGTAATTTTATAATTATTTATTTTTTAAGATGATTTTAAAGAATTGAAATTTGATACATTAGATTCTAAAATTGCATTAAAGATTTATAAAAAGATTAATTTTATTAGAGACTTTTAGATTACAACTTAAAAAGTTAGAACTTATAGTTAAAAATTAGATTGATATATATTTATATATATTATTAAAAAAATATATTTAATTCTATTTATGCTGGCAGCATCATATCATATCATAAAAGCCCAAATCCTTCACAATTTTACAAAGCTATTTATAGTTTCATAATCATTTTCTCTATAGAATCATACTATGGTAATAAAAATACATTAAAACAAGTATGGGCTGAAGGCAATTACTCAGAATCTTAATTAATTTATATAAATAATACTTTCTCCATGTTTCTAAATCTAAAATTTTAATGATTTTAATCCACCAACAGGTATTCTATCTGAACCAGTGCAAAAGAATAAAAAACGTTTTTATTATTCTTCATTTAAGGAACGTAGAAATCCCCAAAATGATCTATTAATATATTTTAAATATATTATACCTTATATATTCAGAATTCTTATCAAATCCATTATACTCTGTTGTATCCTCTAATTCTTATAGATCAATATGTTTTTATCCAACTATCAATTGTTATAATTCAGATCCTGAAAACAATTTAATTCCATTCCCCTCAACAACTGTCCAAAACCCTTTTTTAAACGAATTAAATGGTATTTTAATTGATTCGTTCAAATAATAGTTAATGCATAATTTAATATATTCATGTTTATTCTTTTGATTTACGAGTATTTAAGATCCATTAGGCTAAATGTAAGTGAAATAGATAATACAAGTAATTCAACTGCAATAATATCATCCCATACAGCCTCAGTAATAGTAAAGTTGAGAGCAAATGTATCCTCAATATTATCTTATTCATATTCTGCAAGAGTATTAAGTCCTTTATAAACTTCTAAATCTAATTCTTTTAAATCTTCAAAACAAGTGGGTTCATTCATTAATTTTTTAAATATAACTTATGGAAATTAAAGATCCAAATACACTAATTATTTCTTTATTTATACCTTGATTATATAAAGCTAATCCTAAGATCATTCCAATTAATTCATATTTAATTGGCATTTCCATATTATATTTATTAAACCATAAGATAGAATTGTTATTTTTTGGAACAAACATTCCAAAATTCAAATCAAATAATTTTTATGTCAATAAACAGAAAAATTCTCTTGCTAATCCACCCTAATCTATTCCTTATTCCCCTTAAAATATTATTTGTAATTTAGCCTTTAAATTAATATCATCTCTTGATAGTGCTTCTAATGCACTTCTTACAACATCATTACGATCAATCTATAATTTTAAATATGGTTAAAAAAACATTAATGAACTTTCATATTAACTTTTTTAATTCATTCTAGAATCTATTGCAAGAATTTCACTTTTGAATTCCAATGGTATAACCCATGGATATTAACAAAAAGTAAAATAATATTTTTCTAAATCCTTTTTATTATAACTATCAAATTAGAAGTATTCCAATTAATCACCATATTTTGGATATAATTTAGCAATTTCAACTATTTAAAATTTAGTAGGATTTAATCTTTTAACAATTATATTAGATTTATAAAATACTTATAAAAGTTCAAGCATTTATTGAACATATTAGATTTCAGTTTTTTTTAATAATTAAATTTGTTTCATTGATTCTTTTTTTAAGAATATTCCTAAAATTTCTATAATTGTCTATATGTATCTAATATAATATTCATCAGGCAAAATTATTAAATAATTAGCTAATAGTTCTTTATCTTCTGCATTTAAAGTTAAAAAAGCTTCTAACATTCTATTCTACTCTTAATGCAATAGGTCATTAAAACATTTAAAATGCATAATAATAATTATTGATCTTACAAAATATATATTTTATTTTTTATTTTAAACTAAATTATCCACCCATTAACTAAGAATTTTGACATTTATTACATTATTTACTTATTAAATAGTTTATAAATTCAATTCAGGATTTAGATTATTGTAATTAATTACATCATAACAATTATTAAAATTTAGAATAAAAGATGCTCCAAAACTATTAGGAAAATTAGATAATGCACTTAAAGTGACAACTATATCACCTTCAAATTATTATATTGGTTTTTATTCTATAACTTAATTCCAACATACAGTATTCCAATCTATAGTTTCCTCTTTAAATTATTCAATTAAAAATTATTATAAAGTTTTCTTATCAAATCCAATTTATGAAAATATTGGATTACTATAACAATAATTCTTATCACATATAAATTTGCCACATCCTTTATATGCCTTTTCATAAATATGTTTAAACTATTGAGAAAAAGCAATCTAAAATTAAATTAATGTATACTTTCATATCTATATAATCATATTACCATTTCCCATTTATTTTAATATCAATAATTATTAAATCAGTCTTATAAAACCCTACTGTAAGATTTTCATCTAAAATTTCACCATTAAATCGTCCCTAATGTTCTTCCAACTATTTTATTGCATAATCAGCTTAAAAATGCTTATGTTTCCATAGTCTTATCTTTTCAACATTAATTTAGAATTCATTTTTCACTGCCACAAATAACAACTAAATCCAATATTTTATTATGCAATTCTCATCTACTTAAAGTATACCTCTTTTTGGGTTTTATACATTGATGTAAACAGGTTGCTAATCTAATTATTTTTAAATACTCTTAATAAATTAACATTTAATGATGGGACACCTTATTAATTGAATTGTACTAATCTCAATATTTTCAATTCTGCACCATAAACATTTTCCCAAACATCAATCATTTGTTTATTAACCTGTCATAATATGTATAAATATCCTACTAAAACATAATCTTCTGGCTACAATTTTATTATTTTTTAATTAAAGGCATGATCTCTTGGATATTTTAATAGAAAATTCTCATTTGATAATAAATCACTATTTAATGCTCCAGGCTAATTAATTTATATGTCTTATACTTTATCTCTATGCTAGTTTGGAGCAATCCCTTCAATATATTCTACGTAATATTTCCATTATCTAAGCCATTATTTTGAAACAACATATAATTCTTAACTTTAATTTTTTATTGCTTTCAAACTCTTAGATCACATTAATATATACCTTTCTTGTCTAATAATAAAGGACTATCTCTTTTTCAAAAGGATCTTCATCATCATACCTTAACAAGTCCAATAGATTTTTATTCATTTAATAAATATCGGTATAATTATATAATGAATATTAATTAAATTATGTTTTTCTCTCTCTTTCTATCCCCTTAATTCTATATTCGTATATCTTTATGATAAAAATTCAAAATTAATTTTTTACACATTTTCTAGAAAATTTATTGTGGAATTTGGTTAATAATTAGTTGGCTTTTTAAAATTAGTTAATTATTCAATTGAATCAGTTACAATTTTAGTTTAGATTTATTTAATTTACACTCTTAATTACTTTATTCTTAAATATTGCATATTGTTATTGAATACTTATTAGATATTTCAAATTTCTATTATCTTATTTTAATACTCCTCATTTTTTATATCTACTTAAAATCTAAAAAATATTCTAAATTACAATTCATAAATAAATTCATTTCTTTTCTTACTAACCTTTTTAATTTATATTATAGTATTTCCATAATTTAAAATTATTAATTTTTTAATTCAAGATTTATAGTACTTTAATGAATTTAAAAAGTATTGTATTGTTTTTAACTTGTATAATATTGAAATGCTCTATGATTCAATTATTATTCAATTAATTTTGGAAAGAATTATAATTAATTATAAATATAAAAAAGATGTTTTATTGGAAAAATTAAATAAAAGAGCTTTAACAAAAATGAATTAATCAAAATCATCAATGAAATTTACGGATTTTTTTTTAAATACATGGTTCATTAATTCTTCTTTTAAATTATCTTAGAAGTTCTTGTTCTTCTTCAGATAACAAATTATCGTATGAATAATCAAAATCATTGTTCTAATCCATTGAATCATTTTGTCTTAACAAGTTAATCAGATTTTTGATTGATTCTATTGATTCATATTGAGATAACTAATGATCATAGATCATTTTCAATTCTTATTTTGATAATGTATGATAAGCTTCATTAATTCGATGAAACTAATCTAATGCAAATGCACGTTATTCTCTATTTTTATCCTAAAATTAGAATAATTAAATACAGGATGCCATTTTAAGGCTAATTTATGATATGCTTTCTTTATTTAAAGTTATTTTGCATCTCTCTTAATACCTAGGATATCATAGTGATTATCAATCATTATTATTTTTACTAATTTACTAAATGCTTCAAAACTATTATATATTTTATAATAAATCAATTCTAGAATTTTCGAATTTATTTAATATAATGCTATCTAAATTTTGAATTCTCTAATAAATATAAGAATGCTTATATATCTAAATATTTATTTTAAAAATTGATTCAATTAAAATAAGCTTCTTATTTATTATATTAATTAAAAAAATAAAAATAAGATAAAAATTCATTTTAGTGGCTATTAATTTGATAACATTTCATCTTATGGTTCTGAAGATGATATATCTGTTTAATTTTTAACATTTATCTTTTAAACTATATATTCAATCAATAATGCCATAGTGACATTAAGTGTAAATAGTACAACAAGAATANAAATAAATTCATTTCTTTTCTTACTAACCTTTTTAATTTATATTATAGTATTTCCATAATTTAAAATTATTAATTTTTTAATTCAAGATTTATAGTACTTTAATGAATTTAAAAAGTATTGTATTGTTTTTAACTTGTATAATATTGAAATGCTCTATGATTCAATTATTATTCAATTAATTTTGGAAAGAATTATAATTAATTATAAATATAAAAAAGATGTTTTATTGGAAAAATTAAATAAAAGAGCTTTAACAAAAATGAATTAATCAAAATCATCAATGAAATTTACGGATTTTTTTTTAAATACATGGTTCATTAATTCTTCTTTTAAATTATCTTAGAAGTTCTTGTTCTTCTTCAGATAACAAATTATCGTATGAATAATCAAAATCATTGTTCTAATCCATTGAATCATTTTGTCTTAACAAGTTAATCAGATTTTTGATTGATTCTATTGATTCATATTGAGATAACTAATGATCATAGATCATTTTCAATTCTTATTTTGATAATGTATGATAAGCTTCATTAATTCGATGAAACTAATCTAATGCAAATGCACGTTATTCTCTATTTTTATCCTAAAATTAGAATAATTAAATACAGGATGCCATTTTAAGGCTAATTTATGATATGCTTTCTTTATTTAAAGTTATTTTGCATCTCTCTTAATACCTAGGATATCATAGTGATTATCAATCATTATTATTTTTACTAATTTACTAAATGCTTCAAAACTATTATATATTTTATAATAAATCAATTCTAGAATTTTCGAATTTATTTAATATAATGCTATCTAAATTTTGAATTCTCTAATAAATATAAGAATGCTTATATATCTAAATATTTATTTTAAAAATTGATTCAATTAAAATAAGCTTCTTATTTATTATATTAATTAAAAAAATAAAAATAAGATAAAAATTCATTTTAGTGGCTATTAATTTGATAACATTTCATCTTATGGTTCTGAAGATGATATATCTGTTTAATTTTTAACATTTATCTTTTAAACTATATATTCAATCAATAATGCCATAGTGACATTAAGTGTAAATAGTACAACAAGAATATAAAAGCTAATAAAAAATATGTAAACTAAATCAGAATTAAATATTTTTGCATAATTAAAAGATATTACATTCCAATTATTTATTATTAATAAAAACCAGCATGTACACATTCCAGATAAAAAATCATTAAAATTAGCTAATTCATAATGAACTTAATTTTCATCAGAAAAGAAGATTTTACCCCCAAAAAGTAATTGTCCGACAGCTGTAAACAACATAAACAAAATAAATAATGCACCAAATAATTAAACAATATATTAAAAGATTGATGTTATTGAAATTATTAAAATTGTAAAACTTTTATTCTTTAATAGCCATTTACATCCTCTCAATAATCTATAACATAATAAAATTAATAATATTTTTTGATCATTATATCCAAGTATGTTTAAAATAATCAAAAAAAGTATTGAACTGGAGAAAAAAAATTCAATAATTAAAGATTTTTTTCTCCATATCCTTCTTTTACCAGTATAATATAATAATAAAAGGCATTCACCAAACATAATTGAATTGCAAATTAGTAAAATATATAATTTCACTTTAGTAATTGTAAGAAATATCATAATAAATGATAATGAGGAAATTATTTCAATAAAAATTTCATAAAATTTATTATCTAAAATTTAGTATATTGATCTTGATATTACATTATCAAGTGAAGATATATCTGCTAAACGTGTAATATCAGAACCTGTTCTATTACGAAAAAATTTTTGAGTTTTCATACTAAATCTATGATTGTATTTTGATAAAATTTATTTAGTTTCTTTATGCATTAGATCTTTGTAAGATGAATAAAAAAAGGCTAAAACTAAATTTATGATTAATATTGTGTTTATGAATTAAAATAAAATAAAATATGCTACGTAAGCCCTAGATTCACCATAATATGGTAAATAAATATCAGGAGAATTAACTGTAGTTTAAAGTACAAATAGAATTATTACTATACATTATTCTGGTTATGAAAAGGGAGGTTAATCTATTTAACATATTGTACTTTCTTATGATATATTATCCTTTTATTAAAATATTGCTGAACCCAATCCTGCAAAAAAAGTTAAGGAAAAAATCATCAAATAATATATTTCTTTTCCTTTGTTTATTATTTAACAATAATGAAATATTGTGGAACGTAATGTTCGTCTAATTTTATAATTATTCTTAGATACTTCTAAAGTACTATTAATATTGGTTTCATTAATAAACTTATATTAATTTGACTGTTATTTTCTTAAATCATTACTATAATATCATTGATTATAATTAAAATTGTTATAATGAGTTAAGCTATAGCAAATCTCTTTTTATTTTCTGATCCTATTATGGTTGCTTTAAAAACCTTTGAAATAATCATTTATAATACTTTACTCAAACAAAGATATAAAATGATCAGTATTTCAACACAATAGTATAAGTTTATAGGAAGATAGAAATCTACCATAGTTGGTATCTTTTAACCATTATAAATGCTGCAGTATTCCTAAAATAACATAGTTTATACTTAATAATCAATAAAATTGCACCAGGTTGGGCGCTAAAAGATTGTAATTATTAAATATATATAAAAAAACACAGTTCTTATCATTTTGTGTTTTTTATACTTTTACATTAATATCACAGATTAAGAGTTTTAAGTATAGGAGGCTCTATCTTTTAATATTTTTAAGTATTACTTTCTAAACGATTACTTAGTCTATTTAATGCATAGAATGAAGCAAAGTTATTTGAATCATTATATTGATCGATATTTTGAAAATCCAAGACTTTACTGTTAGAAAAATATGATTCTTTTGCTTCATCTAGAGATTTAACATTATCTTCAGACTTTGATGCATCAATTTTGAAATTCATAATAAAATTTATATGAATTTGTTTAAGAAACATTACTACAAAGACAAAAATAAAGGATAGACTATATTAAATTGATATAAAAATGAGATGATTAATAAATCAATATAATTTATTTAAAGATTTGTTTATAATAGTTAGATTAGATTATACAATAATATTTGTCATTAATTACTCAACTTATATATTTATTAAGTTTAATAATAATGATATTAAGTTAATCTAAACAATCTTGTATAAATATTAACTAATAGGAATTTTATTCTATATTTGTATATATAAAATAAAACCAAACCTCATAATTTTTACTTTTAAATCTTGCTAGTTAAAGCTTCACATTTCTCTGAAAGAATTTTTTTAATTCTTTACATCCAAAATTGATAAGGTTATTAGTTTTTATTATAATGATAATATAATCCATATAATAGATGTAATGAAATGCTTCTTACTGCCTTATTTGTTAGGAACAATGACAAATATGATATACCAAAATATAAGGCTATAAAGAATGCTGCAGTGTGTTACTAAATATTTATTAATTATTTACTATATTCTTTAAGGTAATAGCATCAATTAATGTTGGCATAATATATTATTTTAACAAAGTCTCAGGTAATTTACTAAATGATGTCAAATATTATATTTTTTTCATGAATATAGATTCTGCCTATTAACACAATAATATTGATATTTACTTATGCTTTATCTTATAATACCCAATTCAAGGCATATTTGTATACTTAAACAAAAATTGTGACTAAAATAAGTAAATGAAAAACTAGATTTTGCAAACCAAAATCAAAGAAGTCATTTAGGATTATGAGGGTGTTTAACACTACATAAATTAGATGAATCAACATTGATATAAATATATTAAAATAATTAATTTTACATCTTTTCATTTATATATTAGAGTATTTAACAAAAATAATAGATATAATAATACCTTATTCTCCTAATCCATTTCTAATAATACTTTTATTAAAAAATTGAAAACAATATAATAATTACAATGAATAAATAAATAATATAATACATAATCTTATATTTTTTATCTAGTACCTATTTTGATCTTCTTATATACATAATTTGATTAATAAAGTTCATAATTTGATATAATTTTAAAATATAATAATCTATCACTGTCTAATATGTAATTAAACTTCTATAATAATTGATAGATAGGTATCTACTTAATGATTTTGATATTCTAAGAATAAATATGATTCAATTTAAAGAAATGAGTATTTAATATTTAATTCTGATATTTGTTCTTTTTTATTTTATTTGATATTAATATAAATCAATTATAGTAATGAATATTCCTAGTGAATTCAAATCAGTGACTGATTATGCTGTAATTTGTGGTAAACGATGTCAATTATTTGAAAATTTTCTAAGAGGTAGAAGATTGAAGAATTTTGAAGATTGTTTATGTAATACCTATTATATACTAGATAATTGTGCAGAGCATGTAAAAGATAATATTTTAAAATTACAGATTGATAAATCAGATGAATGAATAATATATAAACAAAATAATGACATTCATTTATTTAAAATTGTTTTAATTTTTAATCATCTTCATATAATTTTTTTATTAATCATACATTTTTGTAGCACCTACAATTTCATCTACTGTTTTTTTTTCTTACTTTTTTTACAATTATTCTTCAAACTATTTTCTTATTTCTTTCAATTAATTTAGGTCTCTCTTAAGTTTAAACTTATATTTAATTGTTGATTCTTTAATTTATTGCAATTTTTGCTTGACTATTATTAACAACAGTCATCTTATGAATTAATCTATTATGCCTAACAGAATTTATGTGATCTAACCATGATAAACAATCACTAAATAATTCATAATATGATTAACAATAGAATCCACTATAATGACTCAATCCTTTTTCTAACAATTTATCCATCAATGAGAACTTACTTATAATTGATTTTGTATATTTGAGATTAATCTTGTCATATTCTTTATTTTCAAGTTGTTACTAATTAAATGATGATAGACTTACTTTATCCAAAATTTTATGTTCAATACCTCATTTCTATTTTGAATATTCATCAACCGATTTACTTTACCAACCTTTTCCTAGCATCTGGGACATTTTGGTCAGTCCATTTAAAAATTTAGTATAAATGATAATTATTATAATTAAAAATAATATAACATTATAATTAGATATAAGGGGCTTATTTAAATTCTTTTTATTTAGAAAAGCTTAATAAAGGCATTTCTTTTTATTTCAATATCTATATTTAAATTAAATATAAAATAATAAAGAGAATTATATATGTACTTTTTTTGAATTCAACTTAAGTATTTCATTTCAGAAATATAATAGATTTCTTTCTCTTATTAATAATACATTTCTTTCTAACTTAATATGTTAACTTTTACTATATTCTTATCATTTTGTAGATATGATAATTATTTTGCTAATTTTACTTTCTCTTTAACATAATTAGAGTCTCCATTATAAAATTATTCTGTCCAAATTAATCAAAAAATATGATTTATTTTTCATTTAATTAATAATGTAAACTTTATTGTAGTAAAATTTACAGAAAGTTCTATAAACAATAGTTAAGGCATCAGAAACAACTAATAAACAAATTACATTAGTTGCTGTATCTAAAACAAAAACAGTTGAATTAATTAAGGAGGCATATGAAGGAGGATAGAGACATTTCGGAGAAAATTATGTAAATGAAGTAATTGAAAAAGCCCCTTTATTGCCTAATGATATTTCTTGGCATTTTATTGGTCATCTTTAAACCAATAAAGTTTCTACTTTAATGAAGATTTAAAATCTTGAATTCATTTAATCTGTAGATAGTCTCAAATTAGCTTAAAAAATAGAAAAACATTGTGAAAAACTTGGAAGAAATATAAATATATTTGTCTAAATTAAATTAAGTGAAGAAGAAAGTAAGACTGGAGCTGAAATTGATGAAGCTAAACTCATAATTTAAGAGATAATTACTAAGTTTAAATACATCAAATTAATTGGTTTAATGACAATAGGACCCATAGGTAATACTCAAATTTTTGTATAATTATTGGATTTGGCAAAATAATTTGAGAAGGAATTTAATCTTGAACCATTAAAATTGAGTATGGGAATGAGTGGAGACTATTTAGAAGCTATTAAATACGGAGCTGATTATGTAAGAGTAGGAAGTGCAATTTTTGGAGAAAGAAATGTTAAACAATGAAGGATGTTATCATAATGAATAATACCACATTTATAAATAATAAATTTATAATTATTAATATTCTTATTAATAATATTATGGCCAAAAAATTAATACAGAAAAATTTATCGTTCAAAACTGAGATCCTACTAAGATGAAATAAATGTAATAAAGAAAAAGGTAGGAAAGTAAATGGCCCCAAAAGCTCAAATTACTAGCAAGAAGAAGAGATAGATAAACTCTATCAGTCAGTTTAAAGTAATGAATACCTACACTAAGGTAATTAATAATTGCATAAGCCAAGAAAGTAGAAATCTGATCCATAGAATAACTATTTTTAAAGGAATATTGGAAAAGCCTAGTCATCTTATGGCATAATAAGTAAGTCACCTGAATGGTACTACAACGGTGCCTTTCAGGTGAGGGCAGTGCCAAAAGGAGTATACAAACCTGAATGCATAAATGACTCATATATACTTTATAAATAAGAAGTTCATACCTCCAGCCTCATTTCATGATATCCATGAGTGAATACTTTTGATTTCGTTGGTCGAACCTCAATATCTATTATCTTTTAAAATGTGAAAATCAATGTAAAGATCTTGCAGCAAATTTATTATCTGAGTATCATTCAATGGCTGGCCTATCTTCAAGGGACTGTTTTATATCTTTTATGACTTATGGGAATTTTAGGATGAAGAATTTTTATGTATATGGAATAGGAAGGAGGATGAAAACATCCTCAGAACTCGGAAAAGATATCTAATTAAGATGGGACTAATTACCTGGTCACCTGAAGAACTTTGGTTTTGATTTGAGAATCATAAAAAAAATAAGAATTAGGAAAATCCAAAAAGATAGGCTGGAAAAGTGGCAAAACTTAAAAAGGAGAAAATCAAAACACAACAAAAAAGAAAAGCTAAACTGACTCTTTTAGAGGCGTGTAAGATTTGAAACCTAAGTTGGAGGCTTAGTTGAATTAACCTAGAAGTATTCCAAATAAGCCTACCCAAAGAGTTGGGAATAATTAAGGGATAAGGAAGGATCAGAAATTGGATAAACCTACTTCTAGTAGAAATATGTCTCACCACAGGAACAAGTCAGATACATTCTGAGATCATTGAGGAAACACTTTAGGTAAATAAAATACATGGTCGAAATTAATCTTAGATAATTCATGGCGGAAAGGCCTATTAAGTAACTTAGAGTAATTTAACTCTTATCCATCTAAGTTGTTAAGATGAGTTTTTTTATGAGCTAACCTTTCCAAGAGTGTAGAGTAAGTATTGGGTTTCATAAAAAAATTCATTTCCAGAGATATTTCATATTTGTTAAAGATAAATGAATTTGAATTTTGATAGCTAATTTATCTAAAACTATTGATACTATATATTTACTCTGCCAACCGTGCATATTTCAGAATTTTAATTAATAAAATTAAAAGTTCATCATTCAACTTAAAATCAAGAAACCAAAATCATTAATATTGCTTTTTGGAGATGCTAATAATAATAAAGCAAGACTCTAAGGTATATTTGATTTAAATTCCTAATAATTAAGCTAATTTTTTCTATATCAATAAAGAGTGAAGTGCTCAATCAACTTTCATTAAAATGATCTATCAATTGATTTTTTAATCAATTGCTATTTAAATTGGAATAAAAAATTAAAAGAAAAGCAATATACTTTTATATTGAATAAGGAGTAAAATTTATTTTCTAAATTTAAACTATGCTGTTTGTTTATGAGAACTTTAAAGAAATAATTAAGAAAGCTCAATATAATCAAAAAAAATAAATTTAATTATTTAGAAGAAAAAAAGTAAGCTTAGAATTGCTTAAGATTTTCTAAAAATATTTTAATAAATCAATCAGAATTAAGCAAAATAGGATAGTCCACAAAAGAACTGATTACTTTTAATCATTTTAAATATCTAAAATCAAAAATTAATTAAAATAAAGCATTAATATATTTTTTGATTTCGTTTTTATTTTCAGAGAACAATTACAAATAATGAATATATTTAGTTTATAAATCACCATAATTTACTTATTAAATAAAAAATGAGATTTAGTTTGTACTTTTTAAATTCATAAATTTCAATTTATCTATTTCAAATATTTTATTTGTTTAATTAAAAAATAAAGTATTTATATAACTGATATTTAATAAATAATAATAAAAGTAATATAAAAATATATAAATTCACATCAATTGACACTTCTTAATTCTTCTTCATTAACTCTCATTTATATATTTACTTATTTGAGTATTATACTTTTATAACTATATTGAAAGTAAAATAATTATTATAAAATACTTTCATAATATAATTTTAAAATGTAAAAAGTAAATATTGCTGCCTTTACAGATGACAAAGTTTTTATTAATTTACTAGATGTATTTATTAATAGTTTATCATTTTAAGAAAGAAGTTAAAAGACATGAAAAGGAATATTATAAATAGGATAAACCAAATATTGAAAATAGAATTTTAACAACTAATAAGAAAAATAGCAAATAATTTTACTCATTCTCTATCCTCCATAAAAACAATATAGTTGTCAAGGATCATAAAAAAATAATTCTAAAAACATTTCACAACAACACCAAAATATCTGATATTAATTAAGACTAATTTAATGATATCCCTCTTTCAGAGAGGTTGACCAGAAGGTCTAATATTGTTTAAAGAAATTGCTATTTTGGTCTTAATACATAAACTTAATATACTCAAAGATCAGAACTTAAATCAATAAATGAAGAAATAATTTAATCTGGACTACTTAAGACTTAAAGAAACAATAAGATGGATCTGATATAAGAAAGAATCAATATGTATTCATATTTTAATTTATAAAGTTGTAAAGAATACTTAAATAAAGAATAATAGAGATTGAAAATGGCAGAGGAATAAATAGAAAAAAATTAATTTATACTTGAAGAACTAGCTTAAGAACTTGAAATTGTGAATAGCAATAAAGCAATTTTCAATTCTATAAAGAATTTAGATTAATAAGTATATAAAAATGAATTAAATTTAATTAACTACAGAAAAGTTACATAGGAGTTATACGAATTTATATAATAAACATAAATAAAGTATTTTTAGAAATAATAGGAATTGATTTATCCATTTATTGAGAGTTTTAAAAATGAATTAAATTGTATGTTAATAGAATATGAATCATAAATTAAAAGAAACTAAGTAAAATGAATGTTAACAATTTATGCTTGTAAATTAAAATAAAATAAAATCTATTCTTTTTATTAAAATGATTCTTTGAAAAGAATTAGTATAAAAATTTATATTAATTAACTAAAGGAAAATAAATTTCTTAAATTATTATATTCAAATAGAAACAGATAATTTAAAAAATAATTTTGATTTACAGTGAAATTTTACTGAAAATGTTGAACCATAAATTAAGATGCATTTTAAAAACTTCATTAATTAATCAATATGTTGATAAGTTTAAAATTGCAAAATTTCATTATTAAATTATATATTCATTCAAATCAATTAAACAACCTTATTAAATTGATTTGTATAACCATTCAGCATGAATGATTTTAATATTAGGATTTGAATTTAGAATAGCTTATGCAGTAGTCTTGAACATTATTTTCATAACAACCATAATATCACAAAATTCTTTTTAAGTAATCTAGTTTAATTAAATATTTTTACTTTTCCTCCAAAGTTTTATATCAACTATTCTAATCCTAACCTAAGATTTTGATTAATCGTCTTTTATTAGGATGTTTTGGGTTTGGATAAATATACATAAAAGTTATAAGGGAACAATATTTCTATTGTAATCATGTTATTTGTACTTTTTTACATATTGTAAGTCAATTGATACTAATTAAAGGATATCTCTTTTTTAGGATTTTATTCTTATTTGATAATCCATTTTTAAGAAATAATTTTTGTCTGCTTATTTAAACAACAACAGCAGAAAATCAAATCATAAATTAGTTTATCTTCATTAATAACAAGAATATCACATTTAATTTTCATATCTTCATCAATAACCAATTGATACTAATCGCTTTATTATTAGTTAAATTTACTTCAAATTTATATGTTCAAATAAATTCAATATGTTAAAATCGCATGATTTATGTATAGCCAGAGTGAATTTTTAGTCATTTTATTATGTTTTTGATTTTTATGTTTTGGAACTCTTTTTAGATATAAATTATGAGTTAATCTTTTGAGACACTTCAACTTATTCAGTATCTAATTCTTCATGTATGAGATCTTATTTATTAATACCTTGAATACTCTTAGAAATTTATTTGAAATTTGAAATAGGTACATAAGATTTATTGAAACCTTTAGCTATTTGTTAAAGTTAACTCTTATATAAACTAAAAATGTGTCTAGTTTTAAATTCATTGACTTCTTCCTCTTCTTCATCTTAAATTTATTGATTTGATTATTTTCCTTTCTTCATATGAACTCTCTATATAAATTTATGACAGTACATCTTTTTTAATTAATTCTTGTATCTCTTAAGGAGTTAATTCAATGATTGGGAAATTTGAAGCATCAACTTCCCTCTTTTTTGTAAGACATCTAAAAATAACTTTTATATTTACTCATTTACCCACATAGGATTTACTATCTTAATATTCCATTCCTTAGCTTTCTCTAATGTACTCAAAAAACCATCTATAATTTCAATTAGAAATTACATTGCCAAATTAAATAGTGAGTATGTTTACTTAATTTTTTGACTATTGTAGCACCCAAAGCATAAAGTATTTCATCTTCACAATCAGATTGATTACGGTCATTCTACTGGGGACCTGAATATATTTCAACATATATTTTCTAATTTTATGAATTGAAAATATACTTTTTTTGCTAGACATTATGTAATGTTGTTAATCATAGTAATTTGAATTTGATTATCACCTAATGTGATGGCACTATGAGAAATTTTGCGTCCAGATTAGACAGCAGATACAGATCTTCTGTAGGATTTTCTGTTCTATTATTCAGTATGCACAGATGATTGACGTTACTTTCCTTAATTCATAACATTTTTGTTACCTTCATCTTTTTATGAGAAATTCTATAGTTCAAAATTATTATTAATATATATTCACTTATTATTAAAATGGTTAACTTATTCCCAAAAACTCAGGAGTATAATAGCTATCTTGAAGAGAATGCATTTTTTATCCATATTATGGAATGACTAGTTCTGGGGTACAAGATAATTATAATGAGTATTAATTTGGAATGTTATTGAACTGATTGTCACTCAAAATTTACTCCTACAATTGTTATTAATCTTAAGATTAAGGTCTTTTATTATTTAAATCTATTTACTAACTTGATTCATCTACTGAAGGTAATTTACATATCTATCCCATATAACCCTATTAATTTTATATATATATTAATATGTACCATCTTATTTCTAAATATAAGATTCAGAAAATAAATAAATTGATAATATATCATAGATCTCCTTAATATATTGGTATGATTGTCTGAAATTACTAAATTTGTGACGATAACTAATTTGGTAAAAGTAGAGCACTCTATTTTGATGCAGGTTTTGGTGATTCAAGAGTTCCAATAGATTCCCTTTATATTAATCTATATATTACCATAGTGATTCTGTGTTTGAATATTTATTTACTGGAAATGTAGATTCAACTATTTCTAATTTTTATTTTGGAGGAAATATGACATCAATTGTTAATTTGAATGCATCATCTACATTATAAAAAATAATTACCCAACATTCTAGGTAATAACATTTTTAAAATTCCACTTGATTCTTCAATACAAGGATTAGTATTAATTTCTATTAACCATGTCTTAAAATCTTGATCGATAATGAAGTCATAACCAAAAATCTCCATACAAAATTTTCTTTAATGAAGATTTAGTTTTCTCTTCACAGATTACATTGACATCCATACTAATTATTTCATCTTTGTAACATTATTTTATTAAAAATCAATATTGAATCCTTATTTATTAAGATAATTTTAAAAATCATCAAAAGACAATTGATTTCCATCTTCAAACTCTCCATATTTTTCAGAGTACTTTTAAATGGCATTGTTAGTCAAATGTATATATTAATTACTTACATCTTCAGTGGTATAATTTTCACAAGAAGTACGTATGTAACCTTCTTTGAAAAAATAACAATGAAGATCTTAAGTAACTAATACCCAAACTCTTATATCAAACTTTCTTTAATTAATAAGAAATGGTTATTCGATATATTTTTGAATCACAAAGGAATTTGCCTTGATGTTATTGTTTTTTTTGTTATTTTTTGCATCTTCATCTTCTATAGTTTAATGTCCTTCTTAATATTCACATATATGAGATATGATAGTATCTAAATCATTAACAACATGTATTCCTTAGCCTCTATTCAAAAATGTTGGTTTCAATAACCATAAATATTGATTACCATTTTAAGTTTTTGGTATTTTATTGGGAATAGGTTATATTTTCTTATCATTCATTGGTTAGACTGGAATCTGATTTATTATAAAATTATACTTTTAATTTCTTTTTGTATTCTACTAATTTTTTAGCCATTTAATCAATCTTCTTGGGAGCATATTTGTCAAAAAATTTAACAAATTAAGTAAATTATTAATCAACAGAATCATCTTTAAAATCTAATACAAATGTTATTGGAACTGAATCATATACATTTTATTTATTTTGCTAAGAAATGTTTTTAATAATAAAATAATACTTCAGAATATGAGCAGAGATTTCTAAACAAATATTATTTATTACTTAATTCTGGATGATTTTCAAAATGATTAACCATTTATTTGTATTAATTATTCAATATCAATCTATCATATTTGTAACCTCTATTCCATTATTGCCATCTAAAATTAACAAACATTGATGAATTATCCTTAGTTTACTGCCAATCAACTCTGGTATCCATAATCCTTTATACTAGTTCATGATTGTTTCCCAATCCCAAATTGTATTTATATTCATTAGATTACTCAATTATTTTTATTGATTTCTCTTTCTGTCTATGAGTATGTTGATCAGAAGAGAACTTCATTTATTTTGCAATTAAAATCATAGAGGATTGAACAGCAACAGGGTTTCTATAAACTCCTGCTTGAGATTGAACTTTATTATTCAGGTACTTTAAAAACCTATCAGGAGATATTGGTTTATCTTCAGGACTGTTTAGTTGTCTATACTTAGGCATGCTGTAAGCCTGTACTTTATGACCTTGTAATTTTGGTAGTCTAACTTCTTAACGATAATTCATATGAAATCCTGAACCGCTCACTGATAAAAACATTTAATTTTGCATATTTATATTTATTTTATGCATCAACCTGCGGATAGAGAGAAGATTGAGTTATACATTTCAGCTCGTAAACTATCTAATAAGGATGTAATATCAGATAGTGATCCAAAATGCAAAATATTCTTAAGAGATTTTAATGGTATTGAAAAATAAGTTGGTCAAACAGAAGTTCTAAAGAATAACCTCAATCCTGATTGGAAAGTATTTAAATACCATATTAGACAACCATTCAAATGGATTTCATCTTTGAAATTAAATAAGAACTAAGATTTGAAGTTTGGGATCATGATGACGGAAGCATTGATAAAGATGATTTAATTGGTGTTGTTAATGTATCTTTCTATTTTTTAAATTTTTACTAGACTACAGTTGGAGAGATTATGGGGTCAAGAAATTAAGTCTATACAGGATAATTAAAATTAAAGAATAAAGCTACAGGAACATTATTAATAAAGGGTGATAAATTGAAAGATGACAATAGATACATATTTTGGTAATGGGAAGGGAAAAAAATAAAAAATATTGATGGTTGGTTTGGAGAGTCAGATCCATTTTTAAGATTTTATAAACAATCTGGAAATGATTGGTTGTTTGTTCATGAAACAGAATTCTGTAAAAATAATGAAAATCCACATTGGAAAGCGTTCGAAATTTCAATGGCTAAATTAAATGCTGGACATACATAATAATAAATAAAGGTTGAATGCTGGGATAACCAAACAGACGGTAAACATTAATTTATTGGTTCGACCTTATTTACAATACATTAAATTGAAAATGAACTCAAAAGAGAATTCATATCTCTTTCTTAAAAAGGAGTATTAATTATATCATTAATTTATAGAGTAATCATGGTACTATATAATTAACTTAATTTAATGTATTTACTAAACCATCATTTATTGATTATATAAAGGGAGGAGAGTAGATTAATTTACTCATAGCTGTTGATTTCACAGGTTCTAATGGAGATCCAAAATCTCCAAACTCTTTACATTATAATAATCCAAATCAAATGAATTAATATCAATCTGCTCTTTATCAAGTGTCAGAGATATTATTAAATTATGATTTTGATAAGAAGATACCTATGTATGGATTTGGAGGAATCCCTCATTTTCCTAATTATTCAAAGTTAGAAGCAGATCATTGGTATAAATGTGAATTATCATTATAGTTTCCCTTTGACAGGAAGTTTTTAATAACCAGAAGTTTTTGGCTTAGAAGGAATTATGGCCTAATATAGTGGTGCACTACAACATGTCACATTATCAGGACCAACATATTTTGCTCCAATAATCTAATATGCTTGTTAGACAGCTTAATAGAATGTTAATCATAATATTTATTCGGTTTTAATGATATTGACAGATGGAGAAATTCATGACATGAATTAAACAATTCAATTAATTAAAGGTGCAGCAAGAATTCCACTTTCAATAATTATAATTGGAGTTGGTGATGAAAAATTTTAATAGATGAGAACACTAGATGGAGATAATGGTCCATTAAAAGGTTCATCTGCAAGAGATTTAGTGTAATTTGTGCCATTTAGAGACTTTAAATAATAAGGAGAATTAGCTAGAGAAGTTTTAGCAGAACTACCAAATTAGTTAGTTACCTACAAATAACTATTAGGAATGTAACCTTTAAAGGTTCCAGATGTCCATCTTAGTCAAATGATGTGAGAATTATCAAATATAAGACATATAGAATATTAGATTTATAGTAAAAAAATTTAAATTTTATCTTTTTATTTTTAAGTATCAGAAAATATATATTTTAATAAATTCATAAGTAAATTTTAGAATTCTCATTTATCTTAATAAGTAATTTAATTGGACCATTTTGAGTTTAAATTTATATTTTATTTAAACTGTCATAATTCATTATTATAATTATTATGTTGTAATAAATAATAGATAAAGATAGAGAAAAAATAGAGTTATATTTCTCAGGTAGAGGTTTAGCTGACAAAGATGTAATGTCGTAAAGTGATCCTTAATGTTATATCTATTTAAAGTAAGGATAAGACGGATATGAGAAATTAATTGGCAAAACAGAAGTAAAAGATAACAACCTTAATCCTGATTGGAAAGTATTACTATATCAATAATTCTAGACATCAGTTGTATTGGACTTTATATTTGAAATAAATCAGTTCTTAAGGATTGTTGTTATGGATCATGATGGGGAGAAAGTTGAAAATGATGATATAATAGGATCTTTAAATGTAAAATTTAAATATCAAATCCTTTTAGACAACTATTGGTGCAATTATGGGATCTAAAAATCAAATATATATAGGATAACTTACTCATAATAATAAAAAGACAGGGAGATTGATTATCAAAGCTGATAAAAGAAAGGAAATAGGAGAAAATAATGAAATTATTTGTTGGTAATGGTATGCAACAAAAGTAAAAAATATGGATGGATGGTTTGGTGTTTCTGATCCATTTCTGAGATTTCTAAAATGGCATTAAAATAGTGATTGGCTATTAGTACATGAAACAGAATTCATAAAGAACAATGAAAATCCTACTTGGAAACCATTTCAAATACCTCATGATAAATTACATGATGAGAATCCCTAATAACCATTTAAAATTGAACTTTGGGATAACTAAACAAATGGAAAACATCAGTTCATTGGATCAATTGAAGTTACAATAGAATAAATAATTTTTAAAGAAATCCATTAATTTATAGTTAAAACACCAAAAGGAGTAACTTTAGTACTAATATTCTATAGGAATTTGGTGGTAATTTAGGAGTAAAATTTATTGAAAAAAAAAATTTTGATTTATAAATGATGGATAAACCTTCTTTTATTGATTATTTAAAAGGAGGAGATTAAATTAATCTTATTATTGCNTTTAATAAATTCATAAGTAAATTTTAGAATTCTCATTTATCTTAATAAGTAATTTAATTGGACCATTTTGAGTTTAAATTTATATTTTATTTAAACTGTCATAATTCATTATTATAATTATTATGTTGTAATAAATAATAGATAAAGATAGAGAAAAAATAGAGTTATATTTCTCAGGTAGAGGTTTAGCTGACAAAGATGTAATGTCGTAAAGTGATCCTTAATGTTATATCTATTTAAAGTAAGGATAAGACGGATATGAGAAATTAATTGGCAAAACAGAAGTAAAAGATAACAACCTTAATCCTGATTGGAAAGTATTACTATATCAATAATTCTAGACATCAGTTGTATTGGACTTTATATTTGAAATAAATCAGTTCTTAAGGATTGTTGTTATGGATCATGATGGGGAGAAAGTTGAAAATGATGATATAATAGGATCTTTAAATGTAAAATTTAAATATCAAATCCTTTTAGACAACTATTGGTGCAATTATGGGATCTAAAAATCAAATATATATAGGATAACTTACTCATAATAATAAAAAGACAGGGAGATTGATTATCAAAGCTGATAAAAGAAAGGAAATAGGAGAAAATAATGAAATTATTTGTTGGTAATGGTATGCAACAAAAGTAAAAAATATGGATGGATGGTTTGGTGTTTCTGATCCATTTCTGAGATTTCTAAAATGGCATTAAAATAGTGATTGGCTATTAGTACATGAAACAGAATTCATAAAGAACAATGAAAATCCTACTTGGAAACCATTTCAAATACCTCATGATAAATTACATGATGAGAATCCCTAATAACCATTTAAAATTGAACTTTGGGATAACTAAACAAATGGAAAACATCAGTTCATTGGATCAATTGAAGTTACAATAGAATAAATAATTTTTAAAGAAATCCATTAATTTATAGTTAAAACACCAAAAGGAGTAACTTTAGTACTAATATTCTATAGGAATTTGGTGGTAATTTAGGAGTAAAATTTATTGAAAAAAAAAATTTTGATTTATAAATGATGGATAAACCTTCTTTTATTGATTATTTAAAAGGAGGAGATTAAATTAATCTTATTATTGCTATTGATTTCACAGGTTCTAATGGAGAACCCTCATCTCCAAGTTCTTTACATTATAATAATCCTAACAATTTAAATTAATATTAAAATGCATTAAAATAAGTAGCTGAAATTTTATTAAATTATGATTATGATAAGAAGGTACCACTTTATGGATTTGGTGGAGTACCATCATTGCCCAATTTTACAAAAAATAGTGTAGAACATTGGTAAAGATTAAATGTATATGAATAGTTTTCCTTTAAATGGGAATAAATCTGACCCTGAGGTATTAGGATTGGATAATATAATGAATACCTATTAAAATGCCTTAAATCATATAAGTTTAAGTGGTCCAACTATTTTTGGTCCAGTTATTGAAAATGCTTTAGATATTTCTAAGGCTAATCTTAAAAAAGATATTTATTCAGTTTTGCTTATAATGACTGATGGACTTATAGATGATATGAGTCATTGCTTAAAACTTATTAAAAAGGCTTATCGATTACCATTATCTATTATTATAGTTGGGATTGGAAATGCTAATTTTCATATGATGGAATAATTAGATGGGGATGATGCTTAACATGAAAGAGATCTTGTTTAATTTGTTCCATTTATTAGACATTCTCAAATACCAGGAGAATTAGCTAAAGAACTTTTAGCAGAATTACCAGATTAATTTTTGAAATTTAAATAATTGATTGGTAAGAATCCAAATCCATGTAAAGATATTGATTTAAGTAAAATTAATTGATTTATTTTCAAAATAAACATATAATTTTATTTAACAAAAAGTTTATTATTTACTAGGATTATATGATAATCTATAGAAAATATAAATAAGTATATTATTATAAAATAATTTTTCATCCTTATATTACTATAAATTTAGAAATTAATAATTATATAATATAATAAATGTAGAAAAATATACAAATTTCTAATAATAATTTTTCAAATAAAATCTTATTATTAAGTTAATAGTTAAGATTATATTATTTAAGCCATTTTAAAACTTTCTTATTAAAGTAAATTGTTTGAAGAGTTTTGTAATGAATTGTTAATAGGATTAATTTATCTAGGTAAAATAAAACTAATTTAAGATCCTGTTTATTTATTTTCATAATTTACACTTTTAAATTATAATTTAGGATTTTTTGATAAATATGGTAACAATTTTTAAACTATAAATATTCCTAATTTGCCTTCACTTACTCCTTCAAAATATTAGAAATAATATACTCTTGAAATCTAATGGTTGAGAAAATCCACTAGCTTTATCATAAATTTCAAATTTGATATCATCATTTGGTTATTAACAAACATGTATTTCCACCATATTTGTTATATCTGGTTTTTTGTATGCTTTAATACTATTGATTAGTAAATTAACGATAATTGATCGAAAATATTTAACATCAGTTGTTATGACTTTATTGTTCAAATCATCTGATATAACTATGTTAATGCTTTTTTCAATAACAGTTGTATCCTGACTGAATTTGGTTTTAAGTGTTTTTAAAAATGAGATAATATTAACTTGATCTTATTTTGGAAAAGCCATACTATCAGATAGAAAAATGATAAAATTTTAAATCCATATATCTAAAACATACAATTACAATTATGCTTAACTAAATAATTTATCTTCTTTGTTTTAATGATTAAGTAACTTATTAAATTTTTATTGCAAATCACTAACCATTTAAGATAATTTTTATATCTACTTTGAAGTGACTTCTTATTTGTATCCAATCTAAACAGTATTCATATAGGCTTTAATATTATCTATAGAATCATCTTCAATTTAAATTATTAAACCTTGATTCCAATAACTAACTTATATTTTCTTATAAATAGATTTTTCATTTTGAATTAATCCATATAGTATTTATTTCTTGTTTGCTAATTAGCTATTATTATCTTGTGGTTTAGCAATAAAATTATCCAAATTTTTCATTACAGATCCAGATAAGAATTCTCTATCAATATACTTAAAATAATATATATATCAAATTTACCTATAAAGAACTATTATTTAAATTTAATGTATTTCCTTTTTATAAATAGGCTTCGCTTTTTTAAATAGATTATAAACGTGATCTCTATTCATTTTGTGGAGAAACTAATTTTTGCAATTATTAATCTTCATTTATATCTCTTTATGATTTCCTTCTTTGCATTACAGCACTTTACTTTTCGTCAATTATTTAATCTCTAATATATGAATACAGATTCGTAGACATATTAACAAACATACTATTTGTTAAAATATGCTCACTATCTAAAGAAATTGAATATAATTAAATCTTTTTCAAATATTCTTCAATAGATTAATTTTTCTCTTTTAGAAATTAAATTAAATATTAACTCATTTTTTCAATTAAAATTTCATTATTTCGATAGGAAACAAAGATATATTGCTATTCTATAAATTTTTCCCATAAGCTTTGTACATTTTAAGGAAATTATGATTAAATTTGGGTGCTAATTCTTCTCTGAACGATTATTTTATTTTATTCGATTTATACAGGTTAAAGTTTGTTATTGGATAAAAGGAATTCAAATAAACACACTAAAATAATCAGAATTGAGGCAATTATAAAATATTCTATGTGATTGGTTATATTTTTGAATAAAATAATTACTATGAAAATAATTACAAGGGATATAGCCTAAAGCAGAATTTTAATATTAAGAAATTGTTTTTTCTCATTTTTATCATTTGATTTTAATTTTTAAAGTTGGAGCATACTTCCAAATAATAAACTTAATAGATTTTCTGATAAGTTGTCATTACTCAAATATAATAAACTTGCAAATTGAAGAAGCAGTAAAATAGTAAAAAATATTGGTGAATGATCTATTTCTATAAAAGTTAATATTAAAATATTTTTACACTATAAATTTTAAGCTGTTTTTCTGATTGCAGCAAGACTAAATATTATTCCAAAAGCCAAAAATATTATTTAAGGAATTAGTAAATTGAATATCTAACCTCTAAGTTATAAGTAAATGATGCATATAATAGAGAATAAAGTGTTCAAAATCTGAGGAAGAACTAATTTTATTGATAACATAATTTAAATTAAATATTAATTAATAAAAACATTGAAACTCTGATACTTTGGATACTATAACATTTCAGATTTAGTTTATAAGGTAACACCTATAATCGATAAAATATATTTTAAAACTAATCTAATATTTATCATGTATTTGAATTCTATAAGAAGACAACAATTACAGTAATATCATCAACTCCTTCACTAAACTTTTTCCATTAAGTTTTGGATTCTTAAATCAATTTCTAACAAGCTCCTTATGGATCATTATTCAAAAAATATTGATGTGTTATTTCTACTATCTTAATGATACTTTTAATACTTGATTATTATCTAAAAATTCCCATAATCCATCTGAACCAATTATTATAAATAAATCATCTCTAGTTATCTGATGCTATTTAATATCTTTAATAATATAATTAAATACCTGGTACATGAGAAACTCCTACTTGTTCAGCTATTTAATCTCCTATGCTTCTAGACATTGCCAATCCAGGAAATGAAGCTCCTTTAATATAAACTCTAGATGGACCTACAGATTGTCCATTTTATAGTTTATAAGTATTAACAGCTCCACCTTAATTTTCTATTCTTTTTTTTTCTTTCAATAAATGTGGTTTATGATCAATAGATAGATCAGTTGTTATTAATTTATTTTATTATTTAGAGCATAAAATTGCTCTTGAATCTCCTACCCAAGCACAATGAATTACTTAGTCTCTAATAACTATCAAGGTTGCAGTTGTTCCAGACATAAGTGAATCAAAATGTGAATGAGAAGCAACATTTGAATGAGCATTTGCAAATAACTTGACAAAATCAATCGTTTTAAAATCCTTAATTGCATATTCTAATTTATAATATATTATCTATATACATTAAAAATAATCTCTAACAAATGTGCTTATTTAATCACCATCAGTTCCATGTCCATCCATAACAGCAAAAATTCCTTATTCATCATCAATAATTTCAGCAAATTCTCTATCTTAATTGGTTTTTTCACAAAATCCATCAAATCCAGCTTTAGATAAGGATCCATAATATAATTAAATTTCCAACTTAGGAATTTTAGAGTTTATGATTCTCCTAGATTTTTATTGTAATGGAGGTTTCTTAAATGTTTTTTAAGATATTTGTTTATCCATCAATTATGGTAATTTATATTTGTGATCGGTATTTGTTTATTCTCTACTTGTCTATCTTCGATTCTCTGACTTAGATCTAATTGACTAATGAATATTAACTAATTTCATTATTAAAATATGTTGGAAAATCAAATGTTGTAATTTTTGAATTCAGACTTTTAACAATTTACTTAATAAGATAAGTAGGATAAGTAAGATGAGAATTCTGAGACTGAAGTTCCAAATAACTCTTAAAGATAATTGAGAGTTAAGAGTTTTGAAGAAAAGCCTGCTAATAAACCATTAAATCTAATATTCTAAATGTTATTGCAAAAGAAAACATAGAAAAGATAATAAATTAAGGTAGATCCAAAATCAATACCTTTGTCTATTAATCTCTCTGTTTAGGTATAAGAATTACCAATTATACGTAAAATCATGGATAAGAATGAATGGAAAAAGGCTCATAATTTTGATGGAGATATATTATGGTGTGGTCCTGATAATGTTCAATAAGCCAAACAATTTACTTATGATTTTGCAATGGTCTTTATGAATTTATGCATCAGTAGAATTCCTGGAGCTAAATTAATCTCTACAAAAAAAGAAACTACGTCAATCATGGCTAAAATGAGATAGTATAATATGTGTCATATTATATTAGATATTTTCCGTCTATTTATAATTTTTATCCAAAAACATACACTATGCCAGAAGATTTACATGAATTTATTGAAGATTTTGAAAAAAAAGATGGCATCTCTTATATTGCTAAACCTGATAAAGGAACTTAGGGTTAAGGCATCTTTATAGTTAGTTAAATAGAAGATTTATTTAATAATGGTGTCAAGGACATCTCATATATAAAGAAGTATTTAAATTTCAATAATTAGAAATTATATTATTTAAGAGTATATAAGTAATCCTTTATTATTGGATGATAAGAAATTTGATTTTAGATTGTATGTATTGGTCACTTCACTCAAACCATTAATTGCTTATATTAATGAAGAAGGTTTAGCTAGATTATGCACTGAAAATTATTAGGACATCACATCTAGTAATCTCTCTAATGTTTATATGCATCTAACAAATTATTCATTAAATAAAAGTAAAAGACAAAAATAGTATATCCATTAGATAGTCAAAATTTTATTATACATCCTCCAGATTTCCAGAAAATAAATTTTGGTACTAAAAGAACTTATACATCAGCCAAAAAAACATTGATGAAAATGGGAATAGATGTACCTAAATTAAAATTGAGAATTGAATAAACAATAGTAAGATTCCTATATGGAATTGCTCCATTTTTAGTAAGAATTTCTATTTATTAATAAAGTTAAATTCAACTAGAGAAGTCTATCAAGACAAATGGGAAAAAGCTAACTGTTTTCATGTTATTGGATTTGATATTTTGATTGATAGAGATTTAAAACCTTGGATTATTGAGATTAATGCAAATCCTAGTTTAGAGATTACTTAAGTAGTTTAAAATCCAAATGGAAGTAAAAGAGTAGAGACCAGTTCATTAGATGCTTATGTTAAAACTAAAGTTATTGAAGATGCATTCATCATTGCAATTAAAACACCTTAAGAATAAATTGAATAAATTGGTAAGGGGAAATATTGTAATAGTTATAAAATGATTATTGATGGTTAACCACCTATTGAAAATTTAGATTTGGTAATTTATATATATTTATAAAAAATTTTAGTTCTATAAATTAGTTGATCTTTACAGTAATCTTTGTGGTTTGAGATATGGAAATTTGAATTAAATGAGATTTTGTAGATTAGCTAATAATCCATAATTGATTAATGAATTGCTAATAAAATCAGATTATGATTTGATTTACAAAAAAATCTAGTTAAAATCATTATAGCCAGATTTAAATTTTCTAGGTTTCTTAGAAGCTATAGAATCTATCTCAGATAAGGTATAAATATATCAATTTATATTATAAGCTTTTAAAAAGAAAGGCTTCTAATTATACATTATAAAAAGCTGTGACCTATGTTGTAAATATGGCTTTAAAGGCCCCATAATAACATTAAAGACCTTTGACTGCAAAAAGATGATTTGGAGTTTAAATATAATATACTAAATTTTTTTGTTTAATTATTAGTTAATAAATAATAATAAAAATGTTTTATATGATAAGTGGACTTAAAACAAAATTATCAATAGAGCCAAACTATTTAGATCAATTAAAAGATTAAAAGTTTATTTTAGAATAAATCGTATAGAAATTAGAAGGCAAATACTTTGATGATGTTGGGTACATTATTTGTATAAATAAATGCATGAATTACAATTAAAATTAGGATGAATAAATTGATGCATTAATTGAAGAGGATGGAACTGTTAAAGTAGTGGTATTAATTCATTTCTAATCAGATAAAATTTGAAGCTATAGTATTTAAAATATAGGAAAAGGAAATAGTGGATGTTGAAGTGGTCAAATGTGAAGCTTAGGCGGTCTTTGCAAAATTAGGGCCAATTGATTTTATAATTCCAAGAGATAAATTACCTGCTAATTTCACCTATTCTAATGTATTTTATTAGATGTAAGCTTAGGAATCTTATAAAGAAGAAGATGAAGAAATGATAAAATAAGGTACTAAATTAAGAGTCTAAGTTTAAAAAACAAATTATAAACAGGGGAAATTAAGAGCATTTGCTCATTTAACTGGTGATAATTTAGACAATATTTGTGGCATACTAAGTGATGAATTGAAGTTATGATAAATATATATATATATATATATAAATAATTTAATGTAAGAGTTAATAAACAAATTATTCATGATAGTATAATTAGTTATCTATCTTATAGTTATGTGATGATGAATAATAAAAATAGAAATATCAGAGAAATACTAATAGTTAAGATTAGTTAAAGTAAATTACTGAAATTGTGATTAAAAAATAACAGGAATTTTTAGGATTAGAAAAACAATTATAGAAGTATGAATCAGAAGTTAGACAGAATATTAGAGTATAAATTATAATGACAATATTAGGATTAATATTTAATGCAATAACAATGTGATGATTTAAAATCTAGAATTGATGAATTAGAGAGTAGTAGAAATGAATTTTTAAATAATACAAAGAATATCATTATTGTAAATCTTTTTTAATTATGTATATAGAAATTTAAAAGAGAGAATGAAGAATTATATTAGAAATGTAAATCCTTAACTGCTTAATTATAAAAAATTGATAATTAGGTATAAAAAAGTTACTATTAAATTTAGTCAATTAGTAAATATTCAACTATAGATAATACTATAATGACCAATCTGACAAATATAGTCGATTAGAAAAAACCAACTAAGAAAACTAATACAACTCCTTAAAAATTAAAAACTGATTTCGATGTATCAGAAAAGCGATTAAGTTAACCAATATTTAAGCCCAATTATTTTTAAAAGAAATAATCTATACAAATTTCTATATAAAATAAAAAAAAGTCATTTTAATAGTTAGAAAACTATTTGAATGTAACTACAAGTATGTGAATATTATATTTATAATATCAATTCTACTTTTAATTATGTTTTGAATTCTAGACAACCTTTTAAATGTAATTATTATATTATTTTATAGATTACTTTAAATGTTCCTTATTCTTATCTTTTATTTCATCTTTTTATTCTAAATTTTAATTTTATGATAGAGTTTATGTAATTTATTATTTATTTTATTCCTTTTTCAATTAATCATCATATTTATGAGTATTTTATTAATAATCATCTTGAATGATTTGATCATTGATTTCTTCCTTTTATTATTAAACTAATAATGAAGGATCTTAAGAAAATATTTCTAGTAACATTAATTTTTGGTTAATAAAGTAATCTCTTGAAAAAGATGAAATCTTACCTTCATCCATTTATTTATTGATTTCTGTAAGTTGCTGAATTAAGTTTTTAACATCTTCAATTGAATTAATTTCACCTCTTCCAATTAAATAACCAACTAGAAAATGATCAATAACTAACTCCTATCCTTTTGATTAGGATTATTATATTTCATTTATAAGTTTTTTAATTATTTCCATTAATAAATCTATTAAATCTACAATTGAATTAGAGAATGTTAATAAAAGACAATAAATGTTGAAGAATAATAACAAATAATATTCTGATTAATTTATACATGTATATAATATTATTATCAAAAATAGATATCAATTATTTCTAGTTACTTTTATTATTATTTAATTTAATTTAGCATTACCTACCAATCAATCTTAATCTTTTAGTGAATTATAATCAAAGTTTCATATAATAAATATTTAAATATGCATTTCCATAGTTTTCCTAACTTCTATAATAATAATTATAATTATTATTATGATTTGAATATTATCCCATATTATTAATTAATTATATGTAATAATTATTAAATAAATTAGATTTTCTTTTTATTAATGATGAGCATAAGAGTAGTGAAACTACATAAAAAATGAGTACATTCATCTAGGCTATCTGATTATATTTTTAATAATATCTTTTAAAGTAATTAAGATTTTCTTGAATTAGAGTGAAAAACAATTTATAATTTTGATCATAAAATCAATTTAATTAAGTATTGAGATAGTTTACTGAATAAAATTATTATGTAATACAAAGGATATATTTTCATAATAATGAATTAATTTTATTTATTAAATATATGAATTAAGAAGATCATTATATCCATAATTAAACATAATAAATTACCAGAATTGATGTAATTAATAAAGTATCATAATTTTGACATTTAATCTTAAACTCAAAAATAAATATTTAGAGTAACTTAAAATTAATTATTAAGGAGTAGATGAATCAAATCAAGACAATAATTTTTTAGCCTTATAATTATTGATTCTTATACTCATATTGCTAATTAATAATTTTTTAAATCATTCATTTTTCAATCTAATTAAAAATGTAGGAGAGGATATTAATATTAAAGTTGGTAATGAATCTATCTAATGATTACCATTGATTGTAAAACCATTAAGATGTAGGTTTTTCTGTGAAAAATACTTCTTTTTTATCTTTAGTACAATCATCTTAATTGAAAATCTGAAAATAAGTAATCGGCATATACATAAATCTTTATGTAGAAATAATAGTGAAATTAGCTGAGATAGATCCTAAATAAGTAAGATAGAATCAATTGTAAAATAAAATAATTGAATTCCTAAGGTATTATTTAAATATTTAAAAAGAGATTCAGATAAGTAGGTGAAAGAATAAATATTATCTCTTTTGAGACAATTCATTTATATTTATTATATGATTGTAAATCGAAAATTTGAATAGTTATTAAATGAATATTGCAGATCGGCAAAAAAGATGAAGTCTTTGAATATTTCTCTTTTGATTAAGATATTTTTGATGCTTTTACTGCATCTTTTCATTATGGTTGAAATATACGGATAAAGAGAGGTGGCTAAATGTATTTAAATTGTTGTAATGTCTATAAATAAAGGAATCAGAAAAATATTGGATGAATTTAATTAATGAATCATGTCGTTGAAGATATGCTTAAAAAAGATATAGTGATAAACTATAGATTTATTATTAAAGGAGATAAATGACAAAGTTAGATGTGGGCATATCGAAATATTTATAAAGATTTTGATGAAGAAATTAGAGATAATTTATTAATTGTTTTGTTAATCATATGAGTAGTTTTGGATTCTTACTATTTATTTAGAGATCAATAGGAATTTAGGATACTTCATTTTATTACCAAGTAAATTAAGCATTTAATTCAATTGTAAAATGCAAATAACATATTTTAATTATAATGCCAACAATATTGAAATTATATAATGGGACAAGAAATATTAGAAGAAACTAAGCAACCATAGAGATGCAATCTAATAAGTCATGCTGTTTATTAATTTTTAATTAAGAATATAAAGGGTTTGGAATCAGTCATCATTTTAACCAGAAATAAGCATATTTTAATTATCATTGTTTATTATTAGATTTGTTTAGATGCATTCTAAATTAAATACTCTCCCTACTTTCTTTGAATATTTAGTACTTCTCAGTTTATCCAGTTAAAATTTGAGAATCACAGTTGTTTTTATGATATAAAAATGATTTAATTCTTAAGAAAGGTATTTTAGGAGATATCAAAAGATAATTAGAAAATAATGTAAATACTAGAAAATGAAAACAATTTTGAAATGCGTAAATTTAAATTTATATATATATATTAATTATTATGTAACATTGAGACTTAGTTGGCCATTCAAAAATAATTGTTATATTAATTAAATGATTTAAAAATACTTTATTATCTTGCATATATTGAAGTATTAATTGATGTTTAATAAGGTTGATTAATACCTAATGTACTTATTATACTTAAACATTTTGGGTTGATGTTGATTTTGCAAGCCAATTAATTCTAATTGAAGAAAATAATATTATTGATATTGGAGATGGTCTGGAATTCAACAAAGGTTTATGGATCAATTATCTTCCTATGAATAACTAGAATGAAGCATGTAAAGGTATAATTTATAGTAGAAATTAATGATGGAGACATTTCAGTAAAATATCTCATTTATTCACTTTTAAAAAGTCAATGGGCTGATGATGTTTTACTAGCATTTTTAGAATTAAACTTACAAGACAATACAATATCGTTTAATATATATATAAAAAATAAAAATCCAAATCCAGATGAGCTATAATGGTAATATTATTAATTTAATATTAATATATATACAATTGATGGAGATTGGATATTATTTTATTATTATATTAAGAATGGATAAATAAAATTGTATCTTTATTCCTTCAACTAAAATGATTTTTAAATTAAGGAAGTTACATGGAATGGTGATTTTACATATGTAATGTATGATTATACAGGTGGCTTAAATGTTATTGAAATAGACAATAATTTTTTGAATTTTAATATATTTCCAGGAAAAATATCTAAGGTTTTTTAGACAGATATTAATTTTTTTGATAATCTAAATTCTTTTTTGGAAAATTGTAATGCAGTATTTATTTGCAATACCGAAACAATAGAAATATTAACTAGTATTGAATACTTTAATGGAGATCATATAGTAGATGGAGTTAGTTAGTATGAAATATTAAGAAATTAATATAAAATATCAGGTTGGGTTAAACAAGATAAATTTGGATATTCAATAATTAAAAATCAAATATTATTTAGATTATCGATTAATCAAGACTATAGTGATCATAATTTGATTGGAAATAAACTATTATATGTTATTTATATTCAAAATGAAAACTAAGATCTTATTGGAATAGAAATACATACTTATAGTTATGATATGCCTATCAAATCAAAAACATATACAACATCTCCAGGAGTAATTCAAAAAGTACTTGATAAAAAGTATGGTGAACTTTTAAATAAATGGCATTTCTTTCAATTTGAAGTTGGATCTAATTTAAATTAAGGATAACCTATTTATAGAATTTATTTTCCAAGTGAAGATACACATACTTAAATTGTTTGGGATTAAGAAATACATTATTTTAAGAATACTATGCTATATTATCATTTAGGAGGAGATGATATATATTATCACAATTTTTAAGGATATCTAAGTAATTGGAAATTGTAAACATTCTGCTTTGAATTTGATTCAACTTTAGATATTCCTTGTGATTACACTTGTTTAACTTGTAAAGGACCTACTAATTTTGATTGTTTAAGTTGTCATATAAATTCTCATAGACTTTATTCTGATTTAGGATATTCTTGTCTCTGTGAATATGGATTCTATGAGATACCTGGAAATCCAGTTTGTTAAAGTAATAAATTAATAGATAATTAGATTATTTGGAAGAGATTTAGACTTTATAATTAATATATTAAGAAAATGAATGTTATCTTGAAGGTTATTTTAATTGTGATGAATAAAATATATAATGTGAATATGGATACTTTTAATACAATAAATAATGTATAAAATGGTAACTTATATTATTAATATTAAGTCCATTGAATGAGAATTATAAATTCTTAATGGATTGTTCAAATTGTTTGATTTACCCTGATTAATTTGCATCTACTCTTTTATGTGAGGAAAAATACTTGTCCAATTCAGAAAGTGAAATATTCATTCGTGATTGGAAATATATTGATGAAAAATAATTGTATAAAATATATCTATTTAAGGTACTAAATGCATATAACTGCTGATAATAAGCACTATTTATAAATTGCTGCAGGTTTAACAAATTACAAATGTAAATCAGGTTTATATATGGATGAAAATAATAATTGTCAATCATGTATTGAAAATTGTTAGTTTTGTAATGGTCCATCTACTTATTTATGTACTTAATGTTATATGGGATATAAAAAATCTTTATTTGGAAATTGTGTAGAATGTGAAAATTGTAGACTCTGTTCAACAGAAAATAATGAAGAAATATGTCTATTAGCTGCTTTTTGTAAACCACTTCAATATTGGAAAGATAAGAAATGTTATAATTGTGGCTTATATTGTTAAACTTGCAATTAAGATTAATGTTTTACTTGCTTTAACGAAACTAAATACTATGTACGTTTAGATAGATAAAGTTGTGGAATATGTTCAATAGAAAATTGTAAATATTGTTTTGAATATTTGTATTTGGGAGGATATTATTATACTTCATTTGAATCCTCAATTTACTTGGGATTTTATGATTAATATTAGACTTTTATTGGATGTGCTGAATGTTATCCAGGTTATGCATTTTCACTTATAACAAATAAATGTGAAATTTAATCAGAAGATACAAAAGATTGTGATTCAGGAGTTTATGATTATTAAGATACTTTTATTTGTTTAAAGAGTACTTTATTAACTACATCTATTTAAAATAATGATTGTTCAGATATGCTAAATTGTTATTAATGTATTAAGTAGTACACTTATTAAATAATGAATTTTTGTGTAGTCTGTTAAGATGGATATTATTCAGAATGGCTAACAGGTATTTGTTAACCATGTCCAGAATCCTGTAAAGTATGTGTCTAATAGCATGGTGATAGGAATGATTATTGGAAATCAGAAATTAAGGCTTTTTATTTATTTGTTTTAAATCCATCTAAAGAATATAATGATTTTGAATACTATGGAATTATCAAAGAATAATTACAAGTATTATGTCTTTAATGTTATAATAACTATTTATTACATAAAAATATCTGTTATTCAGGATGCAGCGAAGATTGTTTGGATTGTAGAATTATTGAATAAAATCAAGAACCTAAAATACTTGCAAAATGTTTTAAATGTAGAGCAAATTAATATGGACCAGTAAGAAGTTTAGTAAGTGGATAATTAAACCAATGTTAAATGTGTGCTCCTTATTGTTCACTTTGTATACCTAGGAGCACAGAAGAAATTAAAAAAATAAATGGATATTTTAATATGGATTCTCCTTATAATTATTTTACTAATAAATGCTTATTAAAATCAGAGTCTCAAAATGAAATAATCAATATTCTTCCTACTACTTTAAATGTTATTAATTGCAAAAATTTGAATAAATGCAATAAATCTATTGTGAGTCGATACAACGTATATTGTTCAAATTATTATACTGATCCGAATGATTTAGAAAAAAAACAAACTCTATCATTCATTAATACATTCATTATGGGAGAACTTTTAACATATGAAGTATCATAACTATATCTTTATCTGAACGAACAAACAATTCAAGAATTTACATATGATTTAGAAATGAAATGTTAATAGCCATGTATTTAAGAGGCAGGATTCTACTCAGTGATATAAACTAATTTATAAAAAAATGTATTCCATTTGGCAAAGGTTAATTTACATGTTTACTCTAAATCAAATTAATGTGCATTTTTATAAAGCCGTCCCTTTTACATAAATAATTATAAATCTGTGCTATTTAAAAACATATTATTTTAATCTGTTCTATATGCAATATCATATGAATAAAAAGTTGTTAATGTTTTGTTCTAAATTAATAATTAATTCGATACAATAATGATAACATTTGAAAATTGTAGTTTTACCTAAAAAAAGATAGCAATTCCTAATTATCTAACAATTACAAGTAACAGACCTCAACATACAAAATTATTAAACTTAAATTTATACAATTTATAAGTTTAATAGAGTAAAATCTTTAATTTATAACCTACAGATGATACTATAATATCTTCATTAATTGTTCATAATTTTAAGTTATCTAATTCTGAATTTAAGAATACAACATTATTTTATTTTAATGCTCTAACCTATAATCTCAAATATTCAATATTATTTGAAAATGTGAGTATAATAGATACAAATTTTACATAAAACTCATTGTTTATTAACCTAGAATTTGAAAAGTCATATTAAATTGAACATGTTGAATTAAGAAATTTTTATCTAGAAAATGTTATTTTTAAAGATTAATCTACATTTATTAATTTATTATCTTGTAAAAATCTATCACTTACTAATTTTACTCTTAAAAATATATTAATGAATGATAATTCAGCA